AAGTGCATGACATCCGCATGATGTGTGGTAACACGACGGGACGGGAGAGCACGTGACGGTTCACCATATGAGATCCTACTACGTATTAGGGTTTCCACGATGTACTGGGAGATTCCGTAGTTATTGGCGAAGTCCCAAATATTGACACAGAGAATGTTTTTTCTATGTCATATAAATTGTAATCAATTTGCCGGTGGAAGGGTGATATCCAAGTCAACTGAAAGCTTTCCTCGGAAGGTTAACCTATAAGATATCAGAGAATTATCTAACGCAAGTAAGTACTATATACATATAGCACGGCCCGTCTTACCATCTATCCCTATTCCTATCCCTACTGCCTATTGTATGCTACCTATCATATCACTCATTGTCTTTCTTATCTTTCCTACCTATCCCTAATATCCCCCATTGCCACTGAATAACAACCATCTATGATTATCATCGTCGAAAGCGCTTCTGTATACAAATTTTACATCATCACAAATCACCACCAATATACCATATCATGCCGTGTTGAGATGATCGTTTCATAACTTCCCGTTCTTAATTAGCTGCGCCGTTCAGCTGCAATCTGTGAGAATTCTTGCCGGCATCGGATCTGCGGTCGCGTGATATCGATATTCTAAATATGATGTTAATGGAATGGGTAGGTAGGTATACACTTTTATATGTGCAGTGAGGCGAATATATAGCTGCGGGAACGAGAATTCCATCATTTTATATCCTAAGGCTTTAGCGGACCATGGGAATCTCTTGCACGTCTAGTTCCTGTACTTGATTCGCTTCAGGTACGAAGATCGGATGGATATATATCTATAGCTCAAGATTCACTACAAAAAGTTGCTAGTTGGTATTGCAGTATGTATCCGTAGCCTCAAACGATAATGTATCACTTCATGACAATAGCACCATATAAATATAAGTATCGGGTGCTAGTTCTCTGCCCAGTTTGAGAAGTGAGGTTTTAATCACTTGGGCTGCTCTTTTTTTGAGTTTCCATGCTTGTTAGCATTGTGAATGTACGGTACGGTACTGTATGGTGAGTTGAGAGTGGATGGTATTTCTATAGAGGATGTTGGGGGAGTTTATATAGAAGGATGAGAGTGGCTGGGCTTTGTACATGGAAATATCAATGGATTGAAATCTAGAAGTGAATTATAACATTCCTCTGCGGCTTCGACACTGTGTAGATCTATAGCTGAACTCTCCGTCTACTATAAAATGAGAGTTTCACCTCTCATGTTCAATATTCGCTGGGCTTTTAAAACACTATTATTGTACGTCACTTCAGGTTGTAATTCCATGGAATCTTTTGAGGGCGAGAAGTTCAAAGACTCTATTCCCAAAGCCACAAGGTCTTGATGGAGGAGATATTCTCTGTTTATTAGGATTTTTATTTACATCGTTTCGTTGCCATTTCTTATACGTTTATAGTTTTTATCATGTTGTCATTAATTGTTCGTTTTCCACTATCTTATAAGTTATTCATGTCGAACGGAAGAGGTTTTGTAAGATAAATGACAAGATCACTTACTAAGTCTCAAGTTACAATGAAATAGAAACCCCAAAATCACACATCCTTACTTCTATGAAAGAACAAATGTTCTGAAGTAGAAATGCATGTCTTGGCCTCTTCTTAGAAGGATATTTGTGGAAATATGAAGAGTTGTAATATAGTTTATACACACTTAGATTGTATTGTGATTGTAAGTTCTGATTCTAACCAAGCTTAAAGAAAAGTATGGATTGTTATTCATTTGATATATAATACTACTGATCCAAGGAAAGATTCCCTTTTACTTGAGAAAACTCTTGAGAATTTAATCCCTGGTTATTCATTGTTGTAAATACAATCTAGGCCAGGGAAATGACGAGTAGTCATCTAATGCTTTACGTCGACGTCTGCAATGATATATATACATACGATTCTTTCATTTTCAAGGAGTCGTCAATATCAGGGAAGAGATTTTCGTAGTACTAGATATCGAGTTTTGAGGTTTTTGCACAGGAATATCCAAAAGGATTTTGTTGATATATATGTTTTGAAAGCAAGGAGATGAGATGATAATATTGCGTCCCTATATCAGAGTCAATGCTTGGAGATCATTAAACTGAGGATGTTTATATTTCTATTCCCGGATTTGATATTGTGAGTATGATGTGAGCCTGATGCTCTAAGAGTCATTCCATGAGATGAGATCTGCATATTTATGTTCCAATAGGGCAATGATGCTGTATTTTATATAAGAATTTCTATTATAGTTTCGATAAGTTTGGAGCTGTAAAAAGTGTCAAATAAGTATATATTACTTCTAATGAATATCTACTAGGATACATAGGCTTTTCCAAAACTAGTCAGTTTATGGAAACATGGAACATCAGAATTTTCTCTAAGCACACACTTACCTCCCATACCTACATTATGGAAGTCGTTGTGTATATTCCACTCATAGTCTACATCGTCCGATGAGTTCCGTTCTCTTTTCTTTTCCTTCAAGAGAGTGTGGTTTGCGCTGTTGGAAATTCGCTGTATTGTCCCGTAGCTTACACAAAAAAGAGGAGAAGACCCAGGAATACATTTTTCTGAAAGCATTCTCTCTGTCTGATGTAGTAGTACAGACAATGTGTCAATAGCCCAGACAGGCAGATTAGGTTTAAGCTTTTTAACGATAGAAATTGTTTAAATGTAATTCATTATGTCAATTGATTGGAATATCCCGAATAGATTCAGAAATCCTGAAGCTTTTCATTCTTGGACTGAAGTCCGGAGTATTGGATACATAACCTGGATACAGCACGCTTTACGAGTGATACTCATCGACGTATCACATAACAGTAAATACTAGAGACAGCATATATTGTGTCATTCTTCAATGGAGTTTTTCATTCACTTCCACACAATAAGAGCTTATAACGATAATTCGCACCAGGGAAGTCAAATTAGTCGCTAGCGGCAGGTGTATAATTTCACCAGCGGGCATGAAATAATCTTACATCTAACTCATCAATTTTCGTAAATCACGAATCATGAACAAATACTCGGCATTGATGTTGCTATGAAGTGGTTGTATATGATAGTATTATCCCTACAGATTTTGCAAATACAAGCACATTATATCTGAGGAACTAATGACATTCGTAACCTGATGAAAAATTTGACGGATCAAATAAATGACGCTTCCGACACTAAGTGATGCCGAGTAGAGTGGAATAATTCAGATGAGGTGTAATCATCGCCCAAGAGTCTTTGAATAATCATACAGTACAAAACCGGGTACGAGAATTCATGAGCGCTGGCATCAGAATTCGGTTCAGTGATGATCGAGGTAGAACAAAAGGCATTAACAAATACGAGCGTTGAGAAATTACGAAAATGAGAATAAGCAAACAACTAAGGGAACCGGATTCCAAGGATATAAAGATATCGCATTGGTTAGAGAAATGGCAAAAAAAGGCAATACAGAACATATCATGAAGGAATAGCAAATTAGATTAGCGAAACGGAAAGGCTTAAACGTAAAAATTTCTCATAAGTTCAAATGGCATAAAAAAGCAGCAGATTAAAAACAATTACGATAGCTACAGCAGAAGTAAAATAGTAACACGATGATGAATCAACAAGAAAGAGAAATTGAATGGTGGGCTTGATGAGACCTAAAATTTCTGAAGAACAGTTATACATTTTTATATAGGGGCATGATGGGCCCGTGCGCAGAAGCGGGATGTCGGCTAATCCTGGAGGACAACAAACGCCAATTCTCGCGACACCTGATCCACAATACCTACTCTTTCTCGATTGAAGCCATGATTATCTCAGTCAAACACGTAAATTGGGATGAGTATTTGGGACGAGGGACGATATTTAAACATGATTTATTCTATTTGTACGACTGAGTTACGCTGCTCTTCACAATCACGATATACAAAGTCAGCATCAGACCATAAAGTTAGAGTGGCTGTAATAAATCTAATTTCTTTTATTTGATTAGGACTTTTACTTATATAGAGTATTTAAACTATAAAGTTTCTATTATTCGCTTTATCAATAGATTATTCGCCCGAGCTATTATCCGCCTTGTGGGTATCCGTTGCGCAGCCTAGGATTCTGATGACCTGATTCTGAATCTGAATCAAAATTTAACGCCGACACGGGGCCTGATGGCAAACATACTTGCCTGTTTCACCATTTGTCCAGCTACTATCTTCATAAGCTTCTATTGGGGTTGCCACTTGGCAGGCAACTCTTCCCGTAAATTAATCATCTGTGGAATGAGCTTATCTGGCCTGCTCCGGTGCTGAAGCGGTCGTGATCCGGAGAAGGACCAGTAGGTCTGTTGATCTGGATATCAATGCATATCTTCATAGGCGTGTAGGGATTATGGTACCGTAATTTCTGCACGCCAGAGATTAAGCCTGATCAAACTTGTCTGTAAAAATTGTCTCAGGAGCCTCAAGACCTGGTGGCTGAGCTAGGCTGTCAGCTTTTGACCCTTAAACGAACGCTCCTCCAAGTGAAAGTAAGAAGCCAAGTGTCTTCTCCATCTTCATCTATCCAGTTTTCCCAGTCAGCTTTCTTTATCAGTTGTCTTGGCAAACCCGGATGAAACAGCTGGCCATCAACACGAGCCAACACTTCGAACTCTGGTACTTGAAGAACTTCAAACAAGCCGTCCTGAGGCAGGTACGCTAATCTTGGGCAAGCGAACCCTAGATTTGAGCCGCCAATATCTGCTCAAGAATTAATCTCAGTTCTTGCAAGCAGGAAATTTGCCAAAACTCCATGCGTATATCCGAGCTCACGTATGGATGGGATGGTTTCCAGCATCTGGGTGGTAATTTTCAAGATAGTTTTCAAGATAATTTTCGGATCGAGTTGGTCCCGCTCTCGCAATAGTCATTGGCAATAGTGTAAAAATTAGGGGCTAATTAGGCTCTAAAACCCCATTTTAACCCCGTAATTTAATTCGATTAGGATTAGAATTATATAAAATTCATCAAGTATTAATTCTTATAGGCTCGCTAAATGCTAAATGGTGTTAGCTAGATGGCGCGAGTGTGAAATTACAGGCCTCTTATAATGCCAACAGCTTGTAAAACCCTACAGTCGCATTAGTTTTCGATGCGTCCTCCGTAAATCGAAGATGGTTTGTTGATGTTTCTGCATTATGTTACCGCCTTCTTAATTAAGCTGGCAATAGTAGCCGATGTGTACTCAGCTGCCCAACATCAAGTCCACTTTGAACTTCACTCATTACTTTTATTACCAAATTTAAAAATGCTTCTACACCTCTTCTTTTCCTTGGTTTCCTTGTCTCTAATTCTAGCGGAGCATGTTGGCGAAAACGCGGTACTAGGATACTCGCGAAGCTGTAAATGTGTACATCTTCCTCAATCTAATGCGATCTCCATCCCTAACATATCATAGGGACCAAGTGATGGCTGTTGGCCATCCCAAACTTCATGGCGATCGTTGAACGCATCAGTATCTGGAAAGTTGATCAAAACAACACCTGCAGCAATTGTCTGCTATCCCGGACTGCAGCAAAATTTAACAGCATGTTCTGCAGTTGTGAAAGTATTGTCTGACGAGGAGCTTGTTGCGAATGACCCAATTGCTCTAGATATGCCAATCAATGACTCATGTCCACCAGTCGATTTTGCGGCAGGGGATGTACCAAGAAATTGCTCTCTTGGAGATGCTCCTAGATATGCTGTAAATGCGACGACGCCTGGAGATGTTGCTAGGGGAGTGGATTTCGCTAGAAAGAATAATATTAGATTGGTGATTAGAAATACTGGTCATGATTTATTGGGAAGGTAAGTGAGCTGAGTGGATTCCATTAATACAATAGGTGCTTAGGAAATTGATTCCTCTTGATATAGGTCCACCGGCTATGGTAGTCTGGAGATCTGGATCAGATATCTTAAGCAAGGTATTGTCTTCCAAGATACTTATTCACCTTCCGATGGCTGTAAATCTTCGAATTGGGGAGGGAGTGCGTTTAAAATTGCTGGAGGTTATGTCTGGGAAGATGTCTATGCAGAGGCCACGAAGCGGAATGTGATCGTTGTAGGAGGTGGTGATCCAGTATTTACCATCAAATATAAATGACTGTTACAATACTGATACCTCCACAGACTGTAGGATGTATTGGAGGATGGGCCCAAGGAGGAGGCCACTCCCCAGCATCCCGTGATTATGGCCTTGGTGCCGATCAAATACTCGAAGCTGAAGTAGTTCTTGCGAATGGAGAAATTATCACTGCAAACAAGTGTCAAAATCAAGATATTTACTTTGCCATCCGAGGGGGAGGAGGTGGTACATTTGGTATCATCGTGTCAACTATTGTTAAGGCGTTTCCAACGACATCGATATCTGCCCAAACACTGGCCATTGCACCACTAACCGATGCAGATATTCCGGATTTCATGGCGGCCTTGGCATTAATATATTCCGCATATCCCGATCTAAATGATGCTGGTCTATCTGGATACGGAAGTTGGGCTGTTCAAAGCTATGCACCTGTTGTTGGAAATTTTACAACCGGCTACCAACATGCCCTGGCTGCGTCCAGAAAGTCCCTCAGCGAAACCAAAGCCATATTTGCATCAGTGATGTCCAAACTCGAGCAATACAACTCAAGCCTTTTTATCAATCCAACCTATCTGACATTTCCCACATACGCGGCATATTATAAGATACTCTCAGGTGGAAAAAGCGCAGCAGGTATTGGAACAGGTGCTTTTGGTGGGCGTCTCTTGGACCGCACAGCACTGACATCTTCGCTGACGAATCTCGAACTAATGCTGAATGTAACTGCAGGCTCACAAGGTCAATTTACTTCTACATCTGTCTCTCTAGTAGGAGGCGGCCAAGTCTTTATTCCCGATCCAAGTTCAGGTTTGAACCCTGCATGGAGGTCTTCATATGTACACAGTATCGTAGCGCGTGGATGGACCACAGATACCAATGAAGCCACCGTCCAAGAAATCAAGGATGACATAACATACACGAAAGTCGGAGCAATGAAGAAGTTGGCGCGTCATACCGGGTGTTATATGAATGAAGCGAATAGGTTGGATCCAGATTATTTACAGGATTTCTACGGCGAGAGCTTGGTCAAGTTGAACGAGGTGAAAAAGACTTATGATGGTGACGATGTATTCTATTGTCCAACATGTGTGGGAAGTGAGAGGTGGGTGGAAGATGTGACCGGAAGATTGTGTCGGACGTCATAGGCACTTGCTAGTGGCGTATCAAAGTGGCATGATGTCCCGATTTGAACATATTCGCTTTGTGAAGGCACTAAATTACCGTTGTGTAGTTAAACGGCATGGGGGAGCAACGAGAGTCACCTCCGAATCTCAGATGTAATGTGAAACTCCTACCATACCTTATCTAGGAGTCCTCAAGGTGATGATGAACCTTGCTTGACATTCTGCACCCTGCTCATAAATATCCGGAAAGCAGAAAAGCTGATGAACAGTGAGTTGGGTGTCTTGAGTATACGCCACCTGGAGGCCAACATGAAAGGAAGATCGCAAGCGTTTCCCGCCTCTTTGCAGTATTGGGTTGACGTATGTGCCCGAAGGTCCGAATCTCTGATTATTAGAAATTAATTCACGTGCGTAAATTGATGACCGCTTTATCCACGACGTTGACGCTATATCGTTGCGCCCCGCCTCTGCAGACCCCTTTCCTTTAAATTTGTGCAGGCCTTCTAAACTTGAACATCGGTTCTGCTCTGGCAAGGCAAGACAAGACTATCATGATAATTGAGTCCAAATTAAGTTAGGCTCCCTAGACACTTGTACTAGCTCGTACCATAGATATTTCAACGAAACTTTTGTAACAACAAGCTAGCTATTTCCACTGACCTTATAGAATATGCAACTTGCTAGCGGTATAGTCTAGGGAGCCGTCCGTCCAACGTTACAAGTATTAAATGTCCTCCTTATTCTCAGCGTACCATCAGTGATATGTGAGTTAAGCAGGTGCTATCGGTATGAGGGAAGGATAGAATTTAGCTAGCCTTAGAATAAGAAGTGAAACAATATACCCTCAAATAACAGCTAGAAACATTACGGACAAGTAATTAGATATTACCAGTACTTCATCAATGTCGCGGAAGCATTGATCATGATCATATGAATGGTGAAAGCTGACTAAGCATAATCAAGCACAGCCCACCTGTTGACGAGGCTGAAATTTGTGGCTTGAGCTCCCTGCCGATGAGGTGTTTAGATTTGTCTACGAAACATAAAGTTATTACTAGGTATTGAATGCAAGAAACCACCCCACTATCATTAACGACTTCCAGATCTCTCTGGCACCCTCTAGACATCTCCAATAATTGAGGTTTCTCAAAAATACGAGTTATTTTACTTTCGCATCGGTGACACTTTTCTACCACAAAGTAGACAGGTTTGCCCTGTAAGAGGACAAGATGGTTGCGCCAGCTGTTCCTGAGTATGTATATGATCTCGCCTTTTTCGCAGAGTGCTTATGTGGATTGCGGGTCTTCTATTATCTCAAGGAACTCACTAATATAGCATCGCAGACTTACTGAAGAGCTTGTTCATGAATCCATCGATGCGCGATCTGAAGTTCTAGCAGCTCTACGAGAATTGGGCCCGCCAGATTTGGTACAATTGATAAAACAAGCCCCGAGAAATCCAGTAAAGCAGGTATTTACCACAATCTTTTAGTAGTTTTTCAAATTGATTGATTGCTCTGGTAGATTGGTGTGTATCATCATGTCACCGGGGTTGACGCATCATCATCGGCAAGCTTAGCTGCGTATATCAACACCCTTACCTATAAAGAAAATCATCAATCTACGACAAAGATAGTGGAGGGTGTATACTGGTAGGATCCAGAAACTTGACAACCCCTGCGCGTTACTAATTTTCAATAGTTGTTACAATGCATTTTCTCGGTTGGATATGCGCGTCCATGTCACCATCCCAGGAAGCGTCGAAAGCTACTGCGTCGATGAACGAGGCGATAAGAGAACGACCACGGATGAGTTATGGCTGGAAACATACTTGTGTAGCGTCCTTCGGGCATATTCTTATGCTGATGATGGAAGTGGGGATACCATTCGAAAGATAATGGGAGTTAGGAGATTTAACCCGGTGACGACAACGGAGACAGAACATAGGTTCCTTCAGGCTGCCGAACAATTATTTTTTAGAGGTATGCCACCTCATGTTGAGCAAAAACCAGTGCTGACTGCTATAGGTTGGCAACTCGGATCCGATTCGATCGTTCAGGTTCCAAACAACGTCTCGAATCATTTAACAACAGGTCTTCTAAAGTACTTTCAAACTACTGGACGATATGCCTCTGGAATCAACCTATTTGAGAAGCTACGAACCAGAAATATTGAGGTTTCATCTCTCTTAGCCAAGGTCCTGTTTATGGGCAACGAGGAGGTACAAGCCGTCAGGGTATTACATGAATCTGTGAAGCAATCACCAATGGATTATGTTATGCTTGATACCCAAGCAGAATTTTTGAAGAAGAAAGCAATGGACATAAATAAACCGCAATTCAAAACTGAAAGGCTGCAAATGGCTCTTGGCTGTGCTGATAGAAGTACTATTGCTGCGCCAAGCGAGTTTGGCACATGGGCACGCTTAGCTGAAGTTTATGTTGCGATGGAAGATTGGGAAAACGCTCTTACAACCCTCAATTCATGCCCCATGTTCACATATCAAGACAAGGATGCTCCTAACATGCCAGAGCCTAAGGAGATCCACCTCCCCACCCTTCCCGAGACTAGGTTAGATGAGATCGATAGTGAACCGGAGTCAAGGTTATCGGAACAAGTTCATCCAAGTCTTCAAAATCTACGTGCCGCTATGTACAAAGGTACTTTCAAACACGCTTATAGTATTTTGACGGAAATGACAGCTAAGATTGGCTGGGATCAACTTCTCAAGATCAGGAGTAATGTATTTGTCATGGAAGAGGAGTATAGAAGTGAGAAACAACCACCAGTTGGTCAACAAGGTGAACCCACTAAGCGTAGTGCAAGCACCGACGTACTGAGAGGAAGTCCAGGTCCTCGTGTAAATGGCGATGACCATTCCGACGATGAAAAGAGTACGAACGGCGATTCGGCAGCCCCTAAACCAAATGACGAGGATGGTAGCGGAGCCGATGACTCGGTAGAAAAACCATCGCACACAGTTGCTGCAGAAGAAGTTAAGAGCGGTACTGAAGATGTGAGTGACGATTCAGATTCTCATGTGAACTCGCTAACGTGAACAGAACGAGACTACCGAAGAACAGCTTTCCCGGTTCAATAACAAGCGCCTTTGTGAGCGGTGGCTGGACAGTCTTTTCATGGTTCTTTATGAAGACCTTCGTATCTATACCATATGGAGAACTGAAATGGCGCAGTACCGTGCACAACAGATGCAATACAAAAAATCAGCTGAAGAATGGGAAATCCTCGGCTCGTTGGCTGACAGGCTTCATCACCAACCAGAAGCTGTGGAAGCTTATCGTAATTGTCTTCAAATACGTTTCTCCCCCAAAGCATTGGCGGGCATTCTTGCTGAATTGGAAAAGAACAAGAATACTCGAGACACAGTTGCTAGTGTCATTAGACTAGTCACTTGGCAATATAGATGGTACTCGGAGTTCTCTCCAGAATTGTTATACACGATACGCACACTCATAGAGGATGAAGGTGCCGTGAAGGTTAGGAGTATCATTCAAGCAACAAGCTTACCACAAAACGTCTTGGACTTGACACACCACTACGCAGCACTTTGTGCGGCATTTAGAAGTAGTGGTACTGAAGGATGAAGGGCTGTGCAGTAGAGTCGAATGAGAAATTGAGAGGTTAAATATGTGAATTGGGAAGTGGAGGTTTCATGTTTTTAGAAATTAGCGGGTTAAGATGGGGCTGATATCCAAATATCCTAAAACTTGATAGGAACAAAAGTTCGACTTGGCACAAATCATGTATAGTATACTATAATTGCTTTGAGAGGTACAATAATTGACACCCATACTTCTTACATGGCATGAGATATCTTGGCGTCTTGAGGTAGCTGCTTGAAGCTCATACCTGAGTACGCCAAGTGCTTTTTGAGAGATGTTCAGGATTTAACAAGCATAATTTCCGTCAAGGTCAGTCTCCAAACACGGTTTATTTTAACACTTTCTTCATTGAAATTCTAATTGGTCATCCTTGCCTAGTTTACTAAGAGTAGAAGAGAGGTTCTGCTTGTTCCCTTAGACTGCCCCCGTGTCATTTTTACATCTTGGATTATCGTTCAGATGAGAAGGAGGTTTAAACACCAATATTTTATTGCTATCGAGCGGATTGAGAAACTTCAATTCGTTCAGGATTGAGAACTTGAGGCTTGCGGGGACTTGAATTTTCCCACCCTCCCTGGGTATCTTTCCTTTTCAGCTTTCTCGTCAAGCCGTTGTCTGCTCTCCTTTCGACGCCATGTGGCAGCATCCTTCTCTTTTGTTTCCTTCTCCTCTGCCTTTTCTTGCGGGGACTTAAATTTTCCCACCTTCCCTGGGTATCTTTCTTTTTCAGCTTTCTCGTCAAGACGTTGCCTGTTCTCCTTGAGACGCCACCTGGCAGCATCCTTCTCTTTTATTTCCTTTTCCCGCTTTTCTTTCTCTTGCTCAACCCTCTCTCTTTCATTCTCCCTTGCCTTTTCTGCCTTCTCCGCTTTCTTCTTATACTTCTCATTCGAAGCTCTCTCCTTCTCCTGCTCTTTCAGAACCCGTATCTTATATGGGTGACTACCTGGCATCCTGTCAAGGATAGGTTCTTGTTGTTGAACAATTTGGGTATCTCTAGTTTTCACCTTATCATATGTATCCCACGCGGCATCGAGTTTCCCATCTGAATGCTGTAACACGCGCTTTTTCACATCAATCTCTTCGACGTTTCTTGGTCTTTCCACTCTTAGCTGATCGAGTTCCCCATGTTGTTTCTTGTATGTGCCCTCCCACAGGTCAACCTGCATAGAAGCTCTCACCCAATCCATATTATCCGGCCTTTGGCTTTCTAGCTCTCTGTGTTTCTGTTCGAGGTGCTTATACTTTTTTATGAGTTCATCATCGGATCGCGATAAAGTGAGGTTCGATAAGAGATCCCTAGTAGATGAGCGCTTCGGTTCTGGCCTCTCTGGCTTCTTGCCATCCTTTTTCGTAGCTTGAGACGACGAATCTTTCGATTTATGGTGGCTGGAATGGTTGCCATGATCGGAGTTGTTGCCGCCATCTCTGGTGGAATTTGATGCATTTGCCGCTTTTGTCCGGGATGGGTGGCTGGACTCTTTCACATCACCACGCTTTGCGGGACTCGATGGGCTAGCGGTTACTGTACGAGATGATGTGCCACTCGCGTTTTGTGCTGACGAACTCCTCGAACCGTTGGTACCGGAGGGAGCTTGTGAGTTTTTTTCCTGCTGGCCTTTGAATGGCGTAGACATGATTGTTCGATTGTTCGATTGTTCGATTTTGATGATTCAGTGCGATAATTGTGCAAATTTGTTTAATGTAAAATCTTATTTCTTAGTTACGGGTCATACAATTGTATCTATATATCTTTGAGCAACATTCTACAAAGCTCAACAGATATGGGCGCTTAGAAGTTGTTGGAGTGGTGACCACCGATACTGGGTTTTGGGCCGGCCAAATGTAGAAGCATCCGGCGGCCAGCAATAGACCAGGAGAATCGCCCAAGGACAGGTTCTAGATTATAAATAGAAGTCTTGGTACCAATATTAGAGAAATCAAAATGAAAGTAACCTTCTAAATCCAGAACAAATTGATATGATCGGGGCTATTAAGTCAAATGGTGGTCGCCAAACTGTATTTTTGCTTCCAATAAAGAAGCATTGATTATACTATTTGATGACAAGGGATATCCGTAAACCATATAAACCGGGTCTTACTGGTCGAAAAATCAGTGGAAACTACTAGGCATCAATTCGACATTGGCCAACACGTTCCCAACTTTCCGCCCTCCATACTAAATACAACACTTGCCCCCAATTGTAGCGGATCTCCCTCCCAAACCACAAAATCTCTACTTTCTTCAGTAACCTTCAAATCTAGAATTTTCTCAACATTTCGAGAAACTAAATCCACAGCTTCACGTTTCCCGAGACTGGAGTATTTAGCGGCCCAGCCTGCTTCGATCGCGAGGTTGTGGATGTGTGATTCGCCTGGGGATTTGGTTAGATCGTCTGCAGTTTATGAAAGAAATACAAGAGACGAAGTTGGCAAACTTACTGCCTTCACCTTCAATTGCTAATGCAAAAAATACGCCAGCATCGGCAAGGACTGCGGCAGGAGAGCGTGTCAGTGGAGGACCGGAGAGTGCATTCCGCTTTTCGTATGTATCGGGGGCGCCACGATTTCTGGTCAGGATGAGCGGTGTTTTGGATTTCGCAATTTCTTCAGCTACGAGATGAGCACCCGCTCCGCCTAGAAGAACCAGGTTAAGAGGTAATGGATGGTCGTTCTTCAGTTTGATGAGTTGAAGAATATCGTACTGTGATTTTATATTAGTGCCACGAGATACAAGTAGAAATGAGACAAGCTAACTTCACTATCAACATGTACCACCACGGGAAATGTTCCATTCGCAACCCTTCCATAAACGTTGTTCTTCCCAACATTAACGAGTAAAATTCGTTGAAATTTTGCTATGGCAGAAGACACTGTTGGTATGGACTCAAATCCTACATGTATGTTTTAGTATGACTGTGCAGGGTATCTCGGAGATGGACTCACGCTTGGCCATTTGACCCACTGCAAAATGCAAAGCAACATCATCCTGGAAAATACCGCCATCAAGGATATTGTGTTTACCACTCGTTTTGATACCGGTACTTACACCACCAGAGAAAGACTTAGAGATTGGCGCTGTAATTACCTGGGTAACACCACCAAGTCTTGCCCTGGAAAACCCGCGTCCATCCAGGTGAATCCCATACTTCGCGTGAATAATATTTTCTGGCTCTAGCAAAGCTGAGGTTTCGCCGAGGGAGCCATCTGAGGTTTCAGAAGCTCCGAGGATTTCTGCCAACCCTAGACTCGGTGAGTACGCAGTGAGCCCTGGCATTACAGTGCCTTCCTGGAGGGCAATGATAGTACCACCTTCACCAAGCAGGGTACCGCATTGCTGCATTGAGTCCAAACAGATAATCTTTCCGTTACTCATTATCATTGTGAGGTTGCTCGAGTCTAATGAAATCTCCTGATTAAACATCAGATAGCTTCTCCTGATGCCAGTAACAATGATATTTTCATCCGAGTTGTTTAATTTGCTGCATGTAATGCCCTTCGATATACCGGTAGGGGATGTCCGTGATTTCGGCTTTACTAACAATCGTTCTTCTTTGGCAGAATTGCGCGTTGCACTTTCCTCGACCTTAGTCGGGTCCAAAATAGCTTTCCCATCAATATAAACTTGTGTAGGTGTAGCTCCAGCGAGAAGGGGATGGGAATCCCACACTACAATGTCCGCATCATAGCCAGGACGAACGTATCCAACTCGATAATCGATTCCTAACGACTTGGCAGGTACACTGGTTACAGACTGCAAAGCAAGAGCTTCAGAAAGATTAAAGGCATGTGCAGTCGCTGCTTGGAACCTGATTATCCGTTTATTAGTAAGAGTTACAGACCAAAAACAAACAAGGAAGTATACATCAAGTATTGCGCATTAGTTATCTCAAAAACGTGATCCTGTGGAATGTTAGCTTTAGTGTGTTCCATTGGAAAGGGAATCAAACGGATTTATATGCAACTGGAACACCGTTCTCAGCTAGAATACTGCCAGCCCATAAATTGGCATCGTACGCCTCCTTTTTGTAAAATCCAAACTCGGAAAATGTGGCAATAGTGATGTTTCTAATGTAAAATGAGAACTTAGACGTCCAAAAACTGTTTCCATAACTTACTCTCCACTACTCTTGATTAACTCTGGCACTTTCCAGGCTGCAAGAGCGTGATGAAATGCTTGAATTCGAAATCCAAATTCCTTGCTGTGGTGAAGCATATCTTCAAGGTCCTCAGGTTCGTAACAGTGTATGTTGATTCCAACTTTTCCTCGCAACATGGCTGCCGTAGATTCCAATTCCAAATCTTCGGGAAAACCTCCACCCTTCATGAAGCTTGCAATAGTCGCAAAATTTCTACTCTCCCGCACCGCAGCAGCTGATAAGCACCAATCATCTTGTTTTTCAATTAGTTCCTTTCCTCGCGTCATCTGTTTTCGAAACAACCAAGCATTGCCCATACGATTGTGATCATAGACAGTCGTAGGGTTCTCGCCGCACGCCATTTTCATGTACCTCCTCCTCTCCTTTGTGGGTATACCATGTTCAAGCAAGACATTCTCAACAACTTCTTCACCAGTTTCACCCCCAGGCACAAAGTTTTTCACGAGAATCCCTTCACCACCAATGATATTTGCTGAGCCAGGAATAAGAAGGGAAGTTGTAACGCCACCCGAAGCAATGATGGCAGTTGCCTTATCATCCGTCTTAATGGAATCAATTGCACGAACAAAGGGGGTAAGAGGACCCATGTGAACCTCATTCTCATCGGCTGTAACTGAAAGTTCAGGCCAAGCATGCAAAAAATGATGTGAATGCATGTCAACCAGACCGGGAGTAACGTATTTACCTTTGAGGTCGATACTTTGAACATTCGGATCACAATCGGCAGACTTGGTTGCTGCTGATACAGACTTAATACGTCCTTTCTCAAATTCAATATCGACGAAATCAGTAAGAAGGACTTTGCCGTCAAACAGAGTTGCATTTCTCAAGACTACAGTCTGATTTTGACCACGAATTGCGTTCCATCGGGGATTCTCACGCGATGAGATTTCCGAATGAGAATATTCTCTGGGCAGCGTATTTAGATCTAGACATTTCGAAAGTCCTATCCCGATCTGAGATATGTAATGATCTGAAAGCCTTGCAGCTGCTGGAGATACTTGATATATGTATCGGGGAAGAATGATAAGCTGCAAACTAAGCACGACAGCAATGAGGAGTAGAATTGACAATGGGAATCTAATCCGTGCCCCTCTATAAGCAATCTTTGAATCAATGTAACCCGTTATAGACTTGTACATTTTAAATGTCATTCTACGGTCTGAGCGATTGCAAGAAGAATAACATAATCAAATGTAAATCAAATATAGTCATCAGCGGCTTGTCTTGCGAGCGGTGGTTATCTCTCTTAACAGGGGGTCAGAATCTCTCGGAAAATGATTTGTCCGATGGTATCGCAAAGCTCGTGAATTTGGATTGCTTATTGGCAATATTAAATCAGCGAACATATTTCACTGTGATTTTCTTGCCTTTCAATATCGTACTTTACACTTACATAGACGCAAATAGCTATCACAATAATTCAACATCACCCCCGAAAGATCTTTCTCTCGCAGTAGAAGAGGCTCAAAAAACGAAAACGGACAGCTCTTGCGCATCATACCGATCGCGCCAGACAGACGCGCGAAACGGAATATACCATTCTATCCTGATATCCGACCAGTTTACTATTCGGGATTCGCGAGCAGCTGCATCTCGAAAACGGCGCCATGCATACAATAAACATCGCATTCAATACTGTCCGTACATGAAAGCATTGCAGTGTTGCGGTTCCTTACCAGCAAGATGGCATCATTTACCGCATTAAACATTGAACCCGACGACCAAAGCTATGATGAGATCGATAATACAAGAGAAATTCAGATAGAAGATGCCCTCAAGCTCTACACAGCTGCGCTTAAGCTACATGCTCAAGGGCTTCCTTATTATCCAGAAGCTGCCGAAGCATACAAGAACTTATTCCAATCGGAGATCTTTAGCTACCCAGAGGCTGTCACTGAATTTACGAGACTGGAAGAGCATCCGGAACTTGAATATGTCGACTCTACCATACCTGCCGAACTTGAGATTGGTTCAGCTGCCGTGGATGGTACGCCCAGCACACTACCTCAAATCCTATACCTTTCACACAAAAATCATGGTCAATTCATCCTAGATTGCGTGAGAGCTCGTTTGCGGCATTCGAATGGCTTGATGGCTGATATTGGGAATCGTGCAGCACTCGAGTCCCAGGCCAAAGTCACGATGGATGATTTTGGGCGTGCGCTAGTCAGTGATGAATCAGATACCGAGCTATGGAGACGGGCAGCTCGTATTGGAGCAATGCTTGGGAGTAGGAGGATTGCTAGATACTGTCTGGAGGCTGCTGTCGAAGTAGATGACGACCCGACCATTGCCGAGGTCGAACCTCAGTCATTGGAAGAAGGTTTTGCAGGAGAACAATTGAAGAGTCTACTTGAATTAATGTCGGATGAATTATCTTTATCTCATCCAATAATGGGACCTTTCAAAAAGAAAACCATGCCACAGTTCTTGAAGAAGCATATTGATCCATATCCATTCCTTCCGGATCCCACCAGTACGTTAAGTAGGAGCATCGATTTTGATGAACCCTTGCAAATTCTTGAGGGGCGTGCAATCATCAACGTGCCAGAAAGGTCATGGACTTCCATTGGCCACGAGATATGTGGAGCTGCACAAGCCCTTCCTGTTGTTGGAGTAATACTTGCCTTACCACCAGGAGAAGACCAACCCTTTTCACCCGAGCCCCATCATCTTGAAAGCCAGCAAGCAAATGATACTGTGATGACAATGACTCCTGTAGCAGAGAGTTTTGGCAATGGCACGCCTACTACTAATAACTCTGACGAAAGGGCCAGCGAGGTTACTTCAGCAGCCACTACGAAATCCTCTGACGCCGCTTTACCTACAAGAAAAAGGTCTCAATCTGCCGCTGGACTGCGTGATACCCCGGAAGAAGATAACAGCACTCATAAGCGCAGCAGGCGTATCAGAAATCGCGAGAGTACTGCTGAAACTCCCGTTGACCCAACGACTCAATATGTGGAACAACTGAAGACGTTTGCCCGTGCCGACGATGACGTTTTCACATTCGTTGGGACCATGCTCCAGAAATTAGGCGTCGAAGATTTGGGGACACGTGAGGATCTCCAAGTAGCTTTGGCGGTTGATACAGCCACCGACCGTAACGAGATTAGAACCAATACAGCAGTCAGAGATCTACGTGATATCATGAAATCTTGGGACGACATCAAGGCAACTGTATTCGAAACGGCCAGTGCCGCAGATGTTCTGGGGAATTCTGGGGGTAACGCGAATGCTGGTATGTCTGCTTTTCTTGAGCATTCGAGTTCGGTATCACAAAAGGTAGCCAACAAGCCACCACCATTTGCCGAATTTGGCGGAATCACATGGTTCGCACAAAGAGTCGAAAAAGACTGGATGCCGTTACAAGATGTTGTTTTTGAGTGGCTGCGTATTGTTCTGGCGACCTATCTACAACGCCAATGGAGTGCTGAACTGAAAGTCGCCGTCGTTCGAATGACTAGTTTTCTGGATGCAGATATTTATGATCGAGTTCGGTCAGAGTTGGAATTAAGTCGCTCATCCGGTGAAAATTCTACCCAGATATCACAGCTAGAAGAGATGGTGGAAACAATATTTGAACTTCACCTTGACGTTTATTCACGAATTACCAACGCAGACAGCATGGTTGGTATGGATATTAGGATCATGACAAAGGATCGGCTTGATCGGTGGGCAAGTTTTGCGGCCTTTGTGATGCGCAGTCGGCAGCATGAGCGGGACGATCAATTATCTACAAGGTACTTGTGGGCATCTGTCTTCTATGCCACAGTTCCCGGAGAGAGCTTACGAGAGCATAAAGTACTTCTATGGACAAATCTTAGAGACATCCTCGACAAAGCGGGAAAACCACCAATTCTACTTACGAACAATGCCGTTATATCTGAAATCTCCACCTCTGCTGCAGACCGGGAGGTCTCAAGTTTGACAACGATGGAATTCTTTCAAAATCTTTTCCAACCTGGTAGATCCGACCCGTTAGCAATTATTCAAACACTCGAGCCAGTGCTTGATCCAGAAGCCACATCTCAGTCTGCAGTAATGGAGATCGCAGACTCACAAGAGAGCGAGTTTTCTAAAAACGGAGAAAACACGCCAGCGATTTTACGTGACATGTGGAAGTTCTTGGACAGTGGGAGCACATCACTTCGCCTTTTCTTGTGGCAGCGTTTGAGTGAAGCATATGCTAGCATCGAATACAAGACTAAAGTATTCTCTTGTAGTTTAAAATGCATTGAGATCCTCGTTGCGGAGTTTAGAAGTGAGGATTACTTGAATTGTGATGATGAGACTCGTCGCCAGAAGATGCTGGTATCGTTCAAGGCTCTTGACCATCTATTGGTTCCAGCATTGACCACAGCACTAAACGAAGCTACAACCTGTTTTGAGATCATTGACGACCGTCATATAAGATCAACATGTGCCTCACTGGCGCAATTGAGTCGTATCCTTCACGCCGCCGCAGTGTTTGATGACGAAGTCAGAGTAGGAAGCATATCACTTCCACAGAATGGGGCTTATTCTGCGTTTGGATCTTTTAGCAATTTTGCTAACAAGATCAAGGAGATGCAGGTACGTACATGGGCATTACAATACGCTATGGTCAAAGAAGCTACAGCTCAGAATCGTGATCTCTTTCCCACTCCAGATAATGATCTTGCAGATTTCCTTGCACTAGTGCACTATTCATTGGGTCTGAGGAAGTGCTGCAAGGCTTCAAACAAGATATTTCTCAAGATGATGAAGCAAGAAATGTCACGTCTTAAGCACATCGATAAATGGGAAGACTATTTGGGCCAGGTATTGTTCGACCTATACGGCATTAAATTAGGTGTTGGCACGTTCCTTCTCGAAGATCACGGCTGTCCTATAGAAAGTTTAGATCGACGAACTGTCATGAATATCGCAGAACAAGTCATCTCGCTTGCGAACAACATGCCGATGAAAGATCTCATGAAACACGAACTTAAGCCCACAATTGAGAAAATGCAAACTGCTGTCGGCCAGCCCAAGGAAACGCCTACAATGCTTCACAACTCCAGGAATATCTCGGAGTATTTAAAAACTCCCATTCGCCCTCTTGATTTATATCTAGCCATGAGAGGCGAGTCGCAGATTGATTCCATTTCTGTACATACTCCAGAAAGTCCTCTTGCCGACAAGGGTTGGTATTATCTTTTGGGTATGCTCGCTCTAACAAAATACCGTTCAACGAAGCGAGTAAGTGCTGGCTCGCAAACAGATGACTTGAGATTTGCTGCACATTTCATGAAGCTTCAGCTGCAATACACTGTGGATCACTGGGAAGCGTGGTACAGACTTGCACAATGTTATGATTTAGAACTTGAGGAAGAAGTCTTGTGGAGCGCAGATAAAATGAACAATGATAGACCGCTTTTGGTACGGTTGCAAAAGTGTTCCATTCATTGTTATATCATTGCGCTCTCTACAGCAATGCGATGCGCAGATGGTTCATTTGGAACGGCCGAAAAACTGTCCGAAATGTATTATGATTTTGGAATGCGTCTCTATGCATCATCTCGGGAGCCGTTTAGCATGGAAGTGTTCTGGGTTGAAGAGGAAAAGCATATGAGCGGGACAGAAGGAATGTACAAGAAGATGCCTTTCGAAGAAATGAGTAGATACAAGTTGTGGAGGTATGCATCAGAACTATTCAAGCGCTCTCTGGCGGATCGGCCAGATTTCTGGATGTAAGTCTAGTTTGTGATCCGTGTGCAGCCTGATGCTAATATATTTAGGAACCATTTTATGCTGGGAAAATGCCAGTGGAAGATCATAGCCAGTGCTCGAGAGGAATGGAGTGACAAGCCTCCAACCAATGTTCCCACCATGGATATGGTCCTGAGTGCATTTGTTCGCGCCATAGAAACTTGTCCAAAACCAAGTAAAAGCAGCCAAGAACCTATCTTGGAACCGCATTACAAGCTCGTATCTCTTGTCCATAAACTTGTAGCACGGGGAGAAATGGAATTCAAAGATGCTGCCAAACTTCTACAGGATCAGCCGTACGGTCCACGAAAAGGGGATCCCTTTGTGATTGAAAGCGATGAAGATTGGGAGATCTTCATTCTTGCCTGCTTTCGCCAGCTACGGAATGCAGACAAACCACATTGGCATCATCGTATGATTGCTCGGGTAGCTAATATTCTTTACGATGAGGCCAAACCGGATTATGTTCAAGCTTGTGCAGCTCGTATCGAGTTCCGTGAGTCAATATTTACCAAGGCCATGTCCATGCAAGTCTGGAAACCGGAAGTGGAACGACCAGGAAGGCATTTTGTCTACATGCGACGTTATGCTATATTCATGGCCAGATTGTTGTTTCTTATCAACGACAAAGCAAATATGGAATTATTGGCTAAGCGTGTAAGGAAACGAGCCGTCGATTACTACAAGTTTAGTGATGTTTGGAGCGAATGTTGCACAATATATCTTAGGCTTATTCGTAAAGCGGCCAATATACCTGCTAATGTCGACGAGGTGTTTAGAGGAATCTCCCAGGAGGGGTGGGATGCATACTCACAACGCATCGAGGATTCTATCAAAGATGGCAGTCTTTCGCATCCAGCCCTTGATGCTCTGCGTGAGACTATTGAGTTAAAGAGGCTCAATAATGGTCTTGCGAAGATAACTCCGATCGATGATATGATCAACGATATATGGGCAGTTCTTTACATCCAGATTGTGAGAGACACTCCTGTCATTGATGTATCAACGTTACAACAATCCCAGGTTGATGGAGAGGCAACAGCAAGAGCGTCGGGCCCGATGAATCTCAATCATATTCTTACGAACACAGAATCCAATGTATCCACTTCAATTCCTGCTGTTGAACCTCCTAGGCCTCGCAAACTTGGCATCAACCGCAAGGCAGTTATTATGAGAGCCGAACAATCAATCAACCGTATCGCGGAAGCGCCTCGGCCTGTCGCCGGTTCTCGCCCTAAAAACGCTGCCTCATCTTCTGTTTTACCTTCGAATGCGTCACCTCTTATTGCATCAGCACCCAGAATCGAAATACCCTCCACGGCAACCCAGCAAAGTACAAGAAGGGAGGACAGTTCGGCACCAGGAAGTGTCCATGACAGTGCAGATGATGAGAGTGATTTGAGTGATGTTCCTGATATGGACGACCTGGATGGATCTTTGATATTCCCGAACCTGGTAAGAAGAAATGAGAGTGGTAGCGTAGGGCACAGTCCTACACCGGGAAATAATGGGTGAAGGCCTGGGATTCAATGCATAATTATTTTTTGCTTTTGATAGGAGTTCGAAAAGGGAATACCCATGGTTGCGTATATGCGCTGTAGCCTTGTACTGTATCAAAAGAGTGCCATGCAAAATTAGATAACGGATTAATGAGCTTCCTTGCCTTTCGCTTTTGTATTTTTACATTTACAATACACATTATTTACTCTCTAAAACTCACTGCGAGTGCAGTAGATGTCGCATTTGCTTGGAATACGGCGATTGGGATGAGATTAATGTAGGAGGACGAACAAAATGAAAGCATAGCATAGCATAGCACAAATCTAGACAAAAAACATACAAATTTGCAAGCTTCATTCTCTTGCATACCTTATATCATCCGTCCATTATTCCCAGTAACTTATTAGGCTCAGAGCCAGAACTCTGCTCTATTGAAGTCAGCCCAAGAAAGCTCGAGGAAGCTAATGCCAACCGATAGGAATAAGGAAAGAGTTAGGCGATTTATCTTCTCAGAGTACTCAACGCCGCATTTCACGACATCCCATGAGACCTGTCCAGCCGCACCTCATGCCGATGAGAGCTTTATTCAGCTTGGTGGGGAAACCATCTTCCATCAAACTAAATGTGAAGTAAAAGCAAGTTCTGCAAAGGCTGTAAAAATACCTCTCCGAAAGGCATTATTACCTAACTCCACACCCATTAACATAAATCCTCTCATTCCCAGTCTCCTCCCCTCGATACATTCATCTATCTATCTCAATTAATTCTATTACATTTCCTTTCACATCCTACCAATTTTCGGCCCTTTGGAAAAACAACAATATCTGTACCTGTACCACTTCCCACAGAGCTACGTACATATATATTCACAACGTATCTTACATACCAACAAAACCTTGCAAACCACCGACATACACCGTACTTATCCTATAATAAAGTATCTAGGTATCTAACAGTAACCCTAGACCATGCAACGCAACGCAACATGACAAATAATAAATAACAAATAACAAGTCTAAAACCTAAAACTCAATGCAAGAAGCCGGCCACACTCGGCTCAGATCCGCAGCACGAGAATACCATATGTACGTGCCATGTGACGTTCTCGGCGCACCGGTAATAAGTGAGTACCTAGGTAAGTAACACAAAAATTCCATAGGATATTGATTTTGTGGGGAAATGGATCAAATGGATGATGGCGGGTAGATGCAGGAAAGAGGTGCATTTTTATTACTAAATTCTGTGTTATGGAATGAGATGGATTGGTGGAATATTGTGTGGTGGGACATACTACTACTAGGTAGTTTATAAATAATTTTATGGTGGGTGTACCGGCACTAGATAGATGATGTGATGTGATGATGCTGAGTTGGTGTTATGTACGAGTAATGGGTTTAATGAGGGGTACTAGGAGTTTCGAGAATTAATGTTTTCATGTGTCTCCTTTACTGGTACATATGTACTTATGTACATGTTTGCCAAGTTTCAAGGGGATCTACGGAGTAGGCAAAGATGGAGCTTGATGCTGAAAAAGTGAAGTAGATAATTACTCCTTCTTGGCAGGAATATATATATATATCTATGTAAAATTATAAACGGACTGTCCAAGCAGGAAAAAGGTATGTTTAGATAGGTCACAGGTATCGACAACTTTTGGTTTTTATCTGCCAGTCATCTTGCGCTCGTACCATCGCATGGGAGGATACGTCACGACAGTGAAGGCAGCGCTTAGGAAAATTCCAACATCACCTCCAAACGGTCCAAATTTAGCTGCAATCGGACCTGGTTATTGTGTTAGTGTGTGAATATGTTTTGGAAATTAGACTGTTCACTTACCGACATACCAAACCTGAGCCATACCCGGCAAACCACCAGCCAAATAACCAATCAAAAGAGACAAAACGGCGGCTAAACCCCATGGTAGTTTGCCTGGTACATCCCAATAGTTCAATTCGTAACCTTCTGTACGACGGAACCATTTATCTTCTATGAGGAGAATAAATGTGTAAGAGACTGTCCAGTATCCCAAAAGAGAGACAAAATTGCTGACAATAGTGGATAAGTGCGCTCTACCGGCAATTGCGAGAACGGCAACGACCAAGGCATTGGCAAATGACCAAACAAATCTCGGAATTGCATGGAAATAGTGACCAAGTAGTTGAAGTGATAGACCACTGGAGTAGTTTACCGCTACGTTGTTACCGATAACGGAGAAAACCAGGAGGACGAGACAAAATTTGGCGAAACGGAAAGGATGGAAAGACTCTATAAGAAGACCACCAAGTCCATGGTCATCATATGCCGTTGTTAAAACTGGATTTGATTGTGAAGCCAGTGCCGCATTGCCAAGACATGCACCTATAATTGTCACAAAGATCGTAGGAAGGCAAATTCCCGTTATAGTGAGGACGTACATCTTCCAGCCTTTAGTGTCCGCAGGATAGTTGCAGTAGTAATCCGAAGCCATTGAGCACCATGCCGAGGCGGAGGAAAAGCATACAGCGAAGAAACTCAACCAAGAGCCAGAGAAATTGAGACCAGATACAGTAGACGGTAGACTTGGCTCCATCTTGGGAGCGATTTGGCCAATCAGGATACACATGAGAATGAATGTCATGATCCAAGAGTATTTCTCCCATGTATGAATGAGTTTGAAGCCGAAAATCGATACGACGTAACTGATGATTGCGATAATGATAATTCCAACCACAATTGTCATTGTATAATCGGAGACGGCTGCCAAAATCTGACCCACGACCACAATGTTGACCACGGCAAATCCTCCACCAACAACAACATTAAGAATTGAGCAGAGTTTTGCGCCGTAGAAACCAAAAGAGTATCGAGAAGATGTAATTGCACGGAGACCGAGCTAAAGCCTCATTAACCATGATCCCAAAAACAAATTTCTAGGACACTTACTCTTGGACCTAGAGTGCCACAGTACGCAGTGCAAGCGGCTCCCAAAACGGTTGCGACGATAATTACGCCGATCGCCTGACTCAAGGAGAGGCCATAGACTTCGGGATCCGTACCAAGAATGCCAATCGGTAGGGTACCGACATGACATGTGAGAGACCACCAGAGGAAAAACACATTGAGAATCGATGGCGGTTGCTTGTCTTCTTCACGTATTCTGTCAATGCCTTGCGTTTCTATTCCCATCTTCTCGTCGAGCCATTCTTCACCACGTCGCAGTGTGCGCAAGAAGCCTTTCCGTTGTGCAAGTTCCCTAGCCACTATTACATCGTCGGATTCGCCCTCGGATTCATGACTTCCGTCCGCAATCACGGCAGGACCAAGATCTTTTTCGAGACGGCCGCTCTCCAGATCATGGGAATGTTTAGCATCATGAGCATGTTTTAGATCAGCTTGATCACCATGAACAAAGTCTGCCATTGCTCCAGTGTTGTCGATTTGGAGAAGCAAAATGAAGAGAGAAAAACTTTCTTGGACGAGTGGGACAATTGGAGGGGCACACGAGCATGTTACATATGTATGCAATGGAAAGCTAAGGCTTGACATTCTAGAAATTAATTTTATTCATGCCTTGGGAACAAATCAATTGATCAGGGAAACGATAGGCTAGCTATTCGTTCAAACCCTGATAAGAGCTCACAAAGATGGAGTGTTTGGCAGGCCTTTGGAGATCTTCACTGGTCCGTGATAGATAAGCGTCCTAGTTGGTTTCTTCTTGGCGGTTCTTTATCAGGAAGGTATCTTGTGGTTAGTGGAGCAAGGTACGGGATGTGGAAATATGGCGGACGCTCCGTTTTGCATAGTTTTCAATTGGCCGAAGAGGCACAGGAGAGCAGGACTATGATAAAGCTGTATAGAGTGCCAAAAGAGTACCCCAGATTGGCCACATTGGGGTAATTATTGGATATTTGAAAGGGTTAACATCGGCGCACGCCGTTTACCACGTTTCTGAAGATCCATCTACTACTAATGGGATATAATCCGACCCTGTTCGACGGAAATGGCTCCAGGATCAAACCAAGAAAGGGTTCAAAAGATAGTGGTGATACGAAGTGTAAGCCGCATCCAAATTTCTGATATGGGAATCGTAAGAACCTTGGAAGACAACCACATGTTGTTTGCTATTAGATCTTGAGATGGAGTGGGACGGGTAAAATGCTGGTATGAGTGGCGATCTGGGCTCTGGGGTACAATGCAATAGTCGAAAAGTACAGCCACGAAAAGGTATCATGCGGATGGCTGGAGTAACAGCTCATGTTGTGAAGAGGGAAGAGGAAACGTTCTCGTGCAACGAAACACTAAGCTGGCTGACAAGTTGACATGTTCATGTCCATGTCCATGTCCTGATAAAGGTAACAGGATCCGTGTTTTGTCAATGCAGTGACCAAAAGCTGAAATGCAAGGATTGATGTGAACGTGCCACTTGATAAGGTAAAGAAGTGGCGCGGGCATTATCACGTGGAATCGGGCAAGGAATCATTAGAAGCGACCTCAAATATCATCCATGATTCATGTCGTAGATAAGGCTTTGATACATACACCTGAGTGGTGTCTAGCTCTATGATGGAGTGTCGACCTAGAAAACATACATCCATCCCCTAGTCCCCGAATCCGCACGCCGAGGTAGTTTGAAGGAAGGATCGATCACGATTTTCCTGAGCAATGAATGCTTTCTTGGTAGGAAAACCATTTGCGCCAAGGAAGCTTGTTGGAGGGTAACTTAAATTCAACGACATCAAATATTCCAATGCTGTGCTATGGAATTTCCCCATTTGAAAAAACTTCTCTTCGGGCAGTATGGAACTTGTTGCCTATCTTTCAAAGTCCACAAGATTATCGTTCCGCTAGCGTTACTAATGACCATCTTGAGCACATCTGACGAAGATTGTTTGGCTCGAAGGACTACTCCTGCTTGTTTGAGCATCGTTTCTCCCATGCCCTTTCTGCTCACTCTTTCAGCACTTGCTTTGGCTTTATCTAGCTAGGAGGATGCTTTTCTGAACTTTTGGCAATAACAGGCCTAAACCTGCAACATGGCCAGGCATAATTGCCAAGATGACCAAGTCTTTCTACCATAAATTCCCACTGGAAACTTTCCAAAAGGTTTGCAGGACGAAAGCTACTGCTGAGAAATCTCAAAAGTGACTGGACGCCCGTGTGCGGAAACTTCTCTACTTTTCTCTCCATGTTTTCAAAGTGAAGCAATGACGTAACAGCATTATCTCGGCTTTCTCTTGGCTTTCCACATCCAATTTCTATGAGGTTGTGGCTCTTTATACTGTCATCGTTTCATATCCACAAAACTCTGTCATCAAGGTAGCGAGAAGCAGAGAAGGGGAATCGGATGATGGATATAATTGTGCGAAGGCTCTTTGGATGAATCAATATATCAGATGTCCGCCTTACTACCTCAATCACGCCATCTCTCATGCGAACTGGAAGTGGTCGGTACGGTATTGGGCGTGAGAATTTCCAGGAGCTCGGGTTAATTGGTTGACGCGGTGGCAGAGAGGTGAAGAAGTCAGTGAGTCTTCCATCGATTCTCCTAGCGATAAGTATCAACGGCATCTGATGAGACGCGTTTTCCACCAACCTAGCGAGCCTTTCAAACGCGTTTCTTTGATTGAAATTAGCCTTACAACACCATCGTCTTCAGCATACACAGTGCGATAACATCAACAAAACACAATGGATGTCCCAACAGGAATTTTTCAATGGCATTTAAGACGCCATCATCAGAAATATGACGAATAGCTAGCGCATACGTCCACGGGTAAACTTTTTTCCTTACTGCGCCGTATATCGTTCCAAATATCCTCCACGTCTGTCAAGATGCTAGAGAGGCAACCTTGAAATACAATCGACTGGTGTTTGCAGGCAAATTAGGAAGCGCACTTGCCTGCATGCCTATGACCATCGTCGCGATCCCGTTACATTCTCCATAAGATATTTGACCGCTCTCTCGCGCATAGGATTTTCGAATCATGAGAAATGATATAGATTTGATCATATCTGCCAACATGCGTTATAACATACACGAAGATCTTTATACTCTTCAAGTCTCCAATGATAGAAATCCTCACCTGGTGAACTCCACACGCTATGGACTGTAAATGAGAAACCATATGCCTGTTATATTGATGGGAGGGAATCAAAAGTCGTGAAGTTTATACGCCGGTTCTCGGGACCGCTTACGCTTTGTCAACATCCCAAATGACAACAGAGACTTGGCAGTAAAGTCGTTTATGAGTAAGCTGCTGTATGTCTGCGGAGTGCAGGTTGTTCTTTTACGAAATACGGATCTAGGATTCCTGGGACTGAAGTTTCATCTACAGGATCGCTGAAGGAGGTCTCTGGGTAGTTACCGGGGAGAAAGTATGGTTGAATTTGACTATACTTTCAAAGTGGGATAAGCAATTTCTGTGTACACTCTTGCATCATTGGATATTTAAAATGTCTTAAATGAAGCATGCAATTAAAAGCTAAACTAATTGTTGAAGGGCACAGTCTCGTATTACTCTTGAGTAACTCACAAGGTCCTCAAGGGAAGGAATCCTGTAATCTAGGGCTATCAGTGGACGTAATTTCAGAAGAGCAAGATCATTTAGGGTAGATGTGAAGGATACCTGAATAATCGTAGCCGTACTGGATAAGGCGGAAGGCTCAATTTGTATGAATGGCATAGTAGAAGAATGGATAGGAGAATGAAGGAAGTAATGCATTCGCAAGTCCGCTTGAGAGTACGCAACATTTCATTGTGATGAAAACCCCGATAAAACCCCCTGGTTTTCCCAACAACCTCATAGAGTGGTGGCTGGGGTCGTATTCTTCTGCCTCGATAGAATCTCCGAGATTCATTCTTGTAAAGTTCTGCTCGCAGTCTCTATTCCTTGCTACTTTTCCAATCCTGCGTTTTCATAGCTTTGAATATAATTCCTAATCTCAAACAGTGCGATTGGCAAGGAACATCGACATGCGCCTTCAAGTCAATTGCACTTCCAAATCGCTTGCCGCAACCACCATATGTTTTAAGACAAACATAGGGAAAGCGACCAAGATCAATTATCAAACAATCGAGTTGCTTCTTATCAAGATGAGTTGGGGGATTGAAGCACTGTTTATTTTGTGGTTCCAAGTGTGCTTTGAGGGCATCCAATGTTTCAAGCTGTCGTCCACACCCCCATATATCCCCCTCCATGGGATCTTTGCAGAAAGCTAAATTGCGGAATGCGACTCGTAAGATTCTGTCTTTTCTATCCTCAAGTAGAGGGTTCAAGCAACCTACACCTTGACTTGAACTCAAGTGTGCTTTGAGTGCATCTAGCCTTGTGAATTTCCGGCCACATCCCCAACGTACACCATAAGAACCGCCACCGCAGTGGGCTGTGATGGCATTGGCATGCAGGCGCTCGTGGCGACGACAGTCTTTGAGTCTGGAAAAGGCTTTTTCACAGGAGCAACACTTATATGGCCTCTCATCTGTATGAGTCCTAGCGTGCTCACGAAGTGTAGTTCCTCGTGTGAAAGTCTTGAAACAAAACTTGCAAATATGAGGGTCCCCTCTTTTCCTGGCTTCATTGGCATTAGGTGTGCGTTCGGAAGGAGATGCTGTTGGTGAAGGAAAGCTTTCTTGAGATGTGGTGGACGAGGGTAGAGTCTTTATCGGCGCTTGAAGGTTCGACCTTACGGCATCCAGCTGTTTTTCAGTATGATAGAGATCCCTCAGGCCTGAGAATGTTAAGCCACTTTTGTTAATCCTTTGGTGCTCTTCCATATCTCGATTAGCCGTGGAAAAGTCAAGCCTTGGGACAGAAGAGCAGGGTCTTCGCACCGAAGGTATTGCAGAATAAGAATGTTGTGTGCTTTGAGCGGTATGAGGAAGCGGTGTCGTCGAGATTCTATGAGTCGATGTACTGAGCATTCGGTTGTCATCGTTTGTGCCACTGTAGCTTGATCCTGCTTTATGAATGGGGGATTCCCAAATTGGTCCATGGATGTTTTTACCATAATGAGTTTGGGTGATCTCGTTCGAAAGTTGTTCGCTTGCTTCCCACATAGCGTTGATGGTCGATATCAACTTGGGGGTGATTGCATCAATGTCGCCCCAATAGAAAGGAGACCTAATACTGGAATGTGTGGATTCGTCAGCTCTCCTTTTTTTGAAAATTTCCAAAGATCTGCTCAGTTGGTCTGGCGAGTTGTTGACCTCGTCTTTGAAAAGCGAAACGTCTGTGACGGGATCCTGTCCCGAGAGTTTGATAGTCATGATTCTTCAATGTTAACATATAGAATGAGTTGATTGGAGAAAGCACTGGTCTTTTACATAATTTTTTGTAGGTGTCTTAGTTGATTAGAGCAAGCATCACCTTGAGTGAGATGATTCTGTACTCCGTACACAGCCCATCAGAGTAAGTCTCGGCCACCAGGCGCAACCCATAATCTGGATTCCCAGGCCAAGCTCTCGAGAAGTGCACCGCCATATTAGGTAATTTCAAGACAATGAATGCTTTACAATTCTTCACTTCGGGAATTTTCAATCTGTCGTTCTGGTCCCTGTGCATCACTTACTGTACGGCTATAGTATTTTCCGATGCTATCGTGATTTAGTGTAATCCAAAACTATAGATTTGTATATTGTATGTTGTATATCGCATATTGTAATATCATGTTTAGTGTTAAAACTTCGGACTTCTGTCTTCCCTGAAGCCTTTCACTCCCCAAAGCTTCTCAACTATTTTAAGGCCCTTTCTTTCTTCAATACCTTTTCACTCTTCAAAGCCCTTGAAACCCCTCACCCACACGACACTGAGAATAGGGCCCGTTCTAGCTTGTCCAAATTACTCATATCAATGCCACACAATCTAAAGGCATGCAATGCTATGATACACAACATATATTGGGAAGCCATACATCCATCAAAATTCATTCCAAAGAACTTGGAAGACTAGCTAGAAGGTGGGATATAGTGAGGCGAAAACTATGACCTGTCGAAAATTTATTGTGTTCTCGTACCCGTCAACATTTAGGCCCTTTCATTTCCCTTAACTGCATCGCTTGGGCACAATAGAGCTGTGTTACCCCGGAAAGTAACAATATGAAATGAGAGACAAAAGGAAATTGGGGGTCAAAGTGCATTTTTGGGAATTACTTTTTTTTGCAGTTTGTGATCTAATTGGGTGATATTTCTATCGGAAACCGGATGGATTTGGAAGGAGAGGTCTCTCAACTTCTCTATTGAGTGCTAGATTCTATGATGTTGAATCAGCCTCGAGTTCCTGCAGCGTGTGTTGTGTGCTAACGTCTTCATTCGGTGTTTGTTTGGTCACCAAATTTTCGGTATGGTAAAACCAGGTTCCTACCGTATAACCCAATGAGCTCTTCTAGACCTTTCAAATCGCTGACATTTCACTTCAGCGTCGTAATCTTTCATCCAAACATTTCATACGTCAACATCAAGTTCTCACAAGTATTAGTTTTTTTAAATAGCTCGTTGAATCTGCATCGCCAGAATTTTTCATCTTTGTATTGTCGACATTGATGCTTGGACGCGTGCCGCGTTGCTGTGTCACGCTCAAGTATCCACCTATAGTTGCCCAAAATTAGCAGGAAAACGTGCTAGCCTTACGCCGAATCATACACTTCTTTCGAAACACCTTTCCCAGAATCATGACTCTTTTCACGACAACAATATGGCACCAGGAGAGTTGGCAGAATGTCTAGATCAGACGTGGCGACACACTGTCGTTGAGTGGCCAAAGACTGAACTGAAGGCAGATCTGAATACTCCGGTATTCATGGCCATGAATATATACGTATACTACCCTCCTCCCATTGTTATACTCTCCTTAACTTCTGACGCACTAGACAATTCTTCTCTACCAAACTTCTGCTGGAGTTGTTCCACGTCGCTTTAGCCTTTTGAATCGCTTCTTAGTCATCGCAAATTGAGGCCAAATTGTCCCTCCTGGCTATTTCTTTCGGCGAAACTGATATCATTATTCTCAACAAAGTATACAGTTCCGCCCCACTTACCGGCTCCCGTCGAAGGAATAATTTACCGCCACGATTCTCCTGCTGTGTACTCGGATTGACCTGTATCTCTCCTCGATATATTTCAACCAAAACACACGAGCGTGCGCTAATCCAATACTCCGTACCTTCTCGAAAAATGCCGCCCATTCCAGCTCAGATCATGTGGACCCCGGATATCATTGCAACTGTGGTGTACAGAGTCACCATGGTCTTCGTGGGTCTCATGTATACTTGGAGGAAGTATCGACAACCGCTAAGAACAGATGATAGCAAGTACCCCCCATCCCCTTACATGCCATTTCCTAACTTCTTTGTGTATAGTGCACCGAATCGCCGAGCTCCTTGCTGTACGAACATCGTTGATGGAGGCGACTTTCGAAGGAAGTCAGGACCCCACTCCCACAAAGTCGAGCGACTCGAACGATATCGTGCAAGCTGCTGTGCAGACGTTTGAAGCATTGGTTTCGACAACTTTGGACACGGATAGTGATGGTACTCCGGATACTCTCTCGATCAACCTTGAGCTCGAACAAGTGCAGAGTTCAAAACCCGATCGACGTCAAGGTGTCAACAGATCGAGTAAAGAAAATTAAAATCCTTCAAAATTTTCGACCACCATGCGATCTGCTATCGCTGTTGAATGGTTTTCGAAAGGATAATCACCGAAAAAACAATCGGGAAAAAGAAAGTCATTGAGCGAGTGACGTTGAGAGAATGATCCCTGAGAGAACATTTATTGAGAAGATATATGCTAAAAGGATGGTCGTTGAGAGGATAGTCAGATGTGGCAGACAATCTCTACTGTGGTGTTTTGGAGGATGTACATAGCGACGTGTCAGGTTATTTATTATTGGATTGTATCTTTTTATTTATTCTATTGTATATTTGGAGGGTATATATAGCGATATATCAGATTATTGATTGTTAGATTGTATCTTTTAATTTATTCTGTTGTATTTTTGAAGGATGCATATAACGATGTGTCAGGTTATTGATTGTTAGAATACATCTTTCTATTGTATTTTTAGGGGAGTTTTATAAAGCGGCTGATTTCCAAAATTATGTCTTTTCCCTATTTCCACTAGCTTTTATTTCACATTCTTACCATTTGAATCTCGTGATTTTTACTTGATATGTCTCGGCTGAGACATAGGGGAGTGGGGAATATTCTCCGACGAACTTCAAAAGTAGGGAACAAGTACATAACTCAACTACGTATATATTCCGCTTTGCACAAAACTTTGTGCAACATTCCACAGTACATGAAAATTATTAGGCAATATGACCGAGAATTCCTTCCTAGAATGAAGAACTTACCACATTCAGACGAGGAATGATACAAATTTCGAGTAGTGCTGAAGTAATGATCTCAGTGAAGCTTAACGACGCTAGTGCCGGGGGTCATAAGACGATGACATGCGACTTGTGCACTGGTTAAACAATTGTCAACAACCAACACTTTTTTCACCTATGAACCTAAAAACTCAATAATTTCTCTTGTCTTTATATATCAGATGAGAATTTGTAGCTCATTTTTTGGAACTAAGATCTATTTTCCCTCCTTTTTATGGGTATTCACTTTCGTCCCGAGGCGAATTTAAAATTGCAAGCAAAAGTCACAAGGCATTTGGAACATTCGACGGGGCAGTAAGGAGGAGGAGTGAAACAAGTAAGTTCTGTTACAACTAGTCTGTAACTCCCTCTCTTAAAGCCTCTTTGCAATTGCAATACTCAACACACTCAACAAAGCAGTACGAGGACTAGAAAACAAGAAACTTACTTAAGTTTAGACAGTGCAACTCCCCGACGGATACAGTAGCAGGTATTAGATATCAGGTAGCGAAAAGTATACTCCTGCGGTGAAAGAAGGGCGCTGAAAGGCCACAGGAAAACAATGCAGCACTTGAGGCACATCGCGGCGCTTTTCGCCATCTTCCTCTTCATTTCGAGCGACAATATAGTTGGAGCTCGCCGTCACAACCGTCGACAATCTCCCTGTACAGTCTCTTCAGCTCCAGGCTCTCCGTCTGCCTCCACAACTCCTCAACCACCGCCAGTTTCAACACCTGCATCCACATCTCCAATCAGTTCCTCTGTTCCAACATCCGCACCATCTTCTCCTGGCCCGCCAAATCCACCAGTTTGCAATATGCAATCTCCCGGCATCTGTCAACTTGCCACTAAAAGCAATTTTGCCGGCAATCCCCTCGTCCAAGATGCCTGGATCTTCAACCCATCTTGCAATGTCATTGGCGGTACAACTGGTCTTGCGTTGTACCAAACTCATTTCTTGGCTTCACAATTGCCTTATGGAATCGTATTGACGGGAAATAGTCCTACCGCATCCCCTAGCTTTGACTATGCAGGCGGTCATTATGGAGTTGGTGGTACGGATGGTGGAATTCCGGGTTGGTGGTGTGCGATTGAGGCAGATGGTACTTATGATTGTTATGCGCTATTTAAGTGTTAGGAAACGATCAAGGAGTGACAGTGTTGCTCGTCGAGAATAGCCGAAATTTTGAAATGCTCGATGAGTGGTGGCTGGTGGGAGACGGGTGGAACTGCTTTGACGACGGTGGCTTGCTGTGATGGGAGGATATATTCATAGTTGGTTGGTTCTAGGACGCGATTGGATATTATCACCTTCTCAATGGACTCCCAGCGAGTTAATGATAGTGTTGTATCTCCCTGAAAATCCTGCGAATGGGTTTGCACAATACACTGGCCGAACTTGCTCATAGTTGGAATTTGATAGGACACGGATTTGAAATTGAAACAGCACTTAGACTGGTAGTGGTAGATAGTATTATAAGCATATTTTTTTTTCAACAAATGCGATGTTCTCAGATATAAAAGACCTCATCCAGTACCTAGGTCCTGATCGGAATGCCTATATATTCAGGTACTAAGCTAATCGTCAAGATCCGGCTCACTAGAGCGTCCTTGAGGAAAGTTGAATCGAGGCACCTGAAGGCAAGAACCTCTGAGTCTACCCAGGATAAGGAAATGAGGAACCGGCTTTTTTAATTTAAAGCTTTAAAAACTTCAAGCAACAAATATGACTTGGAAAAGCTTACACGCCGTGCACCCCCTGAATAATCTCCCGAGGACGACGACGTCAACTTTTGGACTCCATGGCAAAGTGCGGGGAACCAACCAGTAACCTTAAGCTGAACGAAGATTGTACGATACCGATAGTGTCTATACAACCACTCTCACAAACTCCATATCACAAGGGACCAACTAACAAACATATCCGGAAGCTTCTAGGTTTCTCCAAGAAAGAAATGATTAAAGCACACATCCTTAGGTTCAAGCGCTGAGCAATTCCGTACTCATTGCAATTTATTCGACATCAAATCTCGAAGGGATCAATGCATGAATGCTTGTCAGCGAATGAATTTCGTAACTGAAACTAACATTATAACATTATTGCCTTGTGAAAGAAGTGGCTCGGTGGTTTCAGGGAAAGGATGACAATTTCCGTTCCCCTCTTTTCTCTTCAATCATCCTTCATACTTGATTTCAAGTATTCGGTATTCTTATTCAGATATTGGTCGCATTTCAAAGTTATTTATTTCAAGTTATTTTGACAATTTATTTGGTTGGAGAGATTCATACGAAAGCAAACAATATCAAGCTCGAGGCTCTAGGTTATATATTCGGGAAGCCAAAGATCGTCGAACTTGTCTTTGTCTGTCGTCATACTTTTACGAGGAACCCACCAGCCAATTCTTATCACGCCCATTCATTTCGGTTTACCTACCTTCTCTTTCCCAACCATGTCTCTACCGTTCGAAATCCAACGGCGACGCTTCATGCGAGCAGCAAATAGCAAGTACATTTACGGCAGAGTTGTGAGTCTGGCGTGCTTTTCTTTTGATCCCGTTTTGACTCTGGTGCTGGGCCAGGCTGCCTAGTAGTAATCTTAGGGCAAGAACCATTTTCCAGCTTTCAAATGCTAATACATTTTCGCAATTGCAGCCTTTGATCCATACAATTATTTTCCTCATCGAACTCATCATGGTCGGGAGACTCACCGCAAAATTCAACAGCTACTATGCTGCCCGTCCAGTACTCACAATGATGGTTACGAACGCAGTGTTGGGTGGCATAGCCGATACCGTGGCCCAGTCCATAACATCCATAAGACAAGCCGCAGTACGAAAACCAGGAGGAGTAAGGAAGGACGATACTTTGGCGATAGAGATCCACGAACTCGATACGAAAAATCCACTTAACGATCGGGAACTTATCCCAGATTCTAAGATTCTGCCTCCGCCTTTTGATTTCGAGCGATTGACGAGGTTTATGGCATATGGATTTGCGATGGCGCCCATACAGTTCAAATGGTTCCAATTTCTATCAAGGGCATTTCCGATCACAAAGTCGAGTGGCCTTGCACCAGCACTCAAAATGGTTGCAATGGATCAACTGGTCTTTGCACCAGTCGGTATGGAGTTTCGTGATCTTGTTAGAATGTAAGACGACTGACATTTGCTAGGTATCGCCAACTTCTTTACTGTTATGACCATCGCAGAGGGTGGCGGAAAGAGAGCAGTTGCTCAAAAGCTACGAGATATGTATCTGCCAACTCTCAAGGCTAATTTCATGGTTTGGCCTTTGGTACAAATTATCAATTTCCGACTCATGCCAATTCAATTCCAATTGGTAGGTTCTTCCTGATGGACTTTCAATACAAAGCCTTAGTTGCTAATCATTTCTATAGCCATTCGTTTCAACCGTTGGTATTGCCTGGACTGCTTACCTCTCCTTATCAAATGCCGCTGAAGATGCTTTGGATGTTCGATCGGCTCCGGTGTCACCAAACATCAGATTACTATAACTCCAGACCCGAGTATATGGATGAGTGGTGTACGAATGAACCGGATCAGCGGCATAGGGAAGTGGAGTTCTAGGTCTAGGATTTTTGATCTGGATGGGTTACACTGGACAATATATCTATGTATTACGAGTTTCATTTTTCATATCTGGTTGGGACATTGGAATGGTGTTTGGCGCCGGATTTTGGAGGAGGATATCACGATGGTTTTTTTTCTAGATCACAGATACACATATCGAATCAATGCAACAAAGTACACATCTACTCGCAATGATGCACCGGCCTCATATCCATGACCTTTCAGAGTGGGCATTTGATCTTTCATATGCAGTACCTATACAGGAAACCTGGCATGGCTCCTCATGCCCTCCAATGAAATAAGCTGGCTGGAAAGGGCATCTAGACATTTTAGCTAACCTTAGTGGAGATCATAAATCACTTGTATAGTATAAAGTTATAAAACACAATAATCATCTCTCCAATGGCTGAAGCAGATATCAACATCTCAAAGCGCCTCATACTTGGACCCTTATAAAATAATGAGCTAGATTTACAATTGCTTGAGGTTGATCCAACAAGGTCACGGACACCCCCGACAAGCTGCCGAAGAAGCTCCCCTCCCAAGAAAAAGCACCCCACCATGATAGAGGGGCATTGACATTCTATCAAATCTCAACTCACGTCCCCTTTTGCTTTCATTTTTGTTTCTTCCTCAACCAATTTCTAAATCAGTTCAGTTCAAGCTTTTAGACCTTTCGAGAAAAACAATAAGAAGACTGACTACTATTCTTCATCTTCTTCTGTCGAATCTTACCTAGACATTCGAATCAAACACCTTGAAGATGTCTCTTTCAAATAAGCTTTCTATCACTGATGTGGATGTGAAGGATAAGAGAGTTTTGATCAGAGTATGTTTATTGATCTAATCTACCCATCAAATCTTCATCCTATACTACAGAAGTATACTTTGTTGAGTACATATTGGTTATTTTGAATGTCCAATATCTACTAGCACATACTAAATAACGGCATCTAAAATAACGAACCGCACTAACCTCCTCCGCTCCCGCTAGGTTGATTTCAACGTCCCCCTCGACTCCGACAAAAACATCACCAACAACCAACGTATCGCCGGTGCCGTCCCAACCATCAAATATGCCATCGACAATGGCGCCAAAGCCGTTATCCTCATGTCCCATCTCGGACGCCCGGATGGAAAAGTCAACGCTAAATACTCGTTAAAGCCCGTAGTTCCAGAGCTCGAGAAGCTTTTGGGAGGTAAGAAGGTCGAGATGGCGCCAGATTGTGTGGGAAAGGAGGTTGAGGAGATTGTTAATAAGGCCTCTGGGGGACAGGTTGTCTTGCTTGAGAATTTGAGATTCCATGCTGAGGAGGAGGGATCCTCGAAGGATGCTGAGGGAAAGAAGGTTAAGGCTGATAAGGAGAAGGTAGAGGAGTTTAGAAAGGGTTTGACTGCTTTGGGTGATATTTATATCAGTGAGTTCTATTTTTTTTTTACTGTGGATTTGGACTTTTATTGTCCAGCTACGTTTCAGACATTTGGGAGCCCAAAGGGACATGTAAATTCCGGGCATCATTTCCCCCCATCCATGGCTGGTAGAATGTGGATTTTCATTCTCTATTTTTGATGTCAACATTCAATACAGGCTTCAGAAATGTGGATTTCAGCAGCTAACTAAATTTCCAGACGATGCTTTCGGAACTGCCCACAGAGCTCACAGCTCCATGGTCGGAGTTGATCTCCCACAAAAGGCATCTGGATTCCTCATGAAAAAGGAACTCGAGTACTTTGCTAAGGCATTGGAGAACCCTCAACGACCATTCTTGGCTATTCTTGGAGGAGCCAAGGTTTCCGATAAGATCCAATTGATCGATAACCTTCTCGGAAAAGTTGACAAACTCATTGTCTGTGGTGGTATGGCATTCACATTCAAGAAGACCTTGGAGGGTGTCAAGATCGGAAACTCCCTCTTCGATGAGGCTGGAAGCAAGACTGTTAAGGATCTTGTTGAGAAGGCCAAGAAGAACAATGTTGAGCTCGTCTTGCCAGTTGATTACATCACCGCAGACAACTTTGCCAAGGATGCTAAGACTGGTACCGCTACTGATGAGGAGGGTATCCCAGACGGATGGATGGGACTCGACTGTGGGGCTAAGAGTATCGAACTCTACAAGAAAGCTATCGATGAGTCCAAGACTATCCTTTGGAACGGTCCTCCAGGAGTCTTCGAGTTCGAGGCTTTTGCCAAGGGTACCAAGGCTACTCTCGATGCTGCTGTTGATGCTGCGCAGAGTGGAAAGATTGTTATTATCGGTGGTGGTGATACCGCTACTGTGGCTGCTAAGTACGAAGTTGAGAGCAAGCTTAGCCATGTTTCCACTGGTGGTGGAGCTTCTTTGGAATTGCTCGAGGGTAAGGACCTTCCAGGTGTTTCTGCTTTGTCGAGTAAGTAAATTTTGAAGCCACATCAGTAAAATAGTTCGGCTCTGATAGGAAGTCAGACCGTTCAAACAAGTCTAACCTTTAGGAAGGTTCGTTGGGAGCAGAGATAGTAAATGAGAGCTCAAATCACGAAGGGACAGTTGGAGTGACGACAAAATGAATGACCAAAAAAACATTATTATAGAGAATTGCAAATCATGATCATCTCCATTGAATGCCTATCATGTTCTAGTAATTTGTACTGCGATATGCAATATGCTGCATGTGATATGATGTTATGCCCATAAACTCCTGATTGAATGTATATCATCCGACTAACAACATATGCCCCGATCATCTCTTCTTGTTTGCTTCGACTTTCTTCAATTCTTCCCTGTAAATGAAGGGTGGTTAGTATTTATACAGTATGCGAGTGTTGGAAAATGATGGAAAACAGTGTGGAAATCGACGCAATAGCTTGTGAGAGGGAGGGCATGGCAATACATACTTCAATTGTGCTGAGAAATCCTCCGATGTATCATCGTCATCCCAGCTCTCTTCCCACAAATGTGTGTTGTCGCCGGGTACTTCTGTATCTTCTTGGCTCCAGTCTAGAGGGGGGACGTTAGCTTTTGTTCTGATCTTGCTCTTGCATGAAAGCTTCTGTGTTAGTGGAAATGGACGTGCGGGAAAGCTCGAGAATGCGAAGAAACATTTTCTCAGTCTCCAGTTTGACTCTGTTGCGCTGCATCCCGCAGATAAAGCTCAGAAAGCTCATAGCGCTGGCTCTCCCCTCATCATCCATCATCCATACCCAGGACCACAACTCCAAAGTCCCTCATACCATAACGACAATGCTCCTCATCAGCAGTGAATCTTTCTACAGCTCGCTTCCGTGCATGACCAAGCTGGAGTCATCACTTAGAAGTTCGCGCCAGCCATGAAACGCAGCTCCTCCAATGCCAACATGCTAATACCAACACCCACGCACAAGATAGAAAATAAAACCTACTCTCAACGGGAAAATCCTCAAATTCATCATCTTCTTCTAATGTAGTAGCGGCCTTTTGATCTTTCGCCGCATCGGCGGATTTGTCGGTGCTGACGGCCTTTGCGGTTGGGACGGGGGCGCCCGTAGATGGTGCGGCGGACATGGTGGTTGCGAGGTGAGGTGTGGGGTATTTAGGGTTTTGGAGTTTGCGAGAGTGAGGATAGTGCTGGCCCGGGTCGTGTATTATGGTACCGTTGTGGAAATCGGACGGGATTATGTGGCGGTGTTTGTTTACGGTCGATTGATGTTTTGATGTTTTGATGATTTGATGATTTGATGATTTGATGTTTGGATGTTTGGATGTTTGGAGCACTGTACGGTAGGGGCAGAGTAAAGGTTGTTGATTACTGCTTTGGTCGATGCGAAATGGCGTTAAGCAGCAAGTATCTCTTTGGAAATCCTTGTCGATAAGCTAGAGACTAATAAAGTTTAGTTTTGACTGGCGCATACGAATTTCTAATGTTACACCAGAAGCTCTTTCTTAATAAATATCCCTGTCGCGTGCGTGTTGGAGAGCTTGGGGATCTTATCTGGTATGTACACTCAGAATTATCATAATAAAATGGATGACGCTGGGTTCTGGCTCTGCGTCCGTAAATACGAAGATTTGGCTTATAAACTCCAGGCTTTTATGCATATCCTATCCCATCCCCTTTTTATTTATAGAGATGTTCGTCATACCTACTGTGAACTACTGTGAATAAGATTATTTGAAATTTGGTCAATCATCATAGAGAGAATCTTTTTCTTTCCCTCTTCCCTCTTCCCTTTTCCCTTTTCCCTTTTCCCTTTTGGAATCTCTTCTCAAATACATCCATCTTCTTGTACCTGAAACCAGGTACCTGCACGTTTACCATCATCATAAGTGCCCGCATAATCCGAGCGCTGGGAATTCAGAGTTTCAATATCAAATCAACGTTTGTTTCACCAACAGAATAGACCCGTACCCCGAGACCATTCGCTTTTGATCACTTCTCGAAGCTTAGCTTAAACATCGGTTGTTTCCGTCAGAATTTACATCCTCAAGAACTCGTCAAGTTCTCCTTCACAGACACAGAGTCCATTGTCCGCTCACAACATAATCGAATATTCAAGGACTCTATCAGGTCCTGCTTCACAAATAGAAAATCCCATGGTCCGCTTGTCAGAATAAACCATCCTCCAAGGTCGCAAGACCTTTACAAGTATAACTCGGAAACAAAAGTGTCTAGTCCATACCCGCGCAAACAAATACAAGAGAAGCAGAAAAGATGAGTCGGTGGTTTAAATCTGCCGTGAAGGCGACTCCTGCCATGGTTGCCCAGAGTGAGGAACAACATTTGAGGGACGTCGAGGCCGCAATGCTAAAGCTGTTAAACGATGATATCGAGGAAGCCGACAAGTTATTGAAGAAACAAGATTCTTCATACCATCATTTGGGAAGAGGAATTTCTGGATTCTTGTCCGCAATGATGGGAGTGGAGAAGGATTTGTTAAAAGAGGCTGCGGTCATCTTACAAGATGCTGAGAACAAAAGTTGGGATGATATGAAGAAGGCTCAGAAGGACTCGACGGCTTTTCAATCAAATATATATCCGCAGGGTACTGAGTATCTGTTGTGTTATTCTGTGTAAGTTTGTTTCCGTAAGTAAGTGGAGCCCGAGCTGACATGTTATTTGTAGCGCTCAATTGACCAGCGCAATTACTGCAGTTCTCAGCGGAAGTATTACAGAAGCCGTTAAGGGTTTCTATAAATTAAGAAAGGCATATCTTACATTGGATGGAATATTGGAGGTTGAGAATAACTATCTAGAAAAGATAGCCCGTTCGAGTAGGGCTTCACTTTCCTCTAGGACGCCGAGTCACAAAAGTTCAATGGCAGCACTTACTGTTGATGAAATTGCGCATCGAACTGCAGATCTATCTGTAGGAGATCTTGATGAAAAGATGCTAGATCCCAATAATCCATTTCCGGATATCTCAAGACCGCCTTCACCCCCTTCGGTTACGAACCCTTACGATATCGATCCAGAACTTGCGGCAAAAGTATTTACCAATCGAACAGATATCTTCATACATTCTGGCGTTCGATTATGTTGCGGTCTTTTACTTCTTGTTTTCTCTATGATTGAGAATCCAATTTTTAACAAGATATTGTACATTGTTGGATTTAAAGGGGACCGAGAACGTGGAACAAGACTACTGTGGCAAGCGACAAGATATCAAAATTTCAATAGTGCTATTGCTGCTCTTGCTCTACTGGGATATTACAATGGATTGGTTGGATTCTGCGATATTCTACCCACTGACGACGCAGCTGATGACAATCTTACCGGATATCCAAAACAGAAATGTCAGGCTCTCCTAGCTGACATGCAATCTCGATATCCCCATTCTAAGTTGTGGAAATTGGAGGAAGCTCGTATGTTATCATATAAGCAAGATTTGAAAGGTGCTCTGGAAATTCTGGAAGAGAATTCCAAGAGTAAGATGAAACAAATTACTATGATCAATACATTTGAGATGGCTCTTACTACATTGTTCACTCATGAATACGAAAAATCAGCTGCGGCATGGATTAATTGCAGCGAGCAGAGTGCTTGGAGTCCTACCTTGTACTTTTACATTGCTGGTATTTCATACGTCGAACTTTATCGTAATACACGAGTTAGCGATCCTACAGCAGCTAAGGTTCACAAGAAAAAGGCTATAGAATTTATTCTGAAAGCACCACCTCTAGCTGGTAAACAAAAAGTCATGGCTAAACAACTGCCTTTTGATATCTACATAGTTAGCAAAGTTGGAAAATGGGAACAAAGAGCCAAAGCATGGGGAGTTGATCTCGTGGATGCAATTGGACCTAGTCCATTTGTTGAAATGATATTTTTCTGGAATGGAGTAAAAAAGAGTGGAACAGTTGAATTAGAGAAATCTTTGGATCTTCTCAAGGAGGAAAGAATGACGCATCCGGAAAAATGTAATGAGGATGAAGATGATGTGGCTATTCATTTCTTACTTCGTGGTTGTATGTTGAGAAATTTGGGAAAGTATGAGGAGGCGAGAAAAATCTTGACGGAGGAAATTGTTGATTCTGAAAGGTATTGATCCCATTTTCTAACTGTTATTTCATCTGGAAATCACAACTAACGCAATTAGACATGCTCGTGGAGCTCTTCGTGATGATTGGACTCTTCCATCTGCCTATTATGAATTAGCATGTTGTTCTTGGCGCGAAAAAGATCTTTCTCCAGCGGGGGATACAGCTTCAGAGGAAAAGATGTCAGAAAAAAAGTTATTGGAGTATCGAAGACAAAAAATAATGGATTGTGAGGAGAAATTATTAAAGTTGCATACTTGGCCTCAAACCTATGTTTTCGAGACGAGGATGAGCTTTAAAATTAGTACTAGTTTACTTACTGTTAAGAGGCACAAGGGGTTGATGGGATTTTAAAGGGAGGGGCAGGTTAGGGCGAATAGAGGATAGGAAATTGGGAAGGAAAGGATACAGGATGGGAACGAGGATAAGGCATGGAATAGATGATAGCATGGAGGATGTATCAAAAAACACAGCTATTCCAAAGTAAAGCATGAAGATGGGACAGAAATGAAAGATGCGATGCCGCTTTGCATAGGATTTATACAAACATATATAGATAGATGCGATGGGTTGGCTTGATTTGGCTTGAGTTGGACTTAGGCGTTTGGTTTGGTTTGGTTAGGTTTAGTTTTTGTAGCTATCTGCTTGGCTGGCTGGCTGGATGGGAGGATGGGTGATAACGGGTCGGTTGGTCGGTAGGTGGCTTTGCCTTGGTTTGATACCTAGGTAGGTATAGGAGATGGATGGTATGATTAGATTATATGATATGATAAGTAACACAACATAACGTAATGGATATGTATTTTGTATAAATATGTATATAAGGAGTGAGTGTTGGGAATATTTGGTGAGGGGCGATAGATTAGATGGTTGATGGTAGATTGTTGATTTGATAGGTGTGAATCGGAGGGAGGGAAGGGGAAGGGGAAGGGGAAGGGGAGTTGTGTGGAAGTATGGAAGTATGAAAGTGATTTATAAATGGTTATATGATATGATATGATTTTGGAATGGAATGGAATGTAATGATTTATAAGTTCTAGGAAATAGATGGATGGATGGATGGATAGTTAAACAAACATCACCTGTAGAAGGGAAATCGAATAGATTTTTATTTTGATATTTTGATATTTTGATACTTCGAGGTGAAGAAAGAAGCTGAGCAGGGTTAAGAAGTATTTAAATCTTAATGTAAGCCTCTATAGATAGATAGACAGCTACTTTTATTATATCGTGATTGTGACTATGACTGTGAGATGGAAGATTGAGAGATCGAACCTCGGGTGATTGATTGGGAGGGAGTATGGAGGGAATCTAGATAGATGAATCTACAATGGAGCGTATAGATAGATATAAATAAATAGTATTCCAACTTCTAGTATATCTTAAACAGGTATTTTCTATACTGTAACATCTCATATAACATTCGACACATGATGTAAAAATGCCATATCAGCCAGCCATACCATCCATACCACGCAACAAGTTCCAAACACAAGCTGATATACAAACGCATATAGTCTACTAATAAATCAAAATCGCTTCTGATATCTTTCCCACCAAACGCCCCCTGCTACTCGCTACAGTGCATAAACTAACTCTATATCTATATTTATATTCATATCCATACCCTAAAATCAATAATAAACACCTAACTCCGTCCATATAGAAGGTATTTCTATCACAGGAGATCGTGGTTGTTCTTGCCTTTTTGCATATGACTGTGGTTCTGCCGGTTGTGGTCTGGATCTTGATCGGAATTGTTGCGTGGTGGTAATAAAATTAGGTTTAGGACTAGGTTTGAATTTCCTAGGGCACGCGGTGAAGTGGTTGCAAGGGGATGGAGTGAATATTTCGGTGGTGGTGGTGATTGTTCTCGCTCTTGTTCTTGTTCTTGTTGCCGTTGATGCCGCTGTTGTCGCAGTTGTTCAACAGTAGGACTATTCTCTTCATCCTTCTCCTCCACAACAACAGGAGTCCAAATTGCAGAAAATCCTGGACAATATCATGATGACTTATCGATCACAAGGGGAAATGTCCCACGGGAGCATAATGGGTAATTTATATGGTCGGCTCTTGCTCCTTTGGGTGTCTGTGGTACTTGCTGTCTGGAGTTACTATAATACTCGATTCGGCAGATAAATTTGCGCAGTTTAGACAAGAGATAGGTTCCTTTTTGGCATTTTTATGCAATGAGATCCTTCTTTTGGAGTAATACCATAAAATGAAAGTATGGGGGTTTCTTTTTTGAGGAAAAAGGGAATTATTTGTGAGAAATAAAATATATGGCTAAGTTCAACTAATTGTCGGAACGAAGATGTTCCTTTAATGAAGGTTCTGCTGGCACTTATTTAGAGTAGTCGACGACCAGCTCACACTGGTGCCAAATTTAAGAGACTTAGAACTTAGAACTTGGAACTTATCCGGAGTCATTGACCCTTACCGCGGTAATCTAGAACTAGCAGCTTCTGTTCAATCTTTGAACAGTTCCGAAAATTTAAACACAATAGTGCGATCTAGTGTCGAAATGTTTGTTGGTTGATTTTTCATCGACTATAATTTCTACGATTTCCATCTTTCAGACAGTTCTCGAGGTCATATATTATCACATGATACATTTTATTATTCAAACTAGCTATAGGCTTAGATGATGGAGCCATTTGAGGGGTAGTTCAGACACCGAAATATTAAGTGTGAACTTAGTATTATATGGTATCATCATGTTTTCTAATATGGAACTTCCGCAATACCGAAACTTTGAAAGACCCGAACTGTGACTCAGAAATAGAGGCCTTGAATCCATTGGAGACATTAGATTTGCTTGGAAGATTGATAGCACATTTGATCACTAGATCATATGCCAAGTTTCAAAACCTTTCCAATATTGAAATTTGTTACAAAAGTTTGGAATGTAATGTGCCATAGGCTAGCCAGTATCACTGTAATCAAAGACGCAGTGAAAAGAAATGGCACATATGAGTTATTAGACCTGTGAATGTGGCTTTATGATAGACATATTTGTGCCGGGCCGGGCCGCTAGAAGTTGCTGATTGGTCCCGTGATGCAATGTTCTCGATGCAATGCAGGTACTCATAGCTTATATGCTTTTTTGAGAACGTCTGGTCGACTTTGTGACGAAGGGGATACCTCAGATTCACCACGGAAAGGGTATACCACAGGTCGCCCTTACTTAACGAGTCCTATCAGCGTTTCATAAACGAGGGCAGCTGTTTAATCTTGCGGATTGTGTCGACCAACGAATCAACAGTGGCAATGGCCCGGAGCAACATGTTTCCTGAATGTGAAGGCGTATGTCAATCTGACAGAGCCTCAGAAAAAGGGCTTCAATTACAGAGTCTTGACTACAAGCTTGGATTATCTCACGGAGGACATGATTTCCCAAAGAACATTAAAGGATAGTAAGATGATAAGACTTGAAGACTTGACGAGTTACAGTGCTTAGTGATATACACGTAAGAACAGACCTGTATACGCCGCTACCGAAAAAGGCATAGACATCCGTGCTATGAGCGGCGTCTCTATGGAACAGCTTGTTCGCATCCAAGATTATAGAGATTACGCCGACGATTTGTCGTGAAGGACTCTGGAATCACACCATGACAAGGATCGCTATGCGTTTATTCAAGGGCTAACTTGTCTTTTCTCGAATAGATCAGCCATCGTCTGATATTCATTGTGCGAAAGAAAGAAGATTTTCCTATGGTTGTAGGTCAGTAAAAGAAGTGAAATAACCTCAACATGGCATCATAGCCTTAATTTCATTCGCTATCCCTTTAGCATACATATATATCATTTCGCGACATCGAAGTCACATTATGGTTTCCCTTGTCATTATTTTCATTGTGTTTATCTTACTCCGTACATTGCCCTTATCACCATGAATGAGGCTGGCCAGGAACTTTGAGTCGAGTTTATTTTGACTGGCTGACAAATCAAAGCTCTTGTTTGGTCTTGGGTAGAAAGATACAGGCCGGTGTGATGTCGCTTTCCAATGCTGAGAGGTATGAACCATTTAATTGATCAAACTCTGTTGTGTTTCGCACAAAGAGCTGTGTGTTGGGGAAGGCAAGCGCCAAGGCGTTGATAGCTTCAGACATGATCTTAGTTGGGCACGCTTGGAGACAGGTGACAGTGAAAGAGGACCAGTGTAGGAAGTAGTCTGCGTGTGCTTGGGTACCGTCTGGTTCTCATACTTTCTTTGATAATATTCTGGAGAGGTAAATTCCGTCTCAGATGACTTGGAGTCAATGAATCTTTTGAATTTAAATTTTCGCTTCTGAGATGCTTCCACACGGACGGATTTCTGGATAGATGGAAAAGTACGTTGCTTAGAGTTATTGCCGTCGTGTCTTGGATAACCAACAAGCCTTGTAAGACCAGAGAACGAATTTCATACCGGTTGCTTGTTTGCTTTACCAGTGATTCAACCAAACTCGCCGGCTTGGTGGAATGCTCGTTTCCCTCTCGTGTTTGGCTCTGTGAGACTTCCTTCATTGCAACATCAATGCGACGTTCTACAAAATCATGCACGATATGGTTAGTCGTTTCCCACTTCTTGTGTGGAATAAGACGAGCTATGGCTCCGAAAATTATGCGTGGGCCAACCCACGCCTGAGAGGAATGAAACGCAGCGTGGACTGTTCCGGTATCATCACCGGAATCTAGCGATCCTTTCTCTGATACTACATTCGAGCAATCACCAAAAGCCCACTGATAGGACATTTCAAAACACTATGAATTCAATACAGCGAATCAGTACTTACTCAACAATTAATTAATGCTAAATGAAGCGAACACACTCACAAGTTTATCTAACAACAAACTCGTATCCACAGTCTCTCCTACTCCTGGCAAATTACTTAATAACTCTTCTAACCCTTTCCCAATTAACATCATCTCCGCATCACTAGGTTCGGAGAATGAAGGCACCATAATCCCTTCTTTGAACCTTTTCTATTCCCCTTCATCATCCACCGTCAAGAGCCCATGACCACAGAAAGGCTGCATTGCTTTTAATCTATCAACGCCCCAATCCTGGCACTTCGACCCATAAACAGCTTTAGTATCCTCCGGCTGAATCGTGTGGAATACCCTTCGTCCTAAAGATATCGCTTGATACGTATTTCCATACATCAAATGTCTGCTGTGGGAAAATTGTATATTTCGATAGATTTTCCGCTGTTTGAGAATGGCGAAAAAGAGAATCGAGTCCTAGGATTGGATCTTTGTGTGGATAAGAAGGTGGGGGCTGGCAAGAAGATGGGATATTTCGTGAGCGGCAACTGTGTCAGATAATGTAGCAGAAAACGGTAAGTATCGTGATCGTAATGAAAGCTACCTCAGCACAAGGAAGGTCACCTTCTATATGAAAATCCATTAGCATCGTCATTTATCCGCGTGGTTCCATGTCTAGTACTAGCGGCCCTTTCGAGAAGCTCAAATATAACTCTCACACTGCGCCATTTATCTGCGGTTCTGGTAAATCATCATTTGGATGTACCGGAATATATCATGCTGTGCCGTATTTGGACATCACACTTGCTCCCAGATAAATGCTGGATACAAGCCAACTGTTGGTACTAGAACTAAATGTTGGACCGTCCACAATTGCCAATCAGGGAATATGTAGCATAATCTATTGGAACAGAACAACAATATTTTTGCTCACCAACTACATGAGTGATAGCATCTGATATTTTCAAATACAATGCTAATAACGGCCGTAAATATAAAGCATAAAGAAAGATGCACGTATGCATAGCACATAACAAGCCTAAGGAAAATCGCTTGCCAAAAACTATTAGCCGATTCTCCTGAGATGCTCACCCCAACATCTCAACAAATCTTGTCGTTTCTCATATCAATTCATTCATTTTCCCACTGTCATATGACACCGTCTCCGCGATAACCATCAACTTTATAATCCCATTTAAACCTCATTACTTGGGTACTCAATACTTCCAATTGAAACAAACTCTTCCTTCAATGCCCGCACGCTAACGAATCTACCCAAAAGATTCATACTGCCCGCCTTGTCGTTTGTTCCACTTGCTCTGGCACCACCAAAAGGCTGCTGTCCAACCACTGCTCCGGTACTCTTGCAGTTGACATAGAAATTACCCGCCGCATTTCTCAATGCTTCTTCGGCATATCTGATTGCCGCTCTATCGGTCGCGAAAACTGCACCAGTGAGTCCGTACTCAGATGTAGTATCCACCAGCTTACAAACTGATTCGAAAGCTTCGGCCGGAGCGGTAGAGTCATCGTAGACGTAGACGGTGAGAATTGGACCGAACAGCTCAGTAGAAAGGAGTGCGTGTCTGGGGTTGGTTGTTTGGTAGATAGTGGGGTGAATATAATAACCCGTCGAGTTATCGTGTTTGCCTCCTACAAGAAGTTCGAGCTCAGAGTCTGATTTAGCATTGTCAATGACGCCTGAGAGTTTCTTGAATGATGGTTCGTGAATGACAGGACCGATGAAGTTCTTTGGGTCCTTTGGAGATCCAATTGAGAGTTTGGATGTTTCTTCGACCAACTTCTCCTTGAATTGAGGCCAGATAGATTTTGGAACATATGCTCTTGATGTAGCACTGCACTTTTGCCCTTGATATTCGAAAGCACCACGAACAGTGTTGAGAGCAGCATTTTCCACATCGGCTGAAGAATGAATGAGATGGAAGTTCTTTCCTCCAGTCTCCCCTACAATTCTTGGATATCCTTGATACCTACCCTCCGCAACGCCGCTTGCAATTGATCCATAAAGCTTTCTGAATACAGCGGTACTTCCCGTGTAATGAAGAGCAGCCAGTTGCTTATGCTCCAGAACAACCTTTGTAACTTCGACAGGGTTTCCTGGTACAAATTGAATAACATTTTTGGGAAGACCTGCCTCGAGCAAAATGTTGTACAACAACCAATTTGAAGCAATGGCAGAATCAGACGGTTTCCAAACCACAACATTTCCCATCAGAGCTGGTGCACCAGGCAAGTTACCTGCAATTGCTGTGAAATTAAACGGGGTAACAGCGTAGACAAAACCTTCCAGAGGTCTATACTCAAGTCTATTCCAGACACCAGGTGAATGGTGCGCCGGTTGTTGCGCATACAACTCCTCAGCATATTGAACATTGAATCTAAGGAAGTCTGCTAATTCTGCAGCAGAATCGATTTCAGCCTGCCAAGCATTCTTTCCCTGTCCCAACATTGTAGCAGCCATAATTTCATATCTGTATTTGCCCGAGATGAGATCTGCGGCCTTGAGAAAGATAGCAGCTCGATCTGCAAAGGGAAGAGATTCCCATTCGGGCTTTGCGGCGAGAGCAGCATCGATAGCGGAGGAGACATCGGATGGGGAGGCGTTTGAATAAGATGCGACTTTCGAGGAGTGGTTTGCAGGGTTGAATTGATGCGAAACAGAAGAAGTTTTGACCTAGAGATATTATCAGCGTTGATTATATAGCTGTAACAGATGAACCATACTAACCTCTTTACCTCCTACTACAATAGGGACTTCTAAAGGGACCTTGCTTTCCAATCTCTCCAATGCCTTATAAAGTCCATCGCGTTGTGCGGATCCCTTAGCATAATGATGCTATCTTGTTGATTAGCATTCCCGTTCCCTACAGGACAAAGCTACAGCTTCCAGTCTTTCGTCGGTACTCACATTTGGCTCATTAACCACCTTTGGGATCTTAAAGCTTGCGATAGTCGCCATGTTGCATTTGTGTCCTGTATTTGTGGTGATGGTACTACCCACTGCGCTGGTGCGGGGTACTCGCAATGAAGCTTCACATTTGTAAGAAGCGATCAATGAACAACGATTAATTGTCTGAAAGCTTCTAGAGCTTTTGATATTTCTGGCGAGCATGATTGATTGATGAATGAAGACTCCGAACCAAAGAAACAAAGAAACAAGTATAATAATGAGAGGGTATTGCCTACCTCGAAAAGAAAACTTATCGCCGTTGTGTTTATTTTATGATGAAATTGTTTGATGCCGAATAACGGACGATTAAGGTTATGTTATGTGATTGAAGCTCTAGCTGTCAATTCGCTTTGTTGCGGCTTTAGCATGAAATAACACTCAAAACGCTAAAATTAATAATAAAAATGGAGAAGTCCCGCAGAGATCTAAGCGGATAAGTCAGGAACAGAGACGATTTCCCTTCCATAATCGGAGTAGGAGTCCTGTTGACCTATTTGAGTAAATAGGAAATACGTTCGTTGTAGTTGGATGAATTAAATTGATTGTATTGATAACTGAAGTATAAAAACATGAGGATATGTCAAACCACCTTGATGCTGGATAAGAGAACTAGTGTCTCGCCAAAACAGGCCATCCGTTCATTGCTGGACATCAATTCAGTACGACGTCAAGGCAATTACTTTTATTTAAAGGAAAGAATTAAGACGAAGTTTAAAGCTATTAAGTAGACACTTTGTTTCTCACAGCCAACTCCAATTGCATTCCAACTTCGAGTTCAAAGCTAGTGCGCGCAAACTCCTCGGTTGAAACGAAGGGTCACTACCTATGAAATTAGGACAGTCTCCATCTGATTATTTGAAGGATAATGCAGAGGAAAGAATAGAGAAGGAGCATATGTCGTTTGCCGGGTTGATGAGAGGGTTCAATAAGACACCGATGGCTGAATGCGGTGCCTGTAGAAGGAAACCGTGTAGGTCGCCAATTGAGGAGGGCTTGGATTCCTAATTTAGGCGTGGGGGCTAGAAAGTAGTAGCGAGCTAGCTACCCACCGTTCGTCATACCGTTACGGAAACGAATTTACCAATTAGCCAAACACCATTTCCTAACCACAAGTTCCCCCACCTCTTTCTACATTGTACTCTTTCATCGTGCACAGTCACTATCGCGCGGTTCTTATCCGTAAGATTCTCCCAAAATGTCCAGACTACCAATGTACCATCCGAGCCTGCAGCTCTCACCAAACAAACGCCCATAGCTCCCAGCCCAACAGTCCCATTTGACACTTGCAATACCAGTAACAGCCAAGGACCAACCAAAGCCCTCACAATATACCCTGCACGTAAGTCTTACTACATCCAACCACCACACTAATACGCCTTATCGCCAACCTGAGCTATCTATATACGTATTTACCTGGACGTCTTGACATAATTGACAAAGGGCCGCTAAATTAAAATTTACAACGAATAATGCCCAGCGAGGTCGCCAGACTCCTCTTATTAACTCAGCTAAATCTGCAGACTAGCATCTGATGGTAGTATTCCGCCAATCCAAACGAAGAAAGAGAATATGTGATTGACATATAGGGGATGAAACAGCCGAGCCGCACATTTTTAGGACCGTCGGCAAAAGAGGCCAGCATTCATCTCGCTAGTCTTATTACCAGGGCACAATTCTTTAGCAGTTCAAAAGGAGCTATTATTTTGTGATGGTGATGATGCTACCTCGAAGCTAAAAATGGAAAGGGGAATCTCGCTTGGTACGCCCAGGAGGATGAATCGCGTTTGTGACATGAAGCCGGTGACACTCTGGAGCTGAGCAAAAATGAAACGCAAAAAGAAAAAAGGATACATACAACAGTGGGGATTCGCTGGTGGTCACCCACCCAACTACTAATCCACCGATCTGAAGCTTGTGTATGGCAGAGCGGACGGGATGCCCAATTCTCTTCAGTCTATGGTCGTATGTATCCGTTTCATCATTAGCAGTAACTATATTGAGTATTTATGAGGAGAGGAGATCGAAAGATATAGACTGGGCACACATACATGATGTTTTGGCGATGATGTGCTGATATCCGCTTGGTGATTTCATACGCAAGGATTGGACTTGGTACAAGCAGATAATACTCGGATGATTACTGATAAAATTGATGGCGGGCTTCCTATTCATAGTGTGATTGACATAAATACGAGAAAGATAACAAAGCAAAAGGTAGCAGCTTTCTTCACACACATTGAAAATTAAGATTGAGGTGGCCAAATCTCTCATTATCTTGCCCTGACGAGGGCTTGTCTGGCGCATCCACTAGGGATCACCCGTTCACAATCATCAAGATCATGAAAACACAACTAAAGCTAAAGCATCTCCATGCATCCCAACAGAAATAAGAAAAAGAGTGGTGCGAGGAGGTCGCCCCGACCGGTAAATCCACCCATACCATTTCCTTTTCAATTCCAAACGCAACAATTAACATACCCACGGAGTAGGTCAAGCAATTTATGAGGGTTGATAGAGAAATAGTATAGAAAGCAAGAAAGCAAAAACGCGAATTCCCTTCCGCTAAAAAGAACACCGGGTAAGCGAGATAGCAAGGGGTTTGATTGAAAACAGAGGATGAAAAATAATCTCGTGTTATCGTCAAAAAAGGTAACCAACCTCATATGTTGAAGTGGAGTGATTTGGTGCAAGTATTGCAAAAATATCCTAAATGGTTCTCAAATTTGGTGAAGATGCACAACGATCCTCAAAAACAATTGACGCCGTGCTGAAAATACCTAACATGAGTTACGCAACATTTTAGATGGTTCGTGGGGACTTGGAGGTTCTAGCTTGAAAGTCAGTAAACCTGGGAGAGCAGGTTAGTAGTTCACGGAAAAGGAGAAAGTGGCTGACCCGATTTCCACAATATCATCCACATGATTACATAATGCCACGAAAAGGTCAAAGAAAAGTTTACCGCCACTCTCCATTTCTGTCTGCATGGTTCCGCTCCTCTTAAATGTCTTGCGACATCTGATGATCAAGGCAAGATAATGAGCACGTAGCCTAGAGTCCGTGTCCGGCGTGTTGTCATAAGCATACCGAGCACTGCGAAGAATTGTAGCAACCTCGATTCCACTCTGTAAACCTTGCTTCTGAAGAGCAACGCGTTTGAGTTCCTCGAGACCATACTTTTCTGCAGCGCAGTATATGACTGTATCCTTTAAAAGTTGTTCTCCCACGCTGGATATATAGCTTGTAGCCTCTACCGATCCGCGACCACCAGGATTTTCGGGGTTGAGGGAATGATCTGCATCCTCGAGTTCCCAAGAGTTTCGGCGTTTGTTGTGAATCAAACGGGGATAGTAGTCACCCTTCTGTAAATACATCAGTACTACTGAGATAATCGTTGTGCATTATACATCGCTGGTGAACGTACGTAAAGATATTCGAGAACACAAGAAAATATTTCGGGTTCTTCGTCTGGTAAAGAGATCTTCTTACTCTGCGCCTCTAAAAATTGTCCTCTCATTGCCGTCGCAAAATACGGTGATAAGGAGAGTACATCTTCGTGCGCGGCAAAGAGTCGTCCCTCCCTACCAACTGTAAATGTTACAATTGGAGAAGTCAGGCTGCTATGGGAATAATCCATCAGTTTTGATCTACTTTCAACTCAATTACATATTACTCAGCCTTACCTCGCAACGGGAGGGCCTTGATCGAACGACTTTTGCAATCTCGACAACTTCGCCGGATCCCTATACGACTTCTTCAATTTGATGTTCTTTTCCACGCGATCATTTGATCTATGGGAATGCTTGAACATGTCTGATTTATGTGTATTGAGAAGTGATCAATATAGGGATTCAGAGGGGCAATTGGACGAGTGACGGAATGAGTGTTTGGATCTTGGGGACGGAGAGAAAGGTGGTAAGAATTGACACACAAAAGGAAAGATTGACAGGGTCATGGAAGAAATCTCAAATTGTACTAAATGACAGTATTGAGATTCTTGGGATGTTGATGGTCGGCCCGTATGGTGTGGTGAGGAAGGGCAAAAAGGTCGCCAGGACGGGAAGGCGCCCTCCTTATATACATATTCACAGTTACGGGGTACGGCTTGAAATGCTGTGCTGGAGCCTGCGGGCGACCATTTTCTTGGCAATTGCAACCAATATAAAGAAAGTGCTGGTGTACTCATGATTCTCGGTTAATCCCAATTGAGGTTCGAAAGTCAAGGGTTAACCTATCTTCAGCTTTTGATTCGTTATATATGATGCAGCTCAGCCTCAATTCAGCATAGTGATGAATTCATTCGTTGTTTAGCAATTGCATGGTGCCTGGAGGTCACACAACGTTGAGGTAGGTAGCCAGAGCACACGGGATGGTGCTACTGTAACCTTAACTTCACGTGACTCGGTAGTTTTTTATGGTGTCTTGGCGAAATGAAGATACCATTCAATGGAGAACCTAGAACTAGAGCTAGCTGAGGCCTATACGAGTACCCCATGACAAAAAATTGGTGATGTATTTTCGACCAACATCCATACTCCGCCTGTGTTGTGGCAATCCTATTTTGTAATCCATCCCTGATAGTCATTCTCATTACTTCTCGCCAAAGTCGCCATGTATTCCGGAATGCCGCCAAGCCTATGTTGATATCAGTATCAGTATTTAGACGGACTAACATGCATCTATCTGAAAAAACTTACCAGCTGAGAGGCTCAACCTTTCTTCCTGGAATATTCGCTCCTTGGTACCAGCTCTTCGCTTGCGGAAATAGAGAATTACTCCAAACTTCATTCAGCCTCTTGCACCAATCCTCCTCCGCCTCCTCCTTTGCCTCAAAGTAGATTTTATTCTTCTCCGTCAACCCTCTCAAGGTCTCCGATATATGTTCTGCTTGGGATTGTACACAGCTTGGTCCGTTCGCGAATGCAGTGGGTGCATGGACTCCGTAGAGGTAAAACATGTTGGGGAAATTGTTCATCGCAATGCCCATAGATGTGCGTGTCCCATCTTTCCACTTTTGAGCAATGGTGTGGCCATCTATGCCGCGAATGTTTAGCTGGGCGAGCGATCCGGTCAAGGAATCAAACCCAGTAGCAAGGATCAGGACGTCAAATTCTACTTCTCCGTCCTTTGTTCTGATTCCCTTTTCGGTGACTTCAAGAATTGGCGATTCGTTGACATCAATGATGTCAACGTGTGGGAGGGAAAAAACTTCATATACGTTTTGTTCGAGAGATGGCCGTTTGGCCCCCCATGGATGAGGTGGAATTTCTGGTGCCAGAAGCTCTCGTTTTTTGATATCCGGGATCCGTTTGCACACGGTTTTGCGCCAAAACTTGTAGGCTTCGTCATTGGCTTTTTGATCGAAGAATAAATCTTTGTAGTTGCCGAGCCAGTAATGAAAACCACCCTGTTTATTCATGAGGTTATCATAATGGACCTCCCGTTCTTCCGGTGTGTCATCGAAAGTATTTTTCTCAGCAAAAGTAAATGGGAAGCCGGCAAATGTCTTCCTCGTTTTTGTGAATTCTTCTTCGTATTTGCCTTCAGTTTTTTTCTTGGCTTCTTCTTCTGGTTCTAGAAGCCCTTGATTCATCGGTAGAGTAAAATTAGGCGTTCGTTGGTAGACGGTGAGGTGGTTGACCACAGGTCCGATGGTTTGAATCACCTGAATACCAGTTGCTCCAGTACCAACTACACCAACTCGTTTATTCTTCAGGTTTACACCATGTTGTGGCCAGACTGCTGTATGATACGTGTCTCCTTTGTAGTTACTGAGACCATTGAATGGTGGCGTGAATCGACGAGACGCAAATCCTATGCAAAGAATGAGCCATCGACAATAAACTTCGGAGCCATCAGAACATTCGACAAGCCATTGATTTCGCTGCTTGTCGAACGTAGCTCCGTCAACATGCTTGTCGAATTCAATGTCTTTTCTAACATCCCATTTCTTTTCAACGTGCTCGAAGTATCGACGAATTTCTTTTCCGCCCGGATATTTCTCCGTGAAAGTGAAATCTTCCCATAATTCCTTGTCGTATAGTTGATAGATAGGAGCAGGGGAGTCGACTCGAGCACCGGGCTATTGTATGTATGTAAGTTTCATGGCTTTAAAAAATATATATAAAAGCCTACGTAGTTATTCCAATACCAGACACCTCCGCTCTTCGAACCCTTCTCGTAAATTTTACACTTGAGTCCTTGCTTGCGGAGCCTAAATGATTTGTTAATAGTGGCCGCTAGATATGGTGGGCTAGACCTACTTATTTAGCATAGTAAAGGAGGCAAATCCAGCTCCCACCAGTAGCACATCTATCTCTTCCGGCTGGATCGAGCCCATTGTTACTTTGGTCGCACGATTACTCTGAAAAGGAAGAGTATTGAAGGAGTTAAGAATGTAATTGATCTCGACCTTGATATATGAATAGACGATCGGAAACAATATGCTGACCTGGCTAGCTGTTGCACAAGAATCTCGAGCAAGACAAAGTCAACATGTGGGAGACAATCGATATTTAAAGATTTTTGAATTATAAGATAACTGGAAATGGGGAATGCTGCATTCTTTCTATGGCAATACAGATAATATCCACCCCGCATGCATGAATACTTACAGCTCAGTTGTTCAACCCATTTGAGAGGTTGGATTGATAGGACCAGTGTGGACAAGATCGCTTATACTCGTAAAGTCTCACATGCGAGTGTGCGAAAATGGGAAAATAATGGGTATCCTTCAATGATTCACCCGAAACTACCGGCAGAGTGTGAAAAATCTTTTGAAATAATGCTAACATGATGCTGGAACTAATAGAACCTATTAAACAATGATTCCACGATGTATACCAACGGTATAAACTCACAAGTAAGAACTCACAATAAACCGCTTTCAAGAAGGAATCGGCAGTTGCTTTAGGACTCGGAATTCCCAGATACCGTTGTTTCTCTAGAAAAGATGATAAAATCCTAATATCGATTAACCTATGAGATCCCTTGGACTGAGCCCTAACCCACTGCCGATACCCCTCCAAAAGGTGCTTACTCTGAGCTTTCAGCAGAGAGCTTACCCCGCACTGACGTGGATACAAGTACCGAGTTAAAGATTCATCCCCCCTCTGTCTCGGAATTTCACTATATTTACTCCCGCGGGTAGCCGACAGCTGTGTTCCTAGCAGAAGGCAAGTTAACTTGTGAACCACACGCTAGAAACTTATTCCTGACAACGGTAGATAGGTAGCCATGAATACGGATTTTGAAGACAGTTCACCAGTTAGTTCCAACACTTATCTCTTGCATGAAATGAGGTATCATTTATTCTATGGATGGAGTATGGATCTCACCGTTCGTACCGACCAATACTTTTGCATTTCGCCCTGAACTTCCAGCCCATCAACGTCGTTTGTTACTGAAGCATGCGGGGCACGCATGAGATTGTCGTCGTATGGTAAGAGCTCATTGGCTCACCATGTATTCATTGCATATTGCATACAGAAGTGTCATTAATGAAATCTGCAGCTATATAGCCGGGCACTGTAGTTCCGGTTCTCCAAGGAAGAAAAATCCCATCTCATGCTTGTCACTCAATTTGCAAGAAAAAACAACGAAGAACTGTACATTCATGTCTGCTACTTCTCGCTCACTAATTCTTTTCAACACAGTGTCGTACAGCAGAGCGCAGGAATGGTTTCCACCACTCTTTACCACCTCAGGACGACAGATATTATATCTCAAAGTATCATTGAATGGAAATTAACTAAAAAATTACACAAAATAAGTACCAAATACAAGATTCAACCAGGTATCATAAACAATCTCTTGAACAAGACGATTATTATCCATCCTTCTAGCACCATTCCTCACCAATGCGATCCAGCTAGCCAGCCCATGCCATCCAAGCCCTTAATGCCATCTAAGGGGAAAAAGAACTCCGTTGATTGTACCAGACCATTCTAGACCATCCCAGACCAGACCTTATTAGAACCTTTTGAAACACCTTATCCCCCCCCGCAAACACCAATTACAAATCATCATCATCAGCCATGTCCCACTTCCTCGCAACCAATTTCCTGACTTTCTTCGTAGGACTTCCAGTATTCGCGGTACTCTTTTTCATTCTCAACTTTCCACTCGCACTTCTAGCAAGGCCAACCTCAGCATCATCATCAACCTTCAGCTTCGCCATGCTATTCCGTAATTCTAGACCTTCATCCACGGTGTCATCTGGAATGGGCGATGCTGATTTGTCCATAGCATGTGTTCGGCTCTCCTTCAAGATTCTATTCGAAGGCTTCCGATTTTTTGTCGGACTTTTGCTGTTCAAATCCCTCTTCAATCTTTCAACCTCCCTCAACAACTTTGCATTCTCCATTTCCAACCTCGCCGTCACACCTTCGTTTTGGTTTTCTTTATCTTCATCTGCGTAAATACCAGAACTGAATCCCCTAATCAAGACTTCGACCTTTCTATCCCTCCACTCCTCTTCCCTTTCTCCATGTTCTTCCAGTCGCACCATCCACTTCCTAGCCTCTTCTTGAATTCTCCTCTCCATTTCTCCATAGCATTCTTCCCGAATGTCCATTTCCAGTTCCAACATTCTGTCTTCCATACTTTGAAGATGTGCTTCACTTTCCATTCTCAACCTTGTTTCGCGCTCTAGTTCGCTGCGTAAACCATCGATTTCCTCAGACATTCGTGCAATTTCTAACGCTGCAATCTCCATTGTCTCACGCTCGGTATCGGTAGGGGTATGAGGAGGACCATCACGGTATCGCGAGAAAGTAGGAGACGTGGGACTAGTGAAACTGGGGTGCCTGTCAGATGATTGAGAGGATCCGAGGATAGTTGCCGTAATTGATGGCACTCTTGGAACCGTAATCTCTTTGGCTAAAGCAGAGTACCGCAGTATTTGTGATGTAGCGTTAAAGTCTCCCAACGGGTCAGCCGTGACGATCATGATTGCTTTCTGAGGATTTCGATGATGATGTGCAGCCGACAGAGGTTTAGCGCTTTGCGATGGGAAAGAGTTTGAGAAGAGAAGTTCGGTGAGTTTACATTGGCGAAACGGGACAAGATTTGGCTGTTTGTGGTTAATTCATCAAGTCCGGATATGAAAAGGAAGACCAGAACGTACTTTTGTGTTATTCTCAAAGTCTGACTGCATCTGCAAGCACTGTCCTAGATACATCAAACTCTCATTAATCTTTCCGGCCTCCGCTAATGTAGCACCGGCAGTTTTAGCGTCTCTTGCCCTCTCACTTCCAGCCAAATCTACAACGGTAAGCGAACTTCCTCCCCAAGCGCCTGGTGTTCTCGACCTTCTCCTCTTCTTTACCTCCACGCAGAAAAATCCATGCGACCTAGACGATGTGCTATTAGAATTGGTACCCGCGACTCTTCTTTCATTCAGACCAGCTTCTAGGACCATGAGTGCATCTTTTATGCCACCACATATAATTTTCCTTAATCCAGCCACGACCTTCCGGTCGGGTGATTGTTCTGTAAATTTAAATAGCAATGGTCTCCTCCTAGATTCTTTTGTAGATTTGTTTAGTACTGCCGGTGTCAAAAGATCAAAGATCCTATCGTTATAAACCTCATACATTGAAATTAGAATCGAATATTCCGCATGGTGATCTATATCAACAGTGAAATCCGTAATATCCGGACTACTTGGCAAAGCCGATGGTCTCGTAGGTATGGTTCGTCTCGGAGTAGGTTGGTAAGAATCGCCCTTTTGAGGAGTTTTAGCACTAATCATCTTCCTGGCTGCTGTTGCAGTAGCTTGCATAAATGAAGGAATAAAGGAAGTCATCGATACTGTCGATTCTCCTGGAATTGGCACTGGCACTGGCGCACATCCTGGTGCTCTACTATCATCATTCTGGTGGACCACGATCCTGATGCTTTTAGGACTTCCTGTTGTCTGAAATGGGGGCAAATATGGATATAATTTGGTTGGACTTGGGTGGTAGGGAATGGGCACTCGTACCACCTGAGGTGTTGGAGCTCTTGAGCTGGCTGGGTCGAAGTAAAATGTATCTAGGAACATCTGCGCAGACATGACCTGGGCCTCTGACGGATCTGATGATGCAATGGAGCCATGTAGTTCAGGGTGTGAATTGACATCAAGAATATTGTTGTCAATGGAACGAAAGAGTAAATCGAGGGCAAGTTGTGTGAGACCGCGTTGATGTCGAGATCCAAGAATTGTATGACTCTGCGAAAGACATGTTAGTACTCATCAAATCTGCAAATCTAAAAACCACAATATAAACCTTTCCAGAGCCAGTGACTCCCAATGTAGCAAGTAAACCATCTCTGCCCTCTCCACCATTTTGGCCCAGCACGCCTTCAACCAAAGGCAGCACACCTGTTCCGTGAAATAAATCCAACTGCGAACTCTCTTCTTCAAAGACCCGAGTGAAAGCAAATTTCTCCACTGCCCTGCGTCTGTTGTCATTTGGCGGATTTAAGGTAATGTGGGTCGGAGATGCAGTTCCATCTTGAAGTTGTTCCTCGGTGGGTTCCTCAACAGTAAGAAAGCGGTCTGGTATTGGTAAGGTGGGGTATAAATGTTGAGTTGATATTGGAGGAGGTCTTAATCGTAAATACACTTCAAAGAGTGCAGATTTTGAGTTTGTCGTCGACGGTTCCATGATGCGGCGAATGTAGAAAAGTGATGTTTCTAGACGCTGATCATGAAAGGAGATTTAAAAGTCGCGGAAGGTTTATTGACGTGCAGCAAGGAAATGAAAGTCTGGGGTAAATTGTTGTCTGGGTAACCGAACACGATGAGCATGTGAAATTTCCGACTTTATGTTACCCCTGACAATATGTATATACTATAATTAGACGAGATAATTATACATTTAAATGATGACCACTAAGTGGCCCTTAATAAAGCTGCGTTTTGATGGAAGGACTGTATCAAATAATTGAGTATTGTATTTTTATAACAAAGTGTATAATATTCTGCCCCCGCGGCAGTGGCTCCCAGAGGGCCAGCGGAGCGTCATTCAGGTGATTGATTAAATGTTTTAGCAACTGTTCAAAGGGAATAATTCAAACACACAATCACTACTAGATATTCAACCATCCCCAAAAGAGACCTCCGATCAACACTTATTTTATTTTGCCTACACTAGTCCTAATCTTATTCCTATGTTCAAATCTTCCGTCCATTGTGCAACACAGCCCAGTCCAACCAACCCCTGCTTTCCCGTTAAGAAGTTCAAATTTAATATACAGTACGAACGCAAGAAAATCTCTCTAAAGTCCCTCCTTATTTGTATATGCCCCCATATAAATGCTGCCTCATGATCATCGTGATAAAAAAGCAAACTTAGCAAAGAAGGGTCCAAATTCCAAATTCTCTTTTTCCCACACAAATGAAAATAACGCCATTCACACCGTTGCCGCCAGACAAACTCACAATCCCAAACACCATATGCTAGGTATACATCCCCAATTACTCCCTAGGTCACACGCCGGTAAATGACGTCTTTTTTTAAGTCTCTGCACTCCTGATTTTCTTCTTTGAAAAGAATGTTCCCCCTCTCTTGGGCGGGGTCTCCCCATTCGCAATGGCTCTTTCTTCCGCATAGCCTTTCCTGCGCTCTGCTCTCCGTTGCTCGATAGTTTCCTGGCTAATATGCCCGAACCCATTTCTGCGCCGGAAGCACGCATCCATAAGACCATTGGCATCGACGAGTCTTCGAGGAATGGTTTGCACAACTTGGAAGATTTCCATGGGGTCTGAAACCGCCCTGATTTCCTGTTCCCCTACTTTGAAGATCGCTAGAGCGATGCGGAAAAGAGTCTTTGATCCTTCGAAGAAAAAGCTGTCCCAGACACGCAGTGTAGTCTCGATTGGAAGGGTGCCAATAAAGCATGACATGAACCAAGCTGTGGTACACAACGTGATTGGGGGAAGACGCATGGAAAGCCTCCCGTCTCCAGCTGTGCCGTCGAGTTCTCCTCCGATCTTAGCCCATATTGCAGGCATCGATTCCTTAATGCTAGTCATTAGTACTCCTAAATCCACATTTGCGCCTTCCAGATTGACCTCGTGGGTTCCTGGCAAATAAACCCTCGTGATGATATTCAACATCCAAAAACTCTTCTCCTCATCCATAAACAGCAACAACAAGCCCGCCAAAAAGTTCAAACTCTGACAATACCCTATCCTTGGATTATAAATACTAAAAGCTTGCAATACTCTCCGCAACGACTTCAACATCGGGGTCTCCGGTTCCTTTATGCTGGGTTGGCTGTTTCGTTTCTCGGAGGCAGGAGGAGGATCCGGTTTAAATTTGATATTATCCGGGAACGTGCGATTGAGATCCCGCTCAATAATTTCGTCGTCCGTCTCATTAACCCCGCCTGCAGCGGCTTGCTTCACGAGGCTGTCATACACACCATAGTGTTTGCTCACCATAGCCGGACCACCCGCGTACCAAAACCATGCTTCTCCCCGCCAATCAGGCGGTATTCCTTTGCGGACGAAACGTTTGACTTTATTTGATTTTGGTGGAAATCGAATTGGCTTGTCAGTGATCAAACTATGATCTTTCAGCAAGGCCACCCACTTCTTTTGCCTTCGCTCAACGTATTCATTATAAGGGCCACTCCAAGCCTCATATTCCTCCAACGACACGTATTGAGTCTTTTTCTTGAACCCATACCGATCTCTAGCTGGATCTGACGGATTGACCGATGGTGGTGGTGGCGGCGCCACTGAATGCTGCTCGGGTAACTCATCTTCACCTTCATGAGATGCGACCGCACCATCAAACTCTTTCGATTCTGGAAAATCCTCCGAGGCATAATTTGGAATGCCTGCTACACTTTCTGCTTCAAATGCTTTGACATGAAACATTTCAGTAGAACCCCGAATCGAAAATTGCGATGATTCCAGAGCAGGAGGTGGCGCAAGAGAGTCATCCATTGCCTCGTCAATCTTCGATTGTCTCCTTTCCGAGCTCGGTGTCATTGGTCGAAACTCGTCATCCTCGTCAAACGCCTCCCCTCGGTATACAGACCTAGGCCTGATGTCCGCCCCAGCTTCATAGAGCTTGTCCTCTAAGTCATTATCTTCAACTCCTGAATCCATAAATCCACCTTCGTACATGCCAATTGCATCATCCACACTCATTCCTTCGTCTTTCCCCCCAAAGAAAGAAGTATGTGAACTGCTTTTCGTCAACACGCTGCTCCTTTCTGTTCCACTTGTTCCGAAATAGCTCGAGTTCGTAGTTAGAGCAGATCTGAAACTTGCTCTGACTTCCTCGTCGTCAAAATTTGGTGGGCGAATGGGGGGTTCACGCCGATATATGGAAGAGTTATTGCTATCGGGTCTATTTATTCCTGTCCTGGGCCTGAAATTTGATTGTGGTATATTGCGCTGTCTCGCATTGTTTAAATCCCCAGTGTGGTAATCCGGAATCGATGCAGATGGGCGGAGCGTAGGTGTTGGTGCAGGTGTAGGGAATTGTTGACCCGATTGTGAGGAGGCTGATGAAAGACCACGATCTCTTGTACTGAAGATTGATCCATTGTTAAATGTTTGTTCATCTTGTGGTTCTGCCCCAAACTGTGAGGCATGTATCAAAGGACTGGGTGATTCGTTCCGCCTCCGCAGACTTGCTTGTCGGGGCCTCGAGAAATTGTCCACCAACTTGTCAGGCGTTCGTCTGCCAGTGGAAGAATGCGATCGCACATTACTAAGCTGTCTCAGCCGTGAAGCCTCTGAAGGTTTCCGTCGAAGATTGTGTTGTGTCGGGGCAGTGAAGGATCGGGAGGGTTCGTTGGATACTGTATGATGCGATGTAGAGGGTCTTTGATATGGAATAGGAGGATTCTGAGCGAGGGGATGAACCGGCAAATAATGTTCGCGAACGGATGGTGTTGGTGATTTGGGCGGGAATGGATATGTACCGTTTCCAGACCTAGCAGTATTCACAGATAGCTCGGAAGCCTTAGAAGAAGTCCGGGGCCTTGTTGGATATAGGTTGAACTTCTGACTTCGCTGCTGTCTGATCTGCATATGCGGACTCCTGTTACCCATGTTGTTGGAAATGGGAGCAGACGTTTCAACGCCATAATAACCATTTCCCATATTCATTGTCATGGCCAAACAAGTAAAAGGCTTTTTATGGAAGATATTCCATCTAAACTTTTAAGCCCTCCGCATGTAAACCAAGCAGCAAATCAATTCCACCTCTCTCCAGGTCTATGACCCGGATCTTATCTGGAGGGACCCTGTAGTAATTGATTCCGTCAACATCAAATCCGAGATTCTTTCTGTCCGAGGTTACTTTTCTTTCTTTCTTTCTTTCTTTCTTTCTATGGAAGAAAGAGGCTGGTTTCGCTGAGTGGTACAATTATGTTGTGGAAGAGTAAGTAGGAATGGTTGGAGCGGGCATTCGGCGAAGTTCGAGTCTCGAGGTATTAGGGTAGGTAGGTAGGTACACTGGCAGTATTGGTGTACTCAGGATCTATCTTTTACCAATTTCCAAATCGAAGTACAATTTCCCCAGTGTTGTTCCAAATGTTCCAATATCTTGTACTCCTAATTGACTTTGTGTCTCCAATGTTTCAAATTCCGGATTTGATCCCAGGTAACGAGCGAGGTATGAGAATGAGGGAGGAGGGTGAGGGTGAGAGTAAGAGTAAGAGTAAGGGCAAGGGTAAAAGTAAGAGTAAGAGTCTGAGAGAATGACACGAATAGAAGGAATTATGCGTAAAAAGTGGATTTAATAGGGATCAACCAGCGCTGAGTTAATTAATTAGTGGGTGGAGTTGTGAATTTATGAAGCTGTGAATTGAAGTTTGAGTTGCGAAGTAGGACGTGGGAAGTGTCAAGTATCAAGTATCAAATGTCAAATATCAAGTATCAAGTAGGTATCAGGTGTATTTTGGTAGCAGCACCGATAACTATCTTGGATTGTATTTTGAGGGAAAAGGCGCTTTGAGAAAGTAAAATAATGATAGGATGGTATAGTCAAGATCGAGAGATAGTATAGCGTTTATTAGTCTATGATCTACCCTTCAATGGGAATCAAGGCGAACTTGTTAATGAAAGTGTATGAATCGCTCATTGATTAAGAGGTTGATGTTGATGTTGATGTTGATGTTGAGAATGAATGAATGAATGAACGAGTGGATGAATGGATGAATGGATGAGTGGGATTACCTAGAGTGAATCAATCAACGGATGGATATGAATGAATATGAATGAATAGGAATGAATTTGGATGAATAATCAATAATCAGTGCAAGACTTGTAAAGTAAAAGAAAAGGTTTCGGATATTTCACTCAATTCATTTGTTTCGTGGGATGGTCAAAGCAATAAGGTTAATAAATAATAAATAAATAAACAAGCCAAAAAGAATCGACGTTATTATATTGGAAGTGAAAGGTTCAAGTTGGTTGTCAAGTAGGTAGGTATGGTACCTAGGTAATAATGATCATGATAATGATCATGATAATAATAATAATAATAATAATAATAATAATAATAAATATATCATGGTGCAAATTTGATTGACATGTTCCATATATTTCCCATATCTTTAAATGAGCACTGGCTGAAATCCCATCTTGATCATATCCGTCATGCTCTTCACGCTCATCACTTGGAATTGTTCTTCCCTTCCCATTCGGAATATACTCCGTAGTTATCGGTTGTAAGATCTTATTATAAGTCAAGAGCCAGCCGATATTTGTTATATTAGAACGAAAGTTTTCTTCTCCGACTCTCTCTCTTGTAATTTATAAATTATATCTAAGGTTACCCATGAGATAACTCATTATTAACCACCGGCCCATTAGTTCATGATGAATTGCTCATCTCCAGGGAAAAATAAAGGAAAAGTAAATTCCAAATTGTCATCAAATCTTATTTTGATGTTCCTCTGCATCAACCGACCCCCAACCCTGCTTAGATTCTCTAGCCAAGAAATCTCTAATGTCTGAGAGTTTGGGAAAGGGAAGGTTTAATAGAACTTGGAAGCCGCGCAGGAAGGGGAAAAGACTCAGGAGACAGGGAGGGGAGACAGAAAAGACAGAAAAGACAGAAAAGACAGAATAGACAGAAAAGACGGAAAAGACAGAAAAGACAGAAAACGAGAAGGGAAGCGAGATCAATCGGTGAATAAACACATGTCATGATTATGGTAAGCCGCGCCCAGTAAATTAAATAATAAGGAAAAGTTTCGGAACAACGTTGGTACCTGATCCCATTCCAATCATTCCCATCATTCCCATCATTCCAATCAATCTCTTACAGACGTTGAACCGAAACTATGAAGCTCATACCAATGTCATCCATCGTCCATCGTCCATCACCCATAACCTTCCTGCTACCACTCAATACATGATATGATAACTGATAAAATACTCTTCCAAAGCCTTCTGCTTCATCAACGTCTTTATAACTGTTTCTCTCCCTCTTTCTCTTGCATAAGGCTTAACCCTCGCGTCACTTTTCCCCTCTAGTTCTCTCCCTTTTGCACGCCGTCTTGATGCTAGAGGAGTAAGGAGGCATGAGCGTTTATTTCTTTCCGCATCGGTCAATTCGTGATATTATCCCGAAAGAGGTGGAGTTAACCATCGTGATGAATTAAAAAGCAACAGAACGAAGAAACGAAGAAACAAAGAAGCAAAGAGCTTGGGAAATAGTCTGACTTGTTAATTTACAAATTATTCGCTCTTCGTGTCAGAGTTCCGAGGGGATCCATTACAGCAAATATTTCATATCACCCACGTCCAGGGCATGCAACCGTCTTCCCCGGAAAAGCAATGCATATTTATTCCTGATTTCTTTGCTGTCTGATCTCTGATAACGTAAAAAGTAATTTCTTCTGTGCACCCTAAACGCCAATGCCATTCATTTCGCTGGTGAAAGTGCTGTCGTTCATCGTCATGTGTCCATCCATAACTTCATATCACATCATTTTCGTTACCCGGGATCGTCCAATGTTCAACCTCCAACCTTCCCTCCATCAACTTCCATATGCTTCTCGTGGTTTACACTATTCATTTATTCATAGCATACTTCTTTGTGTTTTCCCTTGCCTCCTTCGCAAAGCCCTCTGTATCCGTCTTCAATTTTTCCGCAATCGCATTCTCCAATGGGTCATCTGGATTTGGCTGGATCAAAAGGTTTCTGATGGCTCCCAGAATGGCCGTGATCTTTCCACTAGGCTTCCACTTGTCTTGCTTCAACTCATCCACGCAAATTGATCCCTTCTCATCGTAGGTAACGTTGGGGTGGTAGATGCGAGTTACAAAATTGACAATGGGTGGTTTGAAAGGATAGTCTTTGGGGAGGGCGACGTGGAGGATGAATAAGCCGCCCTGGTGTGCAAGCGTTAGTAATAAGAAGGAGGGGACCGTTCAAGTAGAAAAGAATCGTACGGCATATGGTGTGTTTGCAGGACCTTCCATCTCGACTTTCCATTGATGTAAATCTTCCTCCTTCAACAAGGATGTGCTGATTCCTGGGATGGGGTTTTCCGTCACTTCTTTAAACTCCTAAATACATCTTCTGTCAGACCATGCTCTACTTGTGATCAGACTCGGGAATCGTAGTTGCAAACCTTGGCGATACGGCGTGCTGCCATTTCGACTGGTGGTGGATAGCTTTCAAGGTAGCTACAGAGAGTGGCGGGGTAGGTATGAGTGTTGGATGAGTGGTGAAATGTGCAAAATTGAAGTTGATGTGACTGTTCACTTGCTGTTAGAATCAGAATGGGTTGGGTGGGCGAGATCTCTTACTTATAGATGTATGGTCAAATTTCAATCTATGAAACTTATTTAGACATTCAAAGAACACTGCGTTATGTAAGATTATTTATTCTGTTTGGGGTGTGGGAGTTTGAAGTTATGTGAGAGTATTCTATAGAAAGCTAAATAGAAAGCTACCTCCCTCATGGAAAGTAAAACCAACCAAATTTCACTCAAGGAGAAGGTTCACGTCAGAGCTTTTGGAGATTTGGAGATTAGAGATAGGTAGGGTAGGGTAGGTACCTGGTGATGAACGGCCTTTTCTATCCCTGTCCTTCCGAGGCAGTAAATGGCAAGGCTGAACATTTGTGTCAGGGAAAGAAGGCTGGCTGGCTACCTGGATTTACTTACCTAGCAGGTACGAGTGAGTGAATACCTCGTTGGAATTATTCGGACGTACTCTTGAAAGATGTATATATATTACAAACCTTGGTAGAAGGTAAATGCTAGAAAGTGAGTGATGGTTTCTGTATCTATGAATGGCCTTTCATCAAGTCTTCTTTTCAAGTCCCTCTCTGTCTTTGTCTTGGTCAGTTCCCTAAGTTCTACCGATTACTTCCGACTTGGTAGATGCCGGAAGTCCAAAAGTCTACCTAGGCCGAAAAGTCCAACGCTTTAGGCCCAAAAATAATATTAAGGTCGACTTCATTCATTCCTGTTGCCTTCACATTGGCGTGAAATTATCCTCACATGTACATTGTCCTTCGTTCAGGTCATGTCAAGTTGGGGTATCTTCTTTCTTTTAACGCTGTTCCCAGTTCGGCTACTGCCTTGGTTATTCTCTCTGTAAAACCACGACTAAACCCATCATTCCCAGCATAACAGTCTTAAGCCATGGATGCTCACTGAGTAGAATGGTAACATATCCTACAAATGGTATGTATCCCACAACACTTCCGATGATATCTTCCCTCTCAATGTAATCCTGTCCTCTTGCATATAGCTCCGTATCGTCTGCCACATTGTTGTCTCCCTTTGTCAATAATTTTGCTTTGGGTCTGCAATCTTGGGTATTAGTATAAATGTATTGCTAGATTCCACGAAATTCGGCATTCCAAGCACATCTCCGCCCTTCCCCGCAAGCCGTAAGGTAGAAACTCACCCTGCTCCAAACTTTCTGACCAACCGATGCACAATAGGTATATCCTTCCCCTTGACATTGTAGACCACAATTTCTCCAACCTTTGTCTCTTCTAACAGATTTCTGTTCCATAGAAACAAAAGATCTCCACGCTGGAACGCAGGTTCCATGGATCCAGATAAAACGACAACAATTGGCGAGGGAGAATCTGAAGCTACTGAGAGACCTTTCCACATCATAAAGGCAGTAGAAAGAATGAGGGCAAAGTTCAACACTTGAGCCGCGGCTTGGCGGGGGTTCTGAAGAAAGGAAAGCATGGTCGATGGTGGAGAGGGTGCACAATTCGTTGCGTTGGTAAGGTAGAGGTGGAAAATGTGAGAATCTGCGAATTGATTGTCTTAAGATCACTCAAAGAATGGGCGAATCGCCTTTGGTGATGATTGCGATCAAAGGTACAGACACATTTCTTAAATGAGGACACCTTCTGTAGGTAAGGATTAGTTATGCTTGACTTGTGCCTGACTTGTGCCTGACTTGTGCATAACCTTATGGTCCGTGCATTGTGCAATATTCAACGTCCTCACTTCACTTGATTGAGTGAATTATGTAATCAGATGCTCGAGTAGGTGACCAAAGATTTGAGGAGCTCGAGAGAAAGATAACCAACCTTTCCACATAATGATATTTCATGATATTATAAATATATAATGTAGCAGTAGGTATTCAATCTCTCATAGTCATCGAGCTTTCCATGAAACCCAAATTGGCTCCTTATACACCCAAACCTCAAAGTTGCATTTGCCGTTCTGGAGTTTCCTCTGGACAATGAGTTCCGCTTCCTCCCCAGATAGCTGAGTAAGGGAGATGCGACGAGCTTCTCTACTTTTCCAATACATCAGCTAGAAATTCGACTTATGTTCAAGATCTATAGGTATTCTGTTCCCGCATCTTGACAAGACTGTGCTTTCCCTTTGTTGCCGCTGTATCCATTCGCTCCTGCCATTAGTGTTGTTGACAAGAGGAAGTGCAAATCCTCATCTTCTCCTTCCTGTCTTGATACACTTCTATGCTAGCTTTTTCCATGGCATGTTTACTTCTTCTCTCCATCTGTTTCCTTTCTTTCCATCTTACACCACGACACAACTTCATTGCAAAGCATTGTGTTTCTCTGCGGTTTTACTTAATCGATTCATTCATCCAAATCTCGTTTTGGTCGGTCTCGTCTTTCATTCTATACCTATTAAGCTTCATCTATCTACTCGAAACCGTATCCTTCGATGTCTTCATCTACCGCTCTTCTTCCAAATGGAAGTAATAAGAAGAATGACCATGTAAGTTACATCTCAACATTTTCATTCACAGTTGACGAATGATTCTAATCAAGTTATAGCCTATCTTCCTCCGTGCTTGTCACTCTCCGTGGATCAATATTTCCCAAAAATGTCTTGTCTACCTCAGAGGAGCCCTCGCAGCCTACTTTCTGATCTCTTCGCTTGTCATTCTTCATTACGAGCTTGAAATCCTCAAAAATGGCTGGTTGGTTATTTATAACCTTTCAAATATTGTGTACGGCCTTCAAACTCTATACGCCTGGGTCGCCTTTGTAAGTATATGTCCTCGGCTCCTCAAACTGCACGCATCATTACTCAGTTTCAATATCTGGTACTAATCTTTACCTGTCGGCAGATTTGGACCTTCATGCACCTTTACTACCCCCACAACAATGACAACAATTCTTCTTCGCTCTCTGGCTACATGCGAAGATTTCTCTCACCATCTCGTAAAAACACTAACACCAACGGAAAGTACTTATTCAGCGTCTTTCATTGGGTTATCCTTGCTTTTCCTCATGTCGTTACCTTCATCCACTGGGCAGTTATCGTTCCTCGAAACAAGACAGAAATTCCAGGTAAGAATCCTTTGACGATACTGCAATCAAACTAACGAGGATCCAGGAGACACAATCTTTGATGATAAGCTCACGACTTACTTCATCTTCAGCAAGCACGGTCTTAATTCCGTCGTTGCTTTGAGCGAGCTCTTCATCCTCAGCAGCATAAAGAGATGCGACGTAGGTTTTTCTGACTCTATCTCTCTCATTCTACTAAATATGTTCAAGCCTGTTTGGAACCATGTTACTGCCATCGCTGTACTTCTTCTTGCATATGTAGGCTGGGCAGCTGTCGGCAAGTTCTATGTCGGAAAATACACATATTTCTTCCTTGATTATGAGAAGTTAGGATGGGAGTATTATTGGACATCTGTTGCTGCTTTCATTGTTCTCGGTGAACTCTGTAAGTTATTCCTCCCTTCATGCAGATATGGTCTAGCTAACGGATTCAGTTTTTGCCTTCGTATATTCCCTTACGGGTGTTCGCGAGTCCATGACTAAGAAGCAAAGCGATGACAGGGGCGCAGGGTATCAGAGATTGCCTCAGTAGAAGGTCATACCGAATTTCTAAGAGATTCAAGAGAAGTCTAAGCACAATCATTGAGGCCGACGAGTCATGCGTGGAAAGGTTACGAAGGATTAAAATGTTGATGGAAAGCAACCCTGATGCGTGACCGAGGTATCATACTGTTTGACTTTTGTTTCGTTCGGTATTTTTATTTGTTTCCTTTCTTTGCTTTTCTGTTTATGGTGGTAGTACGAAAGAAGTTCATTGGGTTCACTCTGTAATTATCCAGATCCGATTGCTTTGCTTTAGCTTTACCTAGTACCTACACTAATCCTTCCTAATTATCGATTCTATCTATCCCTTGTTATGCCATTTGATTTTGATGTTCGCAAATGTGATTGAGTTGATGGGGTTCAAGTTACGGAAGACAATGATGGATAGCTTGGCGAGAAGATTTCGTGAAGTGGTAAGTAACCAAGCGCGCTCACATGAAATTATTGAGAATCCTACTACTTGGTGCCACGCGTGCTTGAATTTCGATGTATGATATTACTCTGATTTAGCAAGATGTTAGCAAGTATCAATAACCATCCACAATCTAGAAAAGGTTCGATATTTTCAGCGAAGTATCATTCGGGTCTTATTTGAGGTTGCTAAATAGTCAGTCACCAATTCAGATATTGACGATGCACTAATATCTGGGCGAAGGAGTTGAGGAGACAACCGATTGGCGACCTTATATGATGATTTCCCTGGGCGGGGAAGCGAGGGGATGATAGGGATTGATTATGATGTATGGATGTTGTGGGATTTGTTAGTTGAATTTGTTCGTTTGAACTTTGTATACAATACTAAGCTGGTCTTTGGTTATGATAAAGTCAAGTCACGAAATGATGGCGTGGCATGTTTGAAGGGTCATTTGGTGGGTAAGGGGAAGGGGAGGAAGATACGGATAGGATACGTGATGCGTGATGCGTGATACGCGAAACGGCGGTGTTTTCTGTTCTTTTCTTGCAAATTTGAAAATTCCTCAAAGGGCGAGATGAGATGGGAAGTTTAGGGCTGCCTGTCAAAGACGATCGGGCTGATGATAACCGACTGTCGTTCTGGTGGATGAGTGGTATTCATCATACTTAAATCAACTCAGAGGTTTTCATCACAACGTTCCCGCTGTCACTCAAGATACATCCACATATTCACCAACGGTCATCGCCTCATTCTTCAGCATCAAAATACTCAATGTAAAAGTTTAACTTGTTTTTGATTTGCTAACTGTAGATAGTCTGTCAATGAAAATGCAACGCTTTCCGCTAGTGGTCTCAGCTGGTGATCCCCGCTGGTGGTCTACACTAGACACATTGCTAAAGAAGCAAAAGTTGGTTGATTGAATACAAAAATCGGCTCCAGGCAGACCACATCCGAGAAGTTCTTCCATCCCAAATTGTGTATGCCATCGCGAACAGTAACAGCACAATTCTAAAAGGTGTAAATTTGGATGTCCTCCAAACATACACCTCAAACACAAATTACACCACATAGAGTTTCCTCTGCAGGTGAAAATGTCCGTCAGGTAGAAAATTGTGCGACTCGGTCACCATTCAAGAAAAAACTCTGCAGGTTTCGAGAGGTGCAAGTTTCGAGAAGAAAATAAAAGCCAAAGGAAAAGGAAAAGAAAACTGGTAAAAGAACTTTTTGTCATATACCCTACTCCAACAGACAGTATATATGCCTAATAGCATGACCGAAGTCTATGAACTTTTGTGTACGATGACCCATGCTTTTGTCTAACGCCAGCTCATCCGTTATTAGATATACAATGTGCAAAAGAAAAATATCAGACACGGAGAGAAATCTGAGGCCAGGGATGACAGTCAAAAGGTGTCATGCCGTCCATCAGTCGTAATGAATCATTGCTAATGGAATGATAATCAAGCAATCGTGAGCTCGATATTGGTAGTAAAACATGCATCGATGATATTTACGCTTTGCTGCGACTTCTCTTGTGGGGTTGACGTCCCTGTGATGAACCATTTGATTTCCGCTTTCGTTTAGCGACGTCACCAGCGGGACTTGAGGGCATAAGGGCTTTGAGTTTTCGTCGTGGGGTTAGAGAACTTGTGAGAGAATCTAGATGTCCATTTTTGACACCTTTAATTGTGGAGGTACCAAATGCAAGTGCATCCTTAGAGATAGTATTGCTGTTGATAAGGTTTTCGTTTTGTCGATTGAGGCGAAAGGCACCAACATTAGTACCCTTGTCAAGATGTATCAGAAGGGGATGAAGTCCATCGGAAGTGGTTGGTCGGGCAGGGGTAGATGACGGCGCTTCGACCGGACCGTCATTACGTTCATCCTCATCATCTGTCAATGTCGCATCCATGTGAAGCAAGTCACCCCACTGGAGAGGTTCACTTTGGTCTTCGCTTTCATCATTGGATGAACTGCTCGTCGGGCGACCGACGTTATCATCCACGTAAAGGGGGTTTTCGAAGAAGGCCTCTGGGTTACCAGTGTGGTAGGATCCAAATTCTGATGCTCCATCTGACACTGCACTCATCATAATGTTTGCTTGGTTGCTAAGGACTGGGTTGTACTGTTCCATACTGCCGTTTCTAATGGGTGAAGGTGAGTTTTTATCTTGTAGTCTGGTGGGGTCGGAACAGTACATCAAAAGGTCCTTTCCTTGCTCGTCCAATATAACAAAGGGTACATCAGTATTATGATACCAGGTAATGACATCAGGTTGGCCTTTTTTCCGCTGGATTCGAAAACCAAGGCATGGTGGAGGTGCTGGCGAGTCGCCTCTAGGAACGGAGTCGTCGGCGTCTGGACGGTTCTCTCTCCAATCTTCATCATCAGTTGTGTCTCCACCAAAATCATCACCAAGATCAGCTGCAGAAACATTGTTATTAGTATACGGCACAACAACTGGGCTCGGAAATCACAAGCTCAGTTTGACTCCACTTACATTGATACCCAGATGCAACGGAATCATCACTATCACTCCCTTCGGAGTCATCAGAATCATTGTTCCCATTTCCCCATTGTTCCGTGTCCGAGTCAGGATCATCATTATATGTGTTATCATCCAAGCCTCTGGCAAGATGAGGGGGGAGCGCATCTGCACTTAAAAAGGGGCCTTGGGCCGAAGTGTTCGTTTCGAATAGATCGGGATGCCAGTTGACGGATTCATCCTCAGAGATGCTGCTATCTGAATCGTCGTCGGCGAATGTAACCCGCTTTTTGGCACCCTGTATGCCGAGCAGATTGTCTTCAAAAAACCCGGGACTCTCGAGTAATTCTTCCGAGGAATCCTCAAATCCTCCCCATTCTTCATCGTTATTTGTTGCCCGAGGTGTGTCCTGTGCATCGGTATCTTCTTCGATAGTCTCCAAATCGTCATCCTCTTCTAACATAGCAGCTTCTTCATACTGCTCGATCCTTGACCCCCCGGCCCGCCTGAATGCATCGGGCTCGTCATCTGAATCATTGTCGTCGGAATCACTGATCAGATCCACGCCAGCATATGAAGAGTCGGAGGAGTAATCAGTGATTTTCTTGGGCTTCCTTGAGTTTTTTGATCTGGGAGGAGTCTTGAAAGACTCCCGTTGTGTGTTTCGAGACATTGTGGTTTGTGTTTTAATATGATCTGCAAGAAATATTTTGTTGTGGGGTTAATTGCGTTTGACCTAAAGTATCGGCGGTGAGAGTAAATTTGCAGATGTGGAGATGTAAAGGTCCAGAAATAGCAGTGATAATTCTACCAAATATGTCGTGCTGGTATCAATTGAGTGTATCAAAAGATGACCTCGAATTGTGATTAAGCCGATTTTAAAGCTTCTAGGAGATGTGTAAAATTGCAGGTATGAGTAATTTTTGGTATCTTTGTTTGTTCGTTCGAAGAGAGCCTCCTCACCTTGAGAAGGGAAATGGCAAGATTGGGAACTCGATCGAAAAATTGTGATTGAATTTTCAAACTCTCAATTGATATCTTAATCAATCTATCAAATTGGCTGATAGACAGTGAAAGTCTGGATTATCTCGTCAAGATCGAATGTATAAGATTGGGGAAGTTTACTCGTTGGCTGAAAGGACTACAGACATGCCCGGTTGAGCATGCTGTAGTGGGGATTCACTGCTCAGCGATGGCCTGTGGCATTGTCTCGACGAAAATATGAATATGAAGATATACTTATTTGAATAAGTTTAGGGTGACTTCGTTGTCTTTTAGAAGTTGATGAGTTTGGTTGAAGGAGGAGAGGAGAGGAGAGGAAAAGGAAAAAAGAGGAGCACCGACGATATATTAATTCTTGGAGGGGACATTTTCCAACATTTGACGCTAGTACGTATTTGTGCTAGTAAGGTAGATATTAAGCAGCAGATGGCAGATATAGACTGGGATGGTGGGAGCTTTTACTACGAAATTGTGCGTGCTTCTCATTGATCCTTGTCGGTCATAATTTGTGGGGATTGGTTGAAGAAACGACCAACCAAAAAATGATTGATCATAATGATTGGCTAATTCTTTTACTTGACATTCATTTCTCACCGCTACAACCCAAAATAATATAGACTTGGTCACTTTTCTAACCGTCTCATTGGATGAATTGAAAACCGTTTAAGAACGAACACATTAGTTCTACTTACTTACCTACCTAGGTAGTTACACATGTGTTCAAGGGGGAAGAGGAACTAGTTTCATTGGTTCATATCTAGCAATTGATTTTTATGACTTCTTCTCGATCTGCCCCGTCTCTTCTTGAGGCAAGAGGGCGAGAAGGAATTTGTTTTCATTGGTCAACGCAGAAGAATTTCCATGACAATTCGTTCATCCGGAGCGGATCTCCTAAGGCAAAAGGCAAGAGACAGTCTGTTTTCATTGTTTAAATACTTTCATACTTCCTATGGGAGTCACTCAGATACCTAGATTCATGAGTCAAACCACTGCCAAAGGAATTGATAAGAGTCATCTCGAAAACGAAGTAAGAGGCAAGAAACGGATTCCTTCATGTTTATTCGTCATGATCTATCAATTTTCATACCATCTATGAGGAGTCACGCCAAGTCATCTATGGCAGTAGAGAGATGCACGAGCTAGGTTAAGGCATGGTGACTGAAAGAAGTGACATAAGTTGGCGCCTTGCTATTCGTCATAAGAATGTCAATATATGGGGAGGTGGACTTATAGACCTGTAGGCAATAGGTAGGTATGAAAGATCTAGGGCTAGAGAATACCAGGGGACAGGGACTAGGAAGCAGAGAGGAAAAGAGAGAAGTGAAAACAGGAGTGAAATGAGGAAGATTATTGGTGTTGGTCTGAAGCCTCAAAGCTAAAGATATCGAATCATCTATTCAAAAGTAGTCGATGAAAGTCCTGAAAGTGGATATTTTGATACTATTGCGGGCCAATTATGTACAGAGTACAGCAGTCCAGTTTCCTTCTTTACGGAGTACTGTGGGTACAAAACGATTATGCTTCGTACAGAGAGAACTAACAACGCATATCAATCATCTACCTTGTCCTCTGTACCTACGATTGAACTTTGAGGTAGGAATCTTCTTCTCCATACCACGCAGAACATATGATGTATGATGCATGTGCTTCAACATGGCCACTGAAAGAGGAATTGAATTTGGTATGCGGTATTGGCGGCCAATGCCAATATCATTTCTTTCCTTTAAATACCTTATCATATACAGCATACTCCAGTTCATTTGATGGTCAAGTTTGGATACTCCGGACATGTGAAGATTAGATTACTACACGGAGTAGGTAATGTATCTCTACAAACTAACGAGTATTAGGTAGGTACCTACCTTAAGCCGGAGTCGAGATGGTCCCCAAACGGGAACTTCGGTATCCAGAGAGACTTCCGTACCGGCCGACACCTGATCTATGGCATGGCATTGCATGTCATGGTAATTTCTTGTCTAGGTGGGTTTTTTTTATCGAGGAATGCTATATAAGTATTTCTGCAAAAAAGCATTTCAAAAGAATATGTGTTTATCCTGATGGAAGTGGAACAAAGGGATTGTCCATTCCTCGAGATATTGATATTGATTTCTTGGAATCTTTTTGAGGCTCAAATTACTCATATCTCGGAGCTAGCTAATCATCACAACTACCACAATTGCTTACCCGGAGGAGCTCCTCCTGCTCGCCAATGAAATGGCAGTCCGTCATACACCAAGGACTGTATGACTCTTCGTATGACTCCTGTATGAGATTAAGGTACTCTCATTGAAAATCCATTAGATTTCCATCAAGGGCTAGATGTCCAAGGTTACCTATCAACTTGTCTAGGTCTTATGCAGTATTCAAGATCGATATTAAATTCTTGCCGAAAAATCAACCCCTCTTCTCTTCAACGTTCAGCTTCTAGCCCCTCATCACAAAGTTCATAACCCGACACATATTATTAATCATCGATCAATGATTCAATAATTGCTCGAAATAAGTGGAGAAATGCAAGTGGGGGCCAATCAAAGTGGAATTAAGGGTCTTTAATATGCTTGTTTGATTTTTTCGATTTTTTCGATTTTTTCGATTTTTTCGATTCGATTTTCCTCTTTGTCTTTTTTGCCATACCGAAAGCGGTGAGTAGTGAAATTATGTGGGGAAGAAACTAAGCTCTCACAATCAAGTGCACCTGCATAACTTTGTGCGTAGATCCCCTTGGCTCCTCAGCTCCTAAGCTAAGCCCAATCCAGTTCATGAGTGAAGTCTGGTTTGTGTTACTCGAGCACAAACAGGAAACTTTCTAGAAGCTTTTCCTATTAGACATCGACTTCATCCGCTATCTGCCCATGGTAACCATGAATAAAGGTTACTTGAGACAGTGAGTGGTGTATCCCCCCTTTGCATGTCCATCACAACAACCCTAATGGTATCGGAAATAGCATCATCATCATCATCATTATCTTGAGCAAAGTATCAGCTCTGGCCGTGTAATTATGGGTGTACAGACCTTGAAATCATTTCATTGATCTTTTCTCTCTTCCTCATCTCCCACTTCCACTTCCAGTTCCTCCGTCCTCTCTCCTTTTCCCCAACCCAACTTTGCCATCAGTACCTTGGTCCAGAATATTGTCTTCATTGTACCAGCAATTGAAAGTGCGACAACAACAACCCATTTCACCATTTTCGTGGCGCCAAGGTCTTGAAAGTTGCGCTCGATTGAGGGGTTCTGGTTTTCTTTCAATTTGGATTTCGCTGGCTTTGCTTTTGGTGGTGCAGACATGTTTGATTTGTGTTCGGCGTATCTCTGTGGATCAAATGTACTGAGTTTATGTGCATGAATCCTGTTGGTACTTCGTGACGTTGATGGTGAGCTTGAGATAAAGACTCGGAATTTGGAGAGAGCCTTGTACATCTTGAAGTTGTTTCCACGACGGTGCAATATCGCTCAAGTGACTTGTTAGTTTCCTCATTAGTGATCTTTGGGATGGTCGTCATGAATTCATTTGCGTTCGTTATTTGGTGCTGAAGTTATATGATTGTTCATCATCATCGGTGTGCACAGTCGTTTTCGCGACACAGTGAAGAACAGGATCGATTCATTACAGGTCATGAATATACCTATTTATCCCGATGGAATACTCGTGACCATTGTCACACCAACAACTCCTTCATCATAGTTTCTGAGACAGTTATCATGATCTGGAGATGTGTCAAGCGATATCAAACAATGACAATATATATGATTACATTCTCTATATTCATAGTTCACGGGCTTATCTGTGCCACCATAACCTCCTATATTCCTCTTCTCGCGACTTGACTACCTCCTTGGATATAGCCATGGTTCAACTAGCCTCCCTTCCACTATTAGTAAAATATCATTATCATCTTCGGCTGACTTTTCCACTATGGTGTGTTACGATTAAGCTATTGTATTTTTCAGTTTCTTGTCTACTTAGTCATGTGTTTTCGTTTTCATCAAAAACTGTTCGAGGTATAGTTTCTAAATAAACCGTAATATCGAGACCAGGGTATATCCTAGGCGTTGGTTTAACCTTTTCTCAAGGCATCTTTGATCCGTCTACAGTATCGGGTACTTCGTTGCTTCTAAGTTCCTTTTTCTTCTCTTTTTGGGAACTTGTATCTTTGCAATAAAAGAAAGTTGCGATTTTAGAACAGCTTTCAGGAAGAATTTCACATATGTGTGCGAGAATTTTAAGAAGTGTCCAGTACAATCAATGATGAAACCAAATGAATATTTTGGATGAGATTGTTAGAAGCAATTGACGATTAGAGTTAGGCAGAAATATCAAAGGTGGCAATTATACTCACGTGACCGTTAACACAGGTACAAGATTCCAAGTTGTGATCACCATTTCCGCCGAGAAAGCAACGATAAACGATGCCCAATATGGAAGCTGTAATGGCCCTATCAATAGCATCAGCCACTTCATTCAGATTTTCTTAATGGCAGGCAAAATGAATCAAGCTGACAGAAATCCAATAGCGAAGGTCAAAGCTACACTCGACTTCTTCCCGGGCTGGCTTCGTCTCCGGTTTGTTGACTGCAATCAATGGCAGAATAGTGAGGCATCAAGGAGTCAGTAGTTGTATATCAGATGGTCCAGGAACCAAGATCCTCACAAAAGATAACAATCAAAAGCCAGCCCACAGCAGCCGTATGTATACTCAGGCCCCTTTGATGGTTACTAGGCTTGTAAACAATTGCGTTACCCATATTTCATTTCCAGTGGAATAGCCAAGATGCATGCGTGATGACAATAATGAGGTCAACATGTTTATGGATAAAGTGAGGAAGCGTACGTGCACAAACTATTATAGAGATATGGGTGGCTATAGGAGAAAGCTGTGGTTCAATATCAATCAGTATAATTCTACCTAATTACGTCCACCACGATTTTTACGTACAATTGTAAGTGATAAGGCCCCCACAAAACATCCACCAGTCATGCAGTCTTTTCCGGATGAGCTCCGAAGAAAATCAATGAAATTCATGATCCTCTACCCCAACTTCACTGGCTGCATGATTCAAAGGATTGTCCAGCTCCTCACGGTAATACATATTATTATCAGAAAATCATGATCGTAGAAACAACTATTATTACCGCACATAGTGAAATCTGGCTTTACAAATTTCGACATGACCCCTGATGAGGGCGTAAAAGCTACAACGTTTTGAAGTGTGGATACAGGTAGCTGAGGGATTGTCTTGCTAAGAATTTCCGGGGATCAGGAGTAAATTCCATAGTGTTTGAAAGGAGGCCACTAGATGAGATTTGGAAAACTTCAAGGTCCAGAAATAATATGACAAATACTTTGAGATTTTAAGAGAGTGTAATGTTTGTGACTTTGAGTGTTGCCTTTTCATCACTTCCATAATGCTAATAATGGATTTATACAATGCAAATTCAAATTCGTGCATTTCCTACGCGAGGAATGCGGAAGAATCTTTCATTGCATTTGAATATCTTTTCTAAAACATAGACAAAGAGTCACTTAGCTGGGCTTCACTACATCAACTTTCGTCATGGTGGGAAGAAAAGAGGGTTTAAATGCCAGCTCTCCTTCAAATTTCCTCCCACCCTCTTTCTCTCTCACCCTTATGCTGCTCTCCCATGGTCATTGAAATATTCCAAATATTCCTCGAAAAGCCAGAGGCCACGGGCACTAATCCTGACCCTAAGTTTTTCTCAACACCATGTCTAATATCATATTTTCTTGAAACTACAAGCTAGGATGGGAGTATGCTAGACGATTCCCTCCACAACGACAAGACAGGAAGTAAACAGCACCTCCTCACTAATCCCAGACTCCTAAGAACATTCTAAAGCTTCTGCGGAACCCCAGAAACATGGAAATAATTTTCATTTTCCTAGGTTGAAAATATCAAGAATGAAGGTTTAATAATTAGGAATGATAAAGAACCGGATCATCGAGAAGAAGTCCAACAGGCTAGAAAAACCTAATTCCGCACGCCTGAGCAGTTAAAAGAGAGAACCTTTTTAGAATTAATGTGGTTCTATGTGTGCTATGTTTAATTGCGCTCTACTATGCTATTGGTATTTGTAATAGAGAAACCTAATACGCTAGAGGATATAATTGACATCTTATTGATGTTACCAGAAGATGGGTTGGTGGAGGTAGTGTGAGGATATAGCGATCATGCTGAAGCTGAAGACGTTTGGCTTGAATGGGCAATATAGTTTCGTTTTGAACTAAGCCGTGATTCATTTTAATCTCTTGACCTAAGGATGAAGATCTGTTGGTATCTGTGCCGCATCCAGTAATCGCGGCGTAGCTGTAGGTATAGCTCCCTCCGAAGACCTTTCCTCCCATTGAAGACCTTTCCTTCCACCGAAGACCTTTCCTTCCACCGAAGACCTTTCCTTCCACCGAAGACCTTTCCTTCCACCGAAGACCTTTCCTTCCACCGAAGACCTTTCCGCAGGCTCCGTTGGAGGACCTTCAGCTTTTCATGTAAGAATTTAGCAGTCAGATGTTTAATCTTGCTACTGCCCCGGAAAGCCCAGATGTCTTTCATGGAATCTGTGCAGCTCCGCGTCTTTTCGCCATCGGTGTTGTTATATTATCGATGGTACTTTTGTTGTACGGAGATGATGTCTGATGAAGATCCTGATTGAGTTTTAGTTCAGAAGTCCTATTAAAGTTCAATCATTGGTTCAACAAGTATGATTCAATGCATTAATACAGTTGCAAGGCACTTAAAAGCACAAGGAACGTTGTGCGTGCTAGAAGAGAATCGTCTTATTTTTATTTGTATCCTAATTATCGAATTAGTCGTTAACATTGTTCCTGCTGTCGTCCCCCATTTTCCGTGCAGTAATCTGTAGTCATCATTTATTCATTAATCCATCTAATCTTGTTATTCGCAAGAGTAGTCATTTCTCTATCAATCCCTTTCTATTCAAGCCCTACACGTATCTTTCTCTCCGCTCATTGTTGTGTGATACAAAAAGCTCATGGGTCTTCTTCAGTTTGGTTCTGTTATCAACTCATTAGCTTTTTTGTCATTCAGGTAGGGTGCGTATGGCAAACTTACATCTCTGACATAATATTCATTGTAGCAGTTAACATCTGTTGATGGGCTATAGAAAACCAATCCAGTTCCTTTAACCGCTGCAGCTGGGCCGGCAAAACTGCTAATTGTAGCTGATGCAACAATCGCTTGATAAGCTGCTGACTTTGCGTTCTTTGGGATAGTGGTTGTCAATCTGAATGGTGTTTTGGTGGCAACTGAGAGTCCTTCGAAGGTAACAGCTTTTTTGGCGCTGATAACAGCAACAGCTTGCGGTTCTGGGAAGTCGGGAAGAAAGTCTGGGTAATACCAGAAGGCGGATGCGTAGGAAGCAGATGTAACATTGTTGTAGCAGTTGGCGAGGATATAGAGTTCTCCAGTGTCGCGCTTAGCGACTGGAACGGGGGATGAGATGGTGAGGGTGGTGAAGGCCAAGAGGCCAGTGATGAATGAGGCAAGCATTTTCTATGATGTATTTTGGAGATATATGATTTCACCGAACAATGGGTAGTACTTGAGATTTCGGCTAGGAGTTGATGAGGATGATGATGATGATAGATAGATGTTATACAGAGGCAACGCTTTCTTATATACTTCTCAAACAACGTACTTTGGAACAAGTCCTTTTGACGGAAAATAAAAATCTCGTCCCTTCCGCTCTTCTCAACAAGTCTGGACCCTACCTCCGTGTTCAGATATGACCTTGCGAGCTTCTGTATAGCACATACCAGGTCGGCTTGCAATAACTTCAGAGAATTCTTCCATAGAACTCCACTGCTGCAAACACACATCATGAAGCCGACAGCAGAATTCCGTACCTGTAGATCCATCGACCCACCATCCATCCGTTGATATTCTGAGCGGAGGCTGGGAATAAGCTGGGTCCAAACCTAGGCCCTGGCTTCCGAGAAAAAAAAAAAGGACTCGCAGACTTTTACTTTGCACAGCCTATCGACCGCAGCCAATTGAGCATTGCTGCATTTCGATGCATCTCGCATCCATGTATTAGGACTATAATATGTAACTAAGTAAGTCTTCGAGACTCTGAGCAAATAGAAGCCTTTCTACGAAGCGGAATCACATGTGAAGAGTAGCCGAAGGGTGCAGCTCGCTTGGCAAAATACGGGCAATTTGATTCATGCAAGAGAAAGATCAGGAACGTTATCGATATTTTGCACATGCTACTTTGGCATATTCCGATGAAAACCACGATGGATGGATAATCCACTGTCTGAACCCCTTCTAATCTAGCGTTGAAGAAAACCATCGGGATTATCAAAACCCCTGTTTACGGCGCGATTTGACAGCAGGAGGTAAAAAGACACATCAGTTTCACGCGGAACACTAAGAATTTTGTCCCTTTAGATCACTAATTATGTAGCGCTTGTTTTATCGAAATGGGCATAGTTTGAGGTTAATCTTTATCTAGAAAACCGATGTCCCGCTGCCATCTGATAAGCGAATTCTACCTCGGTCTAATGTCCAGAAACGGCTGTTGTGTTGCATAACCTAATTCATCAACCAAGCAATAGCGCTAATGCGGAACATGTTACTAGCTGCTGGTCTGGAAGCTTGTCTACTCTGTACAGAAGAAATTTGGTTCGCAGCACAACTAGAACGTTAGGAAATACTTGAATGCTTGTGGTTGTCTGGTATAGCTGTTTTTTTTTTCTACGTTGGAAAGTATGTGTGTGTTATAATTATTAGTACGTGGTAGGCTATGCTGTCTGAGAATCGACTCCATGTAAGATCTGAAGTGTCGGTCAGGTTGCTATAATAGTTCACGATGGAGAAGCCATAGATAGAATACGGAGTAGTATAAAGGGTTATTGCTATAGGTGTGAAGAGGGTTGATTTATCATTATCGTACGAGTAAAACTATATATAGCCCCACTAGAATTGCACCTGCTGTATTAAACCATTAACCTTATTTTGGAAATCGTGATACTACTCTCGATGAGGCATTTCCAACCAATATGGGTCGTTGCCGCCCTCAATCGTGGATCCATAAAATAAACTCGAACCGGATCTCGGCCTAGACAAAAGTAACTACGGTTAGATCCGCCAGGAATATGCAGCGAGTTACTGCAATGTACCTTGTTTAGAAGGTGGGTTTGGCAGACTTAACGGTCCATACTTCGTATAGCCTCAGAATCGTAGCTCCAATGATAAACTAGTCGCCTCCACCACAAGCAAAGCATAATTAAAGGTAAGATCTTATCTTGCAGCCAGAAAGTTTAAAACCCCGACAACAGTATTAAAGAAGAAGGAGAATCTCTAAAATGGGGCGATTAGACCAATGAAAATGGATATTTCCTAGCGTTCAGAGTTTTATCTTCCGTACTTATTGACCGCACGAGTATCCGAGAGGGACGGAGTCTACATTGATTGCTGTCAATTTTCTATCCTTGTTTACCTTTTTTTTCTTCTGCACTCAACATATTTTTTTCCGGAGAAATTGATTCTTCAAAATCCGCGCATTCATGTTCTTTGGATGGCATTTCTCCGAAGAATTCCTATCTGTCTACAGTGACCGGAAATGGAAACAGCTGGATTTCGATAGCGGTTGAAAACAGCGCCCCATGCATGGTACTGTTAAATGATATCCACAATCTCATACGCCCTTTACGAACAACAACATTTTCCAGAAACACTTTCCCAAATATCTTTCAATCGATCAAAGAATCTAAGGCTTTTTTCCTTCTCCTCATCTGCTTGCCGATCAAGCATCTCTGCAATTCTCCTTTCCTTCATTGCCTCCGAGCCATCTCCCTTTAGTTCCAATTCATGTCCTCTTTCTTCAATCTGCCGTTCTTGAAAATCCGAATTCACATCTCTAAAGCTTTTCTCCCCCTCTCCTTTCACTTCCTCCGCAACAACAATCGATGTTCTCTCTTCGATCCTCGATGTTCTTAACCCAGCACTAGAACCAAATCCGAAATCTCTGACTATGTTCAAGCCTGGTAGGTCGATACTAGGATGACCAAAAGTTTCTTCCTCAGGAAGTGACAGTATCAATGAAGTTTTAGATCTAGATACAGGCTCTGGTCCTCCGGTTCTGCCGATTCCCAGTGGAGAAGTCGGGAACGAGGCCAAGGCATCCGGGGTGAGAGTTTTATTAATTTCTGCTGTATTGGAGAAGTATTTGGTAGAACCACTCAAAGATGTTGTGTGAAGAAAAGAAGCTCCGGGAGTAGAAGGTCGAGAATAAGCCCGTGATGAGGGTTTCAGAATCGGAGGTTCTTGGCGTGTCATCTTCCTGGGCTTTTAATTTACCTTTCCGCTGTCAAAATTTGGAATTGAAATTCCAAGACTGAAGGGAGAAGATGAAAATAAGACCAATGATTGAGTTGAGCTTGGTTTGGGAGGTTAGGAAATTTTTAATCGGCACATCTTGTGGATGTTGAATCTTACAATGTTACATTTGTCAATCAATGTCTTTGTCTGGGAAATTGGTGTGACGGGATTTCCTTTCTACGAGATTGAAGTTTGAGTTTGTCCTCGAGAGTTTTGAAATTGCGACAGAGAGTCCAGTAATCCGAACTAGCAGACTAATTCGGGTTTTAAATGTTTTTAGTCGGTTCAAAATTCAAAATGAATCCAACATTTCAACCACTTCGAATAATTCAACTAGATCAATAGATCGAAAGCCTCTGATTGTCGGACCGCAATCCGGATTACTGGAAATCTGAGCAACGATAGATTAGCATCTAGTACGACTGACTAGTGATTCGTGTTGAATAAGCTCAAATCGTTGATTTGTATCATTTTTTAGATGCTACCACAACGTTTGGTAACACTACAATATATCCGGTGTAGAGATTTCAATCTCAGTCGGCTGGTAGTGGCATGTTTCATGCTTTCAGATTTAAAGCTTCGTACTGGTAGGCATATGGGAAACAGAAACTAGAGTGGTCTGCACTGGGAGGGAGGAAGGATAGGGTAAGGAGAAGCGAAATTTCACTTGATTGTTTGTTGTCGGATTTTGTATTATTTAATAATGTTGATATTCCAAGCCTCATAAATAGCCCATAGTTGAATAATGACATCTTCCCACATCCAACGGTTCCTGACCGAGGCTGTGGCTGTGATACAGATTATCGCGAAGTAAAAATATGGAAAAGATGATTTCTCAAACCCGAGATTGAAACATATTTTAGGTTCGTCATTTGCAAACTGATGTAGAGAATTTACCAACAGGGGTTTTGAGTAAAGTCATTTTAAGCAAATTGAAGTATATACATCAAGAATCTTCTCTGTACATGTGGAAGTATAACCTCGCATTCTGAATAAAACCACTAGGATTGATTTCAGTCATGCGCATGATCTATGTAGGACGAATTTAACATAGCATCTGCAAACCACATTCAATACAATTCATCCATTTCATATATTACTCCACTCAAGTTATTTTGATATAGAAATTATGATGTTGATATTTCATACTTTTAATGTCCATATTTCAGAATCTCCACTCTTGCGATTCATCCCATGTCATGTCACCCCAACCTCAAGGGTCTGGTCATGACTTTAATCCATTTTGGTACGACCGTCCCAGCCTTAAAGAATTTCCTTTCAAGCCCACTTTAATACCCAATCACTCGTCCAAGCGCCATCACTTGTAGAATTACTCAATCCCTTGACTGCAAGTACTTGGCTAGTAGAATTGTATGTCCATCCGCTGGTGAGATCAGCACCATTCCAGTTAACATCGGTAACTGGTGACGATACACCCATGACTGTGATATTGGCAAGCGAGTTACTGTCGACGTAACTACCTCGTCCTGATGCGTATAGTGAATTTTTCGTCATCGAGAAATCAACCCAAAGAGTAGCATTGGGAGTTACAGATTCTCCATCGTCCAGATACAGTTCGCCACTAGCCGTTCCTTCCAAACTGGATGCAACCAACAATCCCCAAGGATTTTTTCTGCATTTTTGAGTCGTCAATGCGGGCTCCTGAATTGGAAGAATGGCACCACCACGGATATAAACTGGAATATGACCGAGTGGTGCGTCAATTGTGATGTTTTGACCAGGGGATGAGGTAACCGCAGACTGGTTATACCAATCATACCAGACCTGCCCCTTCCCAGATCCAGGGAATACACCATTGACGGAGGTAGCGCCTTGCTCCAAGACAGGGGTTACCAGAATGTTTGGGCCGAGTAGAAACTGTCGATCTGCAGAGGCGAGGGTGGGATCATTGGGAAATTCCCAGGCTAGAGCCCGCATCACGGTTGAGCCGGTGGAATGTGCCAAGTAGAACGTAGTATAGATATATGGGAGAAGTGTATATCTGATCGTAGTAGCAGCCTTAGTGGCATCGATGACGGATGCCCACACGTATGGCTCTTGTGGATTGGCAGCCAAAGTATTATGGTTTCGGTAAAATGGAAAGAAAGCGGAGAGTTGCATCCAGCGATTGCAGAGTTCTTCGTCACTATTGCCGGAGAAGCCACAGGTGTCTGCTCCGAACATGGGAATACCGAATAAAGAAAATGAGAGAGCTTGTGGGATAGAGAAGAACATGTAGGCCCATAGAGAATAATTATCACCTCCCCAATGTCCAGCCCACTTACCAGATCCTGCAAAAGTAGAACGGCCGATAATAAATGGACGTTTAGTTGGGAAGACATTGCGGAGGGCGTTATACGTGGCGTTTAGAATTTGGGTTCCGAACAGATTATGGTAGTCATATTCTTGAGTTCCACCATGATGTGTCGCATTTGGTGACACTGCATGAACATCTAATGCTCCTTGGAAATTGTTAATGGTGTATGGAGGATAAACTATATCGCGGAATCCTGGTGTTGGTGTTGTGCGGATATAAGTCGTGGAAGATGATGTTGTTGCTGTCGAGGTAGCATAAGCTGAGGATTGACTGGCAGAGGCAGAAGATGCAGATGCGGCTTCAGTAGCATTAGTGAGATTAAATCCTTCCGGATAGTTGAAGTCGACATTCCCTGGTTCGCCTGGTAGAAGAAATGGTGGATGGACAGGATTGAGAGTGAGATTGTTGCTCCCGCATGAGCCAACACAGAAAGAAGAAACTTCACTCATGTCAATCCAAATGCCATCGAAGGAAAAATTTGAATGCCATGTTGTAAGTTCATCTATCCACCATTTGTATGCTCCTGTGCCATTCAACACCGACCCAATCCAATCAGGGAAAACCGTGTAACCGGGCCATACACTTCCTATATACAAACTACCATCAGGATTCAACATAAAACTGTTGGTTTCATTACCACGACTGAATGGTGGATACGCATCGCTTGCATTTTCGGGATTAGGAATGTATATTGCCGAGTCAACGATCGGAACAATGTGCTGTCCATTTCCGTGGAGTTTTGAGAGGAATTCAGCTCCTTCAGAATGCCCAAACCTGCCTTCGTCAACCTCAAAGTCGCGATATTGATTCATGTAATCGATATCTAACCAAATGGTCTCTAATGGAAGACCAAAGTTTGCGAAATTGTCAACAACCTTGCCGAGTGCAGTCCAGTTCGAATAGCCCCATCGACATTGGTGATACCCGAATGTAAAATATTGTTGCATAGCCGGAAGCCCAACAGCACTCATTTGATATGCCTTTGTAACCTTTTCTTGTGTTGGCCCAGCATAGAAGTACAGATCAATACTCCCCCCAAGTGTCCTCCACGTGATGTTTGATGGTTTCATCAGAACTTCTTGGCCATGAGCATTTCGTTGATAGACACCATGAGTGTAAGAAACATAATCTGCAGTGGTATCCGTTGCATTTGCGACATAGGTCATGTTTCCCGTAGCCGCATCAATCTCGTAATATCTTGTATCGAGATATATTCCGTGATCGCCATATATGTTTGCATCGATGTTATCGCCAACGTCGGCGGCCCAGAAAGTTCGTGTAAAGTTGTTACCCATACGAAACCCATGGATGGATTCTCCTAATCCATAAAGATTGTAGTTCTCTGGCAAAGAACTAGCAAACTCGATAAATTGGTTCTCGTAAACCAATTTAGTACCCACGGTGGAGAAAAGAACATCCCCCGTAGATTGACGAAATATAGAGAATGAGAATGTCGGATCATTACTCCACAAAAAGCTAAGATCACTATCTAGAGTGGTAGAGTTCGCATCGGCATCAATAGAAGGTTTCTCGACAAGTGACTCTGGGAGGATAAACCAGGAGCTGTTTGAAGGTCCAACATAAGTAGGGACAATCCCCACGTGAAGACGATCTTTCGATTGGTACTCCACTGTCAAATTGAGGAAATCGATATCCGTCCCATAAACATTGCAAGCATCACCAGCCAATGACAGAGAAGCCGTCAATCCGTAAGAGGTTCGCTTCACATTGGATGCAGTATACCCCGGACAAACATCTTGTGGATTAATTGCCTGCGGATCGTGGATGTTTGGAATGATAGGTGCGCTGGCATCAACTGAAGCTGGGAGCGTGTAAACGGGACGATAACTTGTGGTAGTATCTGCTTGTGATGATATTGAGTTTTGAGCAAGAGTGGTATTTAAAAATGCCGTGGCAAATGCAGCAACTGTGACACCAAGCTTGCCTCTCATTGTTCTTTGACTACCTTCAGTGTAGTAATGAACAAAGTGAAAAATGAGAAGCAAGGGGACAAAAGTCCATAAGCCAAAGTATGATGGAGAAATTGAGCAATAAGGAAAGAGAGAAGTGATGAACGTCTCGGGAGAATAAACGAGTGAGTTTATATAAAATGAACACCCCTCCCCCGCACTCCGCCCAAGACGAAACCCGCCAAAAAGAATGTTCCGTAGTAGATCGACCCACGTCATCTATGAAGAGATCTACTAGAAAAAGGTTGAAGTGCGATACGACTTTTGGATGCTGTGGATAGAACTTCGACACCTGTTCATATAGATCACGCACAGAAGGACCGAAATGTTATGTATGTTATGTTATTCAAGGAAATATAATTAACTAGTCCGTACTCGAGTAGTACTTTTGATCAAATCAAGTGACATATTTGATGTCATTAAGCCATTAGATCCTTTGAAGCATCCAATGGTAAATTCTTTGACTTGTATTGGTCGTCAAGGGGGCAGTCTGTGCTGTCTTTGAAGTTGTTGGCTTCCTTCTAAAGAGTGCGAATAGTTTTTAGTTAGTTGGGAACTAGAGACGGGGAGTGAGGTTGGTTGGTTTTGGTTGGTTGGTGGTTGGTGGTTAGGCTTTCAGTGGGGGAATCGAGGGACATTTCAGCGAGTAATTTGTGTAATTTGTGTAATGTGGGGGACTGGATTGGGGTGAAGCGGAGTCGACTGGGGAATTAAATGCGGATCGGCAAAGCGGAAAAGGTTAAACCATACTCATAAGCCTTAAGGTTACGGAGTACTTGAACCTAAACCAGAGTTTTACTAGGTTGTATTGATTGAATTTTCGCGAAGAATATAGCGAAAACAAAGCCGAGAATGTAGCGAAAGAAATAGCGAAGAATGTCTAATGAAGAATATAATGAAGAATTTAATGAAGAATTTAATGAAGAATTTAATGAAGAATATAATGAAGAATATTCGAATACGTGGAGCGTCAAAAAGCTCCTATGTTGTGCCCGTTGAATCCAATGGGCTTGGCTAGACTACTCCGTACAGCAAAGGGATTCATCTGGAAAATGAGTACTCCGCATGTGAAAAGGATTGATGATTTTGACAAATTATCGATATTCGTGTCGCCTAGTGGTTTAGTTAGGTCACCACTCTTCATCCTATCCTACTTTTGATCGATCAAATCTTCATTTTCTTGGGATTATTTATTTCGTACATTTGCTGAATCCCTCGTTCAATCCAAAAGTTTATGATGAATCGGAGTAAGCTTCGTCTCCCCATGTGACGAACAAATGATCAATGAGCATTCAAAATTCCAGCTTCCAAGTTGCTGATATTAAACATGCTCACCTCTTCTTGCTCGTGGGAGATTTGATGAAACTCGAATGTTCGTTGAGCAAACTATTTCGTTGGGGAACTGCGACCAGCTCATCCCATCCCATCCCATCCCATCTCATCGAGATAAACGAACTGAAAAAGGTACATGCCGCGTGTCAGGTCATACCACACTTTCTCAGCCACCTTGGGGATTGCAAAGCTCAAACTCTGTGATATGCTGAGACTACCGGTCAGAAGTTTCCCCATGGAAAGCCTTGAGAAATTGCATATGCTGTCGAAAATTCTCATCTGGTTTGAGCTACAGGAGACGGGACTATGGAACAACACATCGGTTACGCAACTGTTCCGAATTGAAGTTGACAGCATGTTCATTGATGTTGACCCTTTCTTATAAAAGATAAGATACTTCGCACGTCGGCTGCCATCTTGAATTCCGCGTTAGCGAAACATTCCAGTCACCGATGCTTTGGAAAGTTAAACATGGTCATCCTGGCAACATGATTCATCGACGTGATTGATTACCGTATGGGGTTATCGTGTGTAAATTTCGTGGTCTTTTATCCTCTCGGCTTTACAGAAGTTTGTTCAAATACTGCAATCTATCGTGGGCTAGATTGGAATGGAGGTCTACCTTCGCTGGGCCTTTGCTTACCAACTACGCAAAGCCAAGAAATGTGGACAAATTTTTCACATGTAAACCTTGATATCGGGATAAGGTTTATGGGGGTGTGGAGGGTTTCCACAAATCGGATAAGTTTTGCAGCTTCACGCCGTTTTTCCACTTTTTCACTCCGTGTACAAACTGTCATTGCGGTTTGCTGAACAACACCAGCAGTTGGTACTACTGGTACACGGCAGTCTTACTTGCTTATTGAAGTTGCGCAATTATTCTCTGCTGAACATTGTCCTAATGGTCCGGGACGAGCCAGTGGCTTGTTTGTACAATGCTTTACGGGGACTAATTGTGTGACAAGCGAGGCCAATTGATTTTTATTTGGCTTTGCCAAGTTTCTGGGGACTGGAAAACATTTTGATTTCTATATGTGTACGACCCACCATCGTCGTTGAATCATTTGCCATTTGAGTTCATCTTCCTGCAAACTATCACGTCTGGAAGCCTCGGCATTATCCTACTTACATCTCTCTTCTGGGAAAAACTTAGCTTCGGGCCCCGATGTATCATTATTGCGTGCTGTGGTAAAGATTTGTGTGATGACTTCAGCAGGCCTGGGGAATATTAGGTTTTTTTTGGACAAGAACTAGCATGCATGTTTCATAAAGTTCTGCAGAATTCCCTGGCTCATCCAACAACAAAAAGGTTTATTTTTGGTGGTCGCAGTGGATCATCCTTTCATCATGGCCTCGAAGAAGTGAACAAAAGTGGAGATCAAATATCGGTCTTGATCAACGTCCCAACTAACTTTGTATTGGTGATGTCGCATGATCGAGCATTCGAGAACCACAGCATCTATTATTGCACGTCGCCGCCCAGTAGCACTCTACTACCTTGCGTTGTTAATTTCAAATATAGTTCAAAAACCTTCGTGCTTAGCAATCCTCTTTCCTGATTGGCTTGGGATGAAAAGATTCGTGTTACCCTAAGCTTTTATTAGCATGTCAACAGCTACTCCGTACTTAAAGGGGCAGGAGGGCTATTGTCTCGGCTTCATATCAAATGGGTAATCCATGTTTTTAATAGCCGTGTAGAAGCTCTGATTTGGTTGATCCATCGAGAAGATGGGTCCCATTCATATTACGCTGCAATGATTTCCAACATCCCTTATGTGCCTGGGCCAACCTGTTCTGACTATAAGAATGCCTTCCCGCTCACCATTTTATCGTTTTGGTCACCTCAGCTTCTTTGCAAACGAGCCTATCAACCTGTACAGCAAATTGCGCCAATATGCAATTGGCAGCATTTCTAAGCCTCGCGGGCTTGGTTACGGCCCAATGTCCGTACGGATTTGACACACCACTCCAAAAGCGTGAATCTGTTGATGCTCAAGCCAGTAGTTCTAGTTTCTTGAATCAATTCACAATTAACGATACCGATGCATACTTTACCACCGACGCAGGTGGGCCCATACAAGAGAACACTAGCTTGAAAGCTGGGGAGAGGGGTCCAACGCTACTTGAAGATTTCATATTTCGTCAAAAGATACAGCACTTCGATCATGAAAGGGTATGCCCTTCTTCTCTCTTCAACTAATTGTTCTCCTAACTTGTTTCATAGGTACCGGAACGTGCCGTGCATGCTAGAGGTGCCGGTAAGCATCGTATCCCATGTCTTATGGATAGATAATTGACATTCATATAGGCGCTCATGGTGTTTTCACAAGTTATGGAGATTACAGCAATATCACCGCAGCTAGCTTTTTGAGCGAACAAGGCAAAGAAACGCCTGTTTTTGTGCGGTTTTCCACGGTCGCAGGAAGTAGAGGTAGTGCTGACACTGCGCGCGATGTCCATGGCTTTGCTACCAGGTTTTACACTGACGAAGGGAATTTTGGTAAGCTACTCCCTTTCGATACTATTGGTAAAGAGGACTAACGAGAAATTAGACATTGTAGGGAACAACATTCCCGTTTTCTTCATTCAGGATGCAATCCTATTCCCTGATTTGGTTCATGCCGTCAAGCCATCCCCGGACAACGAGATCCCCCAGGCCGCAACAGCTCATGACTCTGCTTGGGATTTCTTCAGCCAACAACCAAGCTCACTTCATACTCTCTTTTGGGCCATGGCTGGAAATGGAATTCCAAGATCATTTCGTCACATGGATGGTTTTGGTATTCATACATTTCGCTTGGTCACTGATTCCGGTAGTTCCAAGTTGGTCAAATGGCATTGGAAGAGTAAACAAGGAAAGGCAAGTTTACTCTGGGAGGAAGCCCAGGTATTGGCGGGGAAGAATGCAGATTTCCACAGAAAGGATTTATGGGATGCTATTGAAAGTGGAAATGGTCCTGAATGGGAGCTAGGTATTCAAGTTGTGGAAGAAGAAGATGTCTTGAAGTTTGGATTTGATCTTTTGGATCCCACGAAGATGATACCTGAAGAGCTTGTTCCAGTTCAGAAAATTGGAGTTATGAAGTTGAATGCCAACCCGAGAAATTATTTCGCGGAAACTGAGCAAGTTATGGTGAGCAATGAATCTGCATTTTGTTGCATATTATACTAATCCTGAATATTGTAGTTCCAACCAGGACATATCGTTCGTGGTGTAGATTTTACGGATGATCCTCTTCTTCAAGGACGTATCTTTTCATACCTAGATACGCAGCTCAATCGCCATGGGGGACCAAATTTCGAACAACTCCCTATCAACCGCCCACGCGTACCAGTCCATAACAACAACCGTGATGGTGCAGCACAACAATTTATCCCACTTAACACCGCTGCATACTCTCCAAATACTCTCAATAATGCCAATCCAAAGCAAGCAACCCAAAAAGATGGCAGGGGATTCTTCACAGCCCCTGGAAGAACCGTCTCAGGCAACCTAGTAAGGACGGTCTCGTCAACCTTTTCGGACGTTTGGTCTCAACCTAGATTGTTTTATAATTCCCTCATACCAGTGGAACAACAATTCCTCATCAACGCTATTAGATTCGAAACTTCGCAACTCACATCTAAAGTGGTGAAATCGAATGTTCTCATTCAACTAAACCGCGTTTCGCACGATCTCGCCACACGTGTTGCTGCAGTCTTGAACCTACCTGTTCCGGAAGCAGATGATACTTACTATAATGATAACAAAACTTCTTACGTTACAATATTTGGAAACGAACTGCCAACCATTGCGACACTTAATGTCGGAGTTTTGGTGTCTGTCAAAAACAATGGAAGTTTAACGCAAGCGTCCAATCTGGCAACCGCATTTTCGACATCCGGTGTGAATGTGAAAGTCGTGGGGGAGGTCTTGACATCTGGAGTAGATGCTACTTACAGCGCCTCGGATGCGACACTATTTGATGGTATCATTGTAACCGATGGTGCCGAGATACTATTCACAAATGGATCAAAATCAACGTACTTCCCTGCCGACCGTCCTCGTCAGATCTTGTTAGATGCGTACAACTGGGGCAAACCTGTGGGAGCTTTAGGAGTTGCTAAAACGGCGTTAACCGTTGCGCAAATTTCTTCTGGAGCAGGCGTGTATAGTAATGCAACGGATGTAAATGCGTTTGTTAAGGATTTCGAAGCTGGATTGAAGACATTTAGGTTTGTTGAAAGATTCGCTTTGGATGATTAAGGCAGAATCCACCTAGCCAGGGAATAGTCGAATGGATGGCGAACTTTGTACCTAATTTGTAAGATCTGTATGTATTGTTTATGATTTTAATCATGGCTTATTCTTTGGTTTTCGTGTCATGACTTGCTGTGGTATCTCACATTTGATTACAATATTAACCTTGAGGACCAAACAACTTACCAGCCCACTCAACATTTCCTTCATATCGTAACCATGAGTGACGGGAGTAATATACGGACTAATTCCAAGACCTCCGCTGTAACGAGGCCTGCCGCATTTTTCAGTATAGAAACTATTTTCGTTGGAGTATTTTAAATTCCTTTCCCGAATTGGTATATTCCACTCAATATATGGATTCCAGTAACTCGAATGGACAGTTGGATATATTACAGTGGATATGTACTGTGGGACATAGCATTATTGTTTAAATGTATCAATGTAATACCCATTGCTTCAGTATCAGACACCACAACACTAAATCACACTACTCCCATCACTGAAAACTGGTCTTGTATTAAACCATGAAAAAAGATTTGTTCGATGAAGGGAATCAATGTCCGGGCTCAAATATCACCTTGTGCACTTGCATTTTATTAAAAATATCATATCCTTCCACCGCTTGACTTAATGGCATGATTTTATTAGTCATGAAGCTGTATTCTGTTAGAATCCTAAGGCCGGAGTCACCGAGATCGAGTAACTTACTCGAGTTTATGCTGATTCTTTTTCAGAACTTCCATAGCTTGAGGGAAAACACTTCGAACAGGACATCTTCCGAACTGTGATTTCACATTTTTCCCATACGCCTCGCTTCCTGACCAAGGAATGTCCTCTTGCTGCACACCTGTAGTTTGCGGCTGATTAGCAGAGAGATTTGTCTTAAGCTAAGCTGTCAATAGGTCAACGTACCAAAGCTCGCGATGTTTCCCCACGGCCGCAATAAGTCGAATCCAGTTCTCAACGCATCTGCATGACCCACTCCCTCAATTACGCAATCGGCGCCTCGTCCATCAGTCAATTCCTTCACTCGCTGCGTCAATCCTTCTTTATTCGTCTGGTCATTCCAAGGTTCAGCGCCCAACTTCCTGGCCAATTCCAACCGACTTTCCACACGATCAATGGCTATCACGAATTTCGGTTTATACTCCAAAGCGTTGATCAGCGCACAAAGACCAACTGGCCCACACCCAATTAAAACCACAACACTGTTGCTTATGGTTTCTGGTGACATTCCATCAAAAGCGTTTCTAGCCGCGAAATATCCAGTGGGAAAGATGTCCGCCATCAAAACCAACTTTTCCTCATCAATACCACCAGGTACTTTTACAGCCGTGGTATCTGCCAATGGTACTCTCATGTACTCAGCCTGACCACCATCAAGTAAAGGACATCCGAACAACAAGGATTTCTCACATCGCGAGGAATATCCTCTCGTGCAATAAAAACATTCACCACAAGACACGGTAAAGGGCATGACGATCAAATCGCCTTTCTTATGTGTCTTTACGTCGCTACCCAATTCAACAATTGTACCTGTAGTCTCATGACCCATGATGAAGCCTGTTTTAGAGGCTTGGTGTCCTCGAAAAACGTGGAGTTCACTGTAAGAATATGTCAATCTCCAACCTCACATGTAGAGCCTTACACGTCAAGGTAACTGACCTTCCACATAGTGCCGAATATTTAACTTTGACAATTACGTCGGTTTGATCAACGATTTTGGGGATGGGACGATCCTCAAGTCGAACATCCAGAGTACCGTGAAAAACAACGGCTTTCATAGTATCTTGGGACATTGTATCAAAGGCTTTGATGCTTCTTGTTATGATGTTGGGATATTTGAAAAAGGCTATGCAGAAATTGAAGGATCATTCATGTATTGGATAGGATAGCGCTATATGTGTGTGAATTGTCTCTTTTAATGATGGATTTTCTAAAATACCTCGGAAGCATTGTTTTATTGATTAGGTAATTACTCCAATAACCCCGCCATTGCCGAGGCGGGATCACCATCTCGAGGAAGGGGTAATTAGCGGGGAAGAACTTGGGGCTTCACGATTCCTATCCAACGCGGAATTAATATATCCAGTCAACCAACATTGCCAAGAGGAAGGACCATCGCCACCAGAGCTCATTTGTTCAACGGAAGTCTGCAGGTATGATCCTACGAGATGTAATGTTTGTAATACGACGAAGTGGCCACCAAAAGCGGGGTTGATCATTTTGCAACGATGATAAGAATTACTCATTTCCTTATCATATTACAAATCTCGCACAATATCACTTCTTCTTATACCTCTGTCACAATCCAAAGTTGAACCATCAAATTACACATACACATATATGCACACAGAGCTACAGGTATAACTACAATGGCAGGAATACAACGAGCTCTCGACACAGGCGCAGTACCAGGTCATATTTCCAATGTCTGTCCCCCTGGAACGAAAGCATATCTACTCGAACTCGGATGGCTGGAATGTGATGAAGGGTTTGTAGTGAGAGGTGGTAATACATCATTGAAATCTACAGAAGGAGAGAACTTTGTGAACAAAAGAAGAGAGTTACCAGTGTATGCTGTTCTTATTGACCATCCTTTTGAAGGTGTAATACTCTGGGAAACGGGATGTGGAGCTGATTATCCCACGGTTTGGGGTCCAGATATAGTGGATGTTTTTGCACGGGTCAAGTATGAACCTAGACATGAACTGAAAGCAGCAATTGAAGCCACGGGACACAAATTGGAGGATGTTAAAAAAATGTAAGATCTTACACCACCTCTAACCAACGCATGGAGAAGATATACTCACATGATTGCAGAATTCTCGGTCACATGCACTTGGATCATGCAGGTGGATTGGATCAATTCTTGGACAGAAAAGATGTCGAGATCTGGGTACACGACAAGGAGTTGAGGTCGGCATTTTGGTCAGTTGCTACTGGTGCGGATGCAGGCGTTTACTTGCAGCATTATATGGATGTAAGCTCGATCTTTTATTCTTCCGGGAAGTATCACAAGTGCTGATGTCAAGAAGTTATCCTTGAATTGGAAAACGTTCGATGAAAGAACCTTGGACTTTTGTCAGGGAATTACTCTTCATCATCTTCCAGGTCACACGGATGGTCTTGTGGGAATGCAACTAAACCTTCGTGAAACCGGAACGTTTATATTTATCAGTGATCACTGCCACGTCATCGAAAATGTAAGGACCTGCATCCGTTAAGATCAATATCCTGCTGATAATCTAATAGTGGCGAGATGGAGTACCTCAGGGATGGCTCGCACGGTATGAAATGCTCGATACTAACGAAGCAGACTACAAGCTAACATGAAGCTACAGTGATCATCCAGCCTGGTTCCAAAGTACCCAGCGATTGAGGCGTTTGGAATCTACCACCAAAGGTCAAGTGATACCAGGGCACGATAAAGAAACATTCTTGCAACTTCAAGGTGATATCAATAGTAGAGGGGGTTATCTAGAGTAACCACATTCCATGGCGCTCAAAGTAAGCAAAATATGTGGATGTCAGGCCACATCAGGGTCTGTATACATCTGTAGAACAAGCGACATATTCTTCTCTGGCATGGCTGTATTATTTTTACCTTTACTTCTGAAATTGTTGCAGTATGAAGGGTTTGGTTATCGGATTTTGAAAAGACGAGGCAATCCACACCTGTCACTGGCGACTGCCACATTCATATTCTAGCACCTATCTTTAGGTGAGCCAAAGAAGACATATGGTAAGGTCTGAGCTCTTTCACTATGCTTGATACTGAAAAAGTGAAACTTCAGAAGCAAAGATCCATCATATAAAAGTACACCTTGGGGGTGTACAGATGTAAGCTTATTAGAAAAGAATGGGGTCAAATGAGATGGCCAGGTCGTTCGTGTAGGTTGTTTAGAAAAAGAAGGTTTCTATTTTCCTCTGGCAGTTATGCCACTCAAGGGAGGCGAAACATGAATACATCATACAGGGGATTTTGCAGTATCTGAGGAGTATGCATAGTACTTTTATATTCATGATTTGAAGAAATACGAAGATAGTATGAACCGAACATCAGTTGTGTAGATTTGGCATGGCAAACGGCGGTGTTGTTATCTTCCTTGGATGCTTCAAGTTTTGAACTAATTCGTGCCAAAACTTGTTTCGCAAACCGATAGTCCCCGCCTTTCAAAGGTTCCTCCGAATGGCAAAGATGTTGCTTAAATGGATTCGCTCGCGCTGAATGTAGAGTTTTAATGGAGAATGAAGGTTCAAACAAATGATGATACGCTGCTAATTATGTGCCCAGAAGAATTTTGCGCTTCTCTAACTTGAAGGCCATCATTATTCTTCTATATCAGTCCAATCTTTAAACATCCTGTTTGCCCGCGTTGACCACTTTTGTAATATTTCCAACTGACCTGTCGATCTTTCTTCAAATGCGACTTCACGAACGCTTCCCGAATGGTGGCCAGAGAGAAGAAAGTCGACAAGACATTTGAGTAGGTGTTTCGCTTGTGTTATGCACGAACATACTCGCGACCAGCATCAGCTTAAGTCAAGCTCTTAGCATACTTCTCAGAGAAGGATGAAGAGGTATGATTGTCCCGGTTGGGTTGCGGAAAACGGATGATATCTGCTTGAAGGAAGAGGTTGTTGCAGAAACTCATAATTCGCATACTAACGACAGGACTCTCCCGAAATGAAACCAGCTTTGAGGTCTAAATCACCTATGCGCAATGGGTGGTAAGAAGAATTAGTGTTGGTCATGTTCCATAAAATGTCTTGTATGTATGTTGACATCTCAGGTTGTTATAGCAAAGCCTTTTTCGCAGAGGTCGCCTTGCTCAAGATTGCATCAATATCCTGCTGTGGAGTTTGATTTGCATAGCAATTACCATTAAAGGCATGGCAGATATGGAGAGGAGAATCATACGGAGTATATTAATGTGGTTGCTTGTGCATAGGTAAAGCATCTGCCAGCTGGGAAATGCGCATGTTCCACATTGCGTCAGAATCGTAATTCAGGGGAGATGAAGGAAAGAAGGCCATGCTCGAATCATTAAATAACCTTATTTTTCAGATAAGAGATTATTGAAATGGCAGGTTTGGAAAGACAAGAGAACCATGGTTAATAAATGTCAGACAATGGTCTTCATCATGAGGTAGTGAGTATCAGCCGTCAATTGCATCTTCTTTTCAGTTTCATTTTCTTTTTCCCGTAATTAATTATCATCATCGGGATTGGGCTGTAACAGTTTTAAGTTTGCAGCCCTGATAACCCTGTAATTAAAAAGTGTCAGCCTTTCAGCTCAGGTGATTTTGAAGCCAAAATCGGAAGTTTAAAGCCTAATCGGGGAAAGTGAATACTAAAAATGCGGTAATCTTCAGTGATCATCCCACACAAATCCATTAAAATAGGCTTTCCCCAGTTACAAAGCCGTACTCTGTACTCCGTAATAATAAGATCTTACTGTGCCGATAGCATCCACTCATCCACTCATCCACTCATCCACTCATCCACTCATCCACCCCATCCACTCATCCACCCCATCCACTCATCCACCCCATCCACCAGTCACAATTCACCATTTACCCTAACAAAATCTTGGAACTTTCTTGATCCTCCCTTCTTATTATCATCCCTTCTCCTCCCCCTTCTCCTCCCCCTTCTCCCGCCTTTCTCCCTCCTTTCTCCCTTTTCTTTACCACCTCCTCGGGAGAATACAAAATAGATTCCATTCTACCCACCTTTTTACTAGAATAATTAATTGTATTACCAGCAAATGCATATCGAAACAAATTATACAGAAATATTTTCATTTCACGGCAAGAACCTGATGCGCCCATCTAAGAATCACCAAAAGTTACATCGAAATTATCGTTCCCAAATTCGTGCTGACGCTGAACGTCGACGTGGTGCACCATGAATCAATCACAGATACAACAGAAATCAGCCATAACTACAATTCGAGGGTTTCAAACTCCTGCTGCTTCAGGAGATGAAGATTCCGATTATGGCTGCAATACCCCAGCACGATACAATCCAAAAATCAGTGATGTTGTCAGCGCAAACTGCAGCCCGTCATTGAAACCATTCAAGTCTCCGGGGATGGGTGGCATTAGTCAGTTGAAGCTACAACTCGATATGCTGAATTTGGAGAACGAATCCAGGACAAATTCTCTGGTGCGCAGCCAAATTCAATCTCTACCACAAAGCAGTACAGCAACGACGTCTGACGACTTGAGCGATGATGAACGATCCGATAGCACAACTTACGAGATCCCTTTGGAACACGATTTTGTTAGTGAAAGTGTGCGTGCAGAGCCAATGCTGGGCGCAATTGAAGGAGGTTTGGTTCAGGATACAATTGCGAGGAAGATGGCTGCAGATGATTTTGAATCTTTGCGATGTTTAGGAAAGGGAACATTTGGGACTGTCATTTTGGTGAAGCAACGTACAACGGGGACATTGTTCGCTCAGAAACAATTCAAAAAGGCATCTCTGACAGTTCACAAGAGACTGGTGGAGCAGACAAAGACGGAAAGAAGCATTCTCGAAAGCGTAAACCGACATCCCTTCGTCGTCAAGTTATTTTATGCATTCCAGGACCACGAGAAATTATACTTGATCTTGGAATATGCACAGGGAGGAGAATTATTTACTCATCTGGCAAGAGACCGTATGTTTTCCGAGGAAGTCGCTTCATTTTACATGGCGGAGATGGTTTTGGCTTTGGAGCACCTTCATCGTAATCTTGGAGTTGTCTATCGCGATCTCAAACCTGAGAACTGTCTGCTGGATGCCGAAGGTCATTTACTTCTCACCGATTTCGGACTAAGCAAAGTCGCCGTTGACGAAAATGATAAATGCAACTCACTGTTGGGAACTGTTGAATACATGGCACCTGAAATTATTCTCGGCCAAAAATACGGAATGGCTGTCGATTGGTGGTCTTTTGGCGCTCTCGGGTTCGACTTATTGACAGGCAGCCCACCCTTTCAAGGGCAGAATAATAAAATTATACAGGACAGGATTACGAAGCAAAAGCTTGCCATGCCTTATTTTCTAGGACCAGATGCCAAAGATTTGTTGACTCGTCTTCTTCGCAAGGAACCCAACAAACGACTTGGAGCTCATATGCCAAAGGACCTGGTCACTATCAAAAAACATCGATTCTTTCGCCGTATTAATTGGCAGAAACTCGCAAAAAGAGAAGTCGAAGCCCCCATCAAACCATTTATTACAGATCCGGAACTTGCGGAGAACTTTGCGGATGATTTCACTGAGCTCTCTTTGAGTCCTGTAATTTCTAGTCACAATGGTGTACCATGGAGTGCGTCTTCTGCGAATGAGGATAATCCTTTTGGTGGATTTAGTTATGTTGCAAGTCAAAGTTTATTGGATTCGAATGGATTTTTAGAAATGCATCGGAACAAAGTAGCGACCTGAATTTGGGTTACTACCAATGAGAATGAATATCTCACGGTCTGCGGCGAGTCTTACGTCCTGTATTTGGAGTTGTTTTGGGAGCACCCTGGGGTGTTTCATATTTTATTGGGTATTCTGTATTACGGATGAGAAATACATTAGATCATGATCAAATTGGTAGATCACATATGTTCATCGGCGTTGTTGTCAAGAAATAGAAGACTAGGAAACGAGGAAAAGTTGGCGGCGATTATGGATTTTATTCTGCGTGGGTGTTGGGACTTTTGAATGGGTTTTTCATAAGATTGGTATTAAGATATGCACAATTGTGATTTTAGTCATCCTTTCCTTTCCTTTCCATGTCTTTTCCCCGCTATCTGAATTCTCACGTGAATTGCCACTCCTAAAACAACTTTCCGTACTTTCCGTACCTGTCTTTCCTAAGTGTAAATGAATTGACATTTAATATTTTAAGTATACTCACGAAAATACATGAGACGGGCAGAATCATCAGCATCATTTTGATCTTTAGGATTTAAGTTTCAATTCTAATTTCAACCACGTCATTACTATTTCACATCAACAAATTCCTCACCTCGGAAGCTTTACCACCTGCCACAACACCACCACAATAACTACGCTCATTCAGCAAAACATCAAAGATGGTAAGTACTTGATATATATTTCAGTATATCTATGTCTTCTAATACATCTCAGGGAGGAGGTGCTAATCTACCCCGTCAGTCAAGAGACTCAAATTCAACCGTCGAACTTCTCATCCTAGGAGCGGGGTGGACATCAACTTTTCTCGTCCCACTTCTTCAACAAAAGGGAATAAACTATGCCGCTACCACTACTACCGGTCGTGATGGAACTTATAAATTCCGCTTTAACCCAGATGATAGTGATGGAAACAAAGAACAGCTGTGTGATGTTCCAACTGCAAGGTGCATTTTGATTACTTTCCCTCTTAAAGGAAAGGGACAATCACGATCTCTCGTTGAGCAGTATTCGGATACGCATTCTACCAAGTCTTTTGGAGGCAGCCCGGCATCATTTCAATTCATCCAATTAGGAAGCACAGGAATTTTTGATATTCCAGGTCAAAGTACATGGGTTACTCGCCACTCATTGTATAATGTTGCTAATGATCGAGCAATCGCTGAAGATGAACTTATTGAATTGGGTGGATGTGTGCTCAATTTGAGTGGATTATGGGGTGGTGAAAGAAATGCAAAGCACTGGATTGAGCGCGTAGCTAGCTCAAAGGAGATGTTGAGCAATAAGAAAAGTTTACACATGGTACATGGACTTGATGTTTCGAGAGGGATAGTCGGTGTGATTGGCAAATGGGAAAAAGCAAAGGGTCAAAGATTCGTGAGTCTTCCGCATTACTTTTCCGCTCTTTACTGACACCATCAGATGTTAACTGATCTCATGGTTTATGATTGGTGGGCATTGATATTAGGGTATGCTGGTGAAATTGATGAGGAAACAGGAGATGGAAAAATGGAGGGTAGGCAAATCAAATGGATTGGTGAATTGATGAAGGAAAACAATGTGAGAGCTTTACCAAGATCAATGGATGTCTTGGGACGATGTTATGACTCGAGAGAGTTCTGGGAGAGTTTTGATGTTATGCCTGTAAGATCAAGAATATAATTTTGGTGGTAGCATTGACTTATTATGAACACCAACTTCCGTCTATCCACAGACCTATTTTCTCCCTTTCTTGATTTTTTTTCAAGATCGGCCTCGTATTCCTCGACCGAGATACCTCTGTTTTCTGCCAAAATAGCAGCGACCATACTACATGCATTATCCCATGCTGGTTTGGATAAAGCTGCCTTCTCGGCAGTGGTCATCTGCTTTCTCCATTTCTCCTTTTCTGATTCCTCCATTTTAGATGTGATAGCGAATCGCTTCAAATCCCCCTCCAATTCCTCTATTCTCTCATTCTTGCTTTCATCAAATTCTTCCTTCAATACATTAGCGATGAGAGATTCGATCTTGCCGATATCCATAGCGACAGCCGCGGTTAGTTCAAAAGTAAGGGAGTCTCGGATGGTACGGGCTTGCTGCACGCGTTTGATGAGGATTTCGAGGTGCTCTTTTTCTTCCGCAATTGCGGCAGGTGTTGGTAAACGCTAGATCGAATCAGTACTCGAATAATGTTGTGATAAAAAGTAATGAGTATTCTTACAGCTTTCAGATCGTCTCGGATCTTTCTCCATTCTGCAGCAGACTTGACCTCCTCCTCTCCGTCAAGCAATTGCCCATCTCCCAACTTAGAAACTAGATTATCTAGTTCCTCCATTTTTCTGTCTTTCTCTTTTTGTTCCGGATTTTGATTCTCCATTTTGGTTTCGTGCTTTGGAATGTTTGCGTGTTGTTGTGTGATGCTTTATGTGGGGTTTGACGAATAATAGATATAAACGTTCAGCTTCGGATGTTTAGGTATACGGATTTAGCCGCACTGGAAAAGCACTTTTCAATCATCTAGATGGTCTGGAGACAATGTATGGTACGAGCAATAGAATAGTGGTTCAATAAATGAATTTCAAACTCAAAGTCAAGAGATATACCTGTCAAGTATGATTGTGATGTATTGGAGCGGCGTGCTACTAGCTGAGAACATAAAGTAGTCACGGAGAGGTTCAAGAAATAATTGGCCATTTATCTGGCAGTACTACAGGCAGCCGTGCTTGTAATAAATAGTCAAGCTCCTATGGAGGCCAACAGGTTTGGCTCTTCGTAGGTTAGAGATCAGAAGTCGAGCAGATCTGCATACGTTCACTATAGTTACCGTTAGTCCGAGGCAAAACAACAATTGGGAACATCTAGATAGACAGATCAGCAAAGCCTCTGCGTCAAATGTCAAACTAGAGGCGAAGATAGCTGCAATGGAAGACTAGGGGATGGAATCGCTAACTATTTTTCAACACTAGTAGGAAGGGAACTGGTAAACGCAAGATGAAGTGTTATTTTGATTGGGCAAAAGTTTTGGTCATCTGAATTTATGAAAGTGACAGTATGTATAACACGCGATTTCGCATCGTCCGTGAAGCTTTTTGACTCCACGACAAGCAGCCACCGTACCGTACGATACCATTGAACTCTCAGACACCATGCGTGACCTTACCAGATCTTTCATTCGTGCTCTTGAGTGTGGTGGTGTACCACTTCTGATTGAAGCGGTTATCAAAGTAGAACAAAACCATGAATCCACTGCTGGTTCTGAGCTTGCGACCCCCCCTGGGCGAAATATGTACACAATTCGAGAAAGTTTATTGGAAATTCTGGGCTGGACAATGCGAGCTATCATCACTGTAAGTTACTGTGACCACCTTGTGATTATAGCGAGCTATCTATTTCCTCTCTAATCTAACCTACAATTCTAGGGTAATTTTATACGTGATGGACTCCGTCCGAAGCCAGGTGAGACGTTACCAGCCGATTTTGAAGTCCGAGACTCTCAGTCGAATACAACAAATTCCTAGCCCTCCCAGCCCTCCCAACATTCTCATGGTTCTGGTAGTAGTGTTCAATGGGAGGTTGAGCGCATCGAAGATGCTGCAATTTGTGAAATCGAGGATAGTGATGACTACGGTCGCGTGGTTTACCACATCAAATGGACGGGATTTGCTCACCACGCGAACACCTGGGAATCAATCGACAATTTAACAAGCTGCAGATTGAAAATCCTTCAATTCTACCACGATAATCCGGATAAGCCACAATACGGCCCTAACGACTGCCAGGAAACATTGAGCGTTGAGCATCTTGATTTTAGTGGTATTAGTGGGTTTTTCACCAACGACCCTCCTGCTGAGCACCAAATTATTTACGCTCATTGGTTGGTTGATAATACCAATACCAGTTCTCGAGGAGTTTCTCCCACTACTAAACAGCTCTTTCGTATCCTTGAGTTGCTCGAATTTTACATGTCTGATTTCCCAATTGATCACCCCGGATATACAGAACATCTGGAATTTATCCGAACCATTGGCCAATTGGAAGATCCAGACCATCTCTTTAGAGCAAATTGGGACGAAGAACTTAACGATAATGGACTTCGTCGATACCTGAAATCCCAAGACAATTTCGAACCAAATCGAAGAGCCCAAAGAATTTGTCTTGAGACCACTATTCCCACCATTCGATCTCAGTTAGAGTTAATTCCCATCGAGGAAAGAGATCGACCTTATCCATACCCTCTCTCCGAGATTGGCTTTACCGGAAATGCAAAGAAAAGAAAGAGATCCTATGAAGATCACAGCAGCTCAATGAAAACAATGTATTGTATCGGTGCTATATCCATTTATCTATTCGGGGTACGATATCATTGGAATTTTCACCCTCTCCCCATCGTGAGAAGCTATTCCGAGGCTAAATGCTTAGAGCTATTCTCCTCCCAACTTAGCCAATCATATACGTGGCTCGGAGGTATGAATACAGATCTCGCAGGAAATTCGAACGATTCGGCAGCCAAAATCTCTACCGAGACATATCATATACTTAGAGACAAGACTCTCAATAATTACATCATCTTTACGAACTTGGAGCTGGCAAGAGAGAGATTGGAGGAGAGTGTAGAGATAATGGGGTTAAAGTTGGAAGTTGATGAACTCACAGAGAGACTAACTAATGAAGAGGCTGAGATAGCGGATTTAAGAGCCAAACAAAGATCTTTGCGGGATGAATTAGCTGTTTTGTTGAGAGAGAAGAAGAAATTGGTTAAAAGAGCTGCAGCCGAGAGGAATATTATCAAGGAGGGCCTAATGGCTTATGATAGGATGAAGGAATTACATACTTGTTTAAAGAAGTTATTGAATTATTAGTACTTTATAAGTTTAAATTGCTAGCTTATAACCTTGTAATAAAGTCCTAATCTTAAATAATACTAACTAGTATTATAAGGATTTTTTTGGTGGTCACCACCGGTGATGACCACTTTTGATAGAGGGGTGGTGACCACCCAAAAAAGTAAATATGGTCATTACCCCGAAATCGATCAATTTAAGAGATATTTTGAAATTTAAAAAAAGAAAATATAATAAAATTAATTAATAAATTCAAATATTTAATCAAAATTAAATTATCTTTATTATTTGTGTAATAATATCAATCACAGGGGTGGTGATTATATAAAATATCGATCTAAATAAGAATTATTGTATTATATAATAAGTGTAATTATTATATTGGATAATTAATGTATTCGATTGAAAAAGATATTATATTATATAATAAATATAATTGTTATATTAAATAATTATTATATTATTTATATTATTTATATAATAATAAAATTATTATATTGAATGATTATTATATTATATATATAATAATAGAATTGTTATATTATAATGATTGTTATATTGTATATATAATAATATAGTTATTGTATTAAGTAATTATTGTATTATATATAATGATATAATTATAATATTAAGATGAAATAATAATAATTGTAATAATAATAATTGTAATAGTAATAATTATAATAATAATAATTGTAATAATAATAATAACAATTATAAATGTAATAGTGATAATTGTAATAATAGTTAAGATTGTAATTGTAGTAATGATTATAATAGTAATAATTGTAATAATAATTATAATAGTGATTGTAGTAATGATTATAATACTAATAATTATAATAATAATTTAAATTGTAATTGTATTAATAATTGTAATTGTAGTAACGATAATTGTAATATATATTTAAAAATATAATTGTTGTATTGAATGATTGTTATATCGGATTGAAAAAGATATTATATTATATAATAAATATAATTATTGTATTGAGTAATTATTATAATTTATATAATTTGAATAAAAATTATTATAATATATATTTAATATAATTATTATAATTGTTGTATCGGGTGATTGTTTTAATGTATATTTAAAAATATAATTATTATATCAAATGATTATTAATAAGTATTATAAGGATTTTTTTAATATTTATTATTGATAGTAATTATTTTTTATAGAAAGATAATGATTATTTAAAAAAGTAAATATAATTATTACTTTGAAATCAATTAATTTAAAAGATATTTTGAAATTGAAAAAAAGAAAATATAATAGAATTAAACAATAAGTTTTAATTATTTTTAATAAATTAATAATAAAAAATTATAAAGAAATGAAGATTATTTTTGATATAAAATAAATTTACAAAATAATTGTCACGATTTACAATTAAGATAAGGATATGTTGAGAAACAGCAGTCAATATATCCATATAAGCTTAGGCCTTATCGAAAAGCAAGGCGATTCGTATACAAATTTGTATAGTAATCGCCTCATATAATCTCCTCATTTTTAGCAAACTCGGATATATAATCTAATCCTAATCATATAATAAAGAGCCTTGGAAGCTTCGAAAGTTTCTAGAACTTTAGGAGTTTTTTAGAATTTTAAAGCTTTACAAAATTCTTTTATATTCATTAGTATATAATCAAAATAGTTTTATAATTTAGAAACTTCATATTCAATTTAATTATCAATTAGTTTATTTATATTCCAATTGATCTAATAATATATTTATTTTCGAATGGATAATTAATGATTATTAATCTTAATCTACAATTATCAATTATACAAAAACCTAAAGCAATCGTTGTTTTGATCAGATTGTTATACTTTGAGTATTGTTATAATTAAGTTATATACAATATAATAGTTTTTAATTAATAATCTATTGAATTATTTTTATTCAATCTAATCAAGGTTTTTGTTTAGATCGTTATTATTATAAAATATAAATGAACGATTTAGATATCTATTTTTGATTTATTTTATAAAGATTGTAACAAATATCGAGTTTTTGTTATATAAATTGATCTTTATTATATTTTTAATAAATAACTTTTCTTGATTTTTATAAAAAGAATTTTATAATTAATTTTCTTTTTCTATAGAATTATATTCAATTAAATTGAATTATTTTTCAATAACTTAATAATCAAGATTATTAATAATCAATTAAACAGAAATATGAAATCTGAAATTCATCATCTTTTTCTTAATTATGAATTATTCAAATAAAAATTTGATAAAGTATTCGGGGAAGTAAATCCCGATTATATAATTGAAAAAGCATTATAATAATTCAAACAAATCGGATTAGTTATAATTTATATTATTAAATTTCAATAATATATTGAGTGTATTATATAAAATGATAATTATCTAAAATTATAGTTTTATAAAGATATTATAAAAGATAAATTAACAAAAACTTTAAAATCATTTAATCTTTTCGAATTAATCGAAATCTTTATTCTTATTAATAATCGATTCTATAAATGATGAATAAAGAAAAAAGGAATTATTCAGGAAAATAAAAAGTTTCAAAAACCTTATTATCAGAATAGATATTATAATATCAATAATCTAATAGAATTAGATAATATTGAATAATATTATATAAAGTTAAACAATTTGAATATTGATGAGAAGAAAAGATATAAAAAGAATAATTTTATTATGAAATCATTTTACAGAGTGTCACGAGGTAATAGTCAACCTGTCTTTATGAGTTTTGATTTTATTGAAAAGTAAAGCAACTTATATATAAATTTGTATAGTAATCATTTTGTATAGTCTCTTTATTTTTAATAAGTTTGGATATATGATTTGATTTTAATTATATGATAAAGCTTTTAGAAATATAGGCTCTTATAAATTCCTTGAAGTTTTTAAAAGTATAGGTTTCTGAAAACTTCCAAAATGGATTAATATATAATCAGAATAGTTTTATAATTTAGAAACTTTGTATTTAATTTAATTATTAATTAATTTATTTATATTCTAATTAATTTAATAATATATTCATTTTCGAATAAATAATCAATAATTATTAATCTTAATTTATAATTATCAATTATACAAAAATCTAAAGCAATTATTGTTTCAATTAGATTATTATATTTTAAGTATTGTTATAGTTAAACTATATATAATATAATAGTTTCTAATTAGTAGTTTATTGAATCGTCTTTATTCAATTTAATCAAGGTTTTTATTTAGGCTATTATTATTATAAAATATAAACAAACAATTCAGATATCCATTTCTGATTTATTTTATAAAGATTATAATAAATATTGAATTTTTGTTGTATAAATTAATCTTTATTATACTTTTAATAAATAATTTTTCTTGATTTTTATATAAAGGATTTTATAATTGATCTTCTTTTTCCAAGGAATTATATTCAATTGAATTGAATTATTTTTCAATAATCTAATAATCAAGATTATCGATGATTAATTAAACGAAAGTATGAAATCTGAAATTCATCATTTATTCTTTAGTTATAAATTGTTTAAATAAAGATTCGATAGAGTATTTGGGGAAGTAGATCTCGATTATATAATTGAAAAAATATTACAATAATTCAGATAGATCAGATTAGTTATAGCTTATATTATCAAGTTTCAACAATATATCAGATATATTATTTGGAATAATGATTATCTAAAATTACAATTTTATAAAAAATTGAAAGATATTATTAAGAACAAATTAACAAAAACTCTGAAACCATTTAATCTTTCCGAATTAATTGAAATCTTTATTTTTATTGATAATCGATTTTATAAACGATAAATAAAGAAGAAAGGAATCATTCAGGAAAACAGGAAATTCCAAAAACTTTATTATCAAAATAGGTATTATAATATCAACGATCCAATAGAATTGAATAATATCGAATAATATTATATAAAATCAAACAATTTAAGTATTAACAAAAAGAAGAAATATAAAAAGAATAATTTATATTTTATTTATAGAAAAAATAGATATATATTCTGAAATTGTTCTCAAAAGAAGAAATTATTTATTACAAAAAATAAGAAACAAATAAGATTTAGGAATAGAAAATAAGGTTTTCAAAAAATAAGGATCTTAAAAGAAAATTCAAAAGAAATAGGATTATTGAAAAGAAATCTATCTCAATTCAATTTCGAATAATTAAAAAAATTAAATATCAATAATCAAAACCTTAGAATTAATATTAAGAATAATATCGATTATAAAAAAGAACTTTTAGAAAACCTTGAATCAAAAAACAAAAAATCAATCAAGAAATTCGAAAAGAATCAATAACTAATTGAATCTTATTATTTGTTTTAAGAAAATGAATTATAATATCTAATCAATTATTTAAATAAGAAACGAATATAATATTATTATAGAAAGAAAAAATTTGATTTTATTGAGAAATATAAAATCTATAATTATTCTATTTTGTTAGTATTTTATATAATAATATATAATAATATTTATTATATAATATTTAAAGAAAATATTAAAATAAACAATATTAGAAGGTATATTATAAATATAAGTTCTTTATCTTTCAATAAAGTATAGGAATATAATGAATATGATTTAGAAATTAAAGATATATAAAAGATTTTATTACAAATCAAGATTTGTTGTATTTGGTGAAGGATCGATAAGGATAACAAAGAAATGTTAAATCGAGATTATTATTGAGATTTTCAAATAGAATTAATAGGATTATTATTTATTATATTTTATTGATTATTAAGTATAAATGAATATCAATATGAATAATTGAATCTTCTTATTAAAAAATAAATTATCAAATTATTATTGTTAGAATTAAATGGTATTATAAAAATCGAATAATTAATTATAGAAATCAAATTAAAGAATTAATAAGTTAATATTTTAATTGATTTTAGAGTTATAAGTATATTTATAAATCCCAATTTTGTAAGAGAAAATAGAATTCTTATAGAATTAAAATAAAATCTTTATTAATTGATATTATTAAAAAGAAAGAAAGTTGGAATTAATAATTGGGTATACAAAAAAATTAATATTATCAAGATAATTATACTAAATGGGTATATTAAATA